AGTATTAGGGAAAAGTCTGTAGCGGAATATAGTAACGCCCTGTTATCAGCAACAGAAGGCTTCTGACCGAACCGAAGGCCCTCCCTGCGAGCCCCCTTACAAGTAGCATATACACGACAGAGACCGACCCCGTCATCTTTTTACCTCGTCACATCTGTTGTTCACTACCACTACTCTTGTCTCGAACATTGAACACTACCTGTACACCACCACCTACCAGTCTCACCCACGCCACTGATCGACTGGACCACAGAAATCTCGCTCTTCGACTGAAGAACCACACGAACAGCGACTACTCCCCCGGTTCCCACAGCGACAAGCCATGCGCGCCGCTCTCCTCCTCCCGTGCGTGTTTGCGCTCGCAGCCGCTTCCGGCCCGATAGCGCGGCACGGCGGGCACGACGACGACATGATGGACGGCGACATGATGGGCGGCGAGATGATGGCGAGCGCCAGCGAGCCCAGCGACCCAAAGTGGACGGCCACCTCTGCGGCGGCGGGAGGAGAGGCGGCTCCGCGTCCCTTCGGCACGATGACGGAGTCGGTCCAGCCGTCACCCACGCCCGGATCCGACGACCACGGCGACTCCCACGACACGCCCGCGCACCACGACGACCACCACGACTCGCATGAGGCTCACGACGCGCCGCCCGATCCCCACGGCCACCACTCGCACGCTCCCGTCAAGGAGTTCCTGAACGACACCGAGATCCACCGCTGGCACAAGTTCCCCCCGACGTATCTCGACGCCGACTTCCGGCTGACCCAGGACTCGGTCATCTTTGGCGAGGAGCTGCCCGAGAACTGGCCGGGGGACACGCCGAGCCACCCCGGTCTCATGGTTCTGCACGTCGCCGCCATGTGCTTTGCGTACTTTGGCGCTCTCCCCGTTGGTAAGTAGCTTCGTTGGAAGGGGGTGGCGGGATCGCACAGTTCCGCTGTAGCCGGCGGCAGACAGTCTGGAATGTCTCTGTGCATGTGCATGGGCGCGATCGGGCATTTCGCTCCTTGTGTGCGACATTGCGTTACTTCAGCCGTTCGTCGGGAGACGAAGGCGCCGAGGGCGGTGGCGGCGGCGGTAATGACGCACGGCCAAAGAAGGAAATTTCAGTCCCTTTAAGTCTGCCCGAGGCCGAGCCGGCCGATAGAATGAACGCTGACATGCAGCTCTCTCGCTCCGTGCTGCGGGACATCCGAGCCACTACCTCGTGAACACTGGCTTCATCGCGCTGGCCGTGTTTGGGTGGATCATGGGTATTGCCTACAAGGCGGCGATGCCTGACTTGTGAGTATTCGATTGTGGTGTCCGGCGACTAGAATTTTCGGTGCGATCGATGATTGGGATGCCCTCGGTGGAGCAGCGCAGGACTTGGCACCGGGGAGACACCGGATGGACGGGGGCAGATAGCGTATAGCGACCAACTCGGCCGTATCCTCTTGCCCTGGGAGATTGTGCCTGGGGCGGTGGTCTCTCCCTGTGTCGGTCCCAACCCCACTCTTCAAATCGCACGAATTCTGCGCCGAACTATTCACAACAAGTATGCATGCTGACCTCGCAGCTACCCCGGCGCCAAGCACGGCGGGATCGGCAACATTCTCGTCCTGTTGTCCATCGGCCTCGCGGTGCTGGACAGCATGGGCCTGATCGCGCGCGCGATCGCGTTCTACCGCTCGGGCTCGCGGGACTGGAAGAACTTCTTCTTCGACGCCCTGCAGGGCGCCAAGGAGGACCGCTTCGGCGATGCGTCGCGCTACGAGATGGTCGGGTTCAACGAGCGCGGGTCGAATGCGGTCTTTGAGCTCGGCGACGACGGCGACGACGAGGACGGCCTCGAGTCGCGCCACTCGACCGGCTCCGAGGGCACGCTGCAGGACACGCCGTCTGCGTCCTCTGCTGGCTCGGCGCACCACTTCGAGATGGGCGACCGGCCCAAGGGCAAGTCCGTCTCGCGGCGCCAGGGCGCATTTGACGCGCACCACGAGGACGACCAGCACGAGCACGAGGAGCCCGAGGTTCCCGTCGTCGCGGAGAAGTACACGGCGATGCGTATGGGCGAGATCGCCCTGACGTGGGTGCGCCGCACGCAGGTCGTGATTGCCTATGTGTGCATCTGCACCGGTATCCCGACGTATCTGGGCATGTGCCGTGCGGGCTTCATCAACACGTGCGCCGCGCACATCATCAAGGGCAGCATCTTTTTCGGGTACGGCGTGCTCACGTTTGCGCGCTACCTGGGCGCCTACGCCGACATGGGCTGGGCGTGGAACCGCAAGCCTGCTGGCTCTCGCGCCGTCAGCGCCGAGATGGTCGAGTGCTTCGTCATCTTCCTGTACGGCATCACGAACACGTGGATGGAGCGCTTTGGTGCACACAAGGGAGACCCCTACACTGTCAAACAGGTGCAGCACATCTCCATCGCGGTCATGTTCTGGTTCGCCGGACTGGCCGGTATGCTCCTCGAGTCGCCGCGCGTGCGCCGCGTCCTTGGGGCTGCGATCCATGCCGCCAACCCCCGCGCTAGGACCCCGCCCTCCTACGCGTTCAGCTTCAACCCCCTCCCCGCGCTCGTCATTGCCGTCACGGGGCTGGCGATGGCGGCACACCACCAGGACTACAAGTTCCAGGTCGCCATCCACAGCCTCTGGGGCATCCTTCTCGCTGGCGGAAGTGCATGCCGGTTCCTCACCTACTTCTTCCTCTGGCTGCGCCCGCCTACCGAGTCGACGCTCCCCAGCCGCCCGCCCTCCGAGGTGCTGACGTCCTTCGGCTGGGCCGCCGGCGGTATCGTCTTCATGCTGTCTGATGAGGAGGTCGCATTTGCCGCCATGCGCGCCGGGTTCGACGACATGATGGCCTTCCTCAACGTCACGGTTGCGCTCACGTGTCTCATCTTCTGCTGGATCGTCGTCGTGCTCGCCTGTAAGGGCTATGCGCTGCTGCGTCTCTCGAAGGGCGTTTCGCTCGACATTGAGTCGGCCTAAGCGGCGAGCGCCGAGCGCCGAGCGAAGCGAGGCACGAGCGAAGCGAGGCAGCGAGGCAGCGTCTCGGCTGGCCTGAGCTGGAGAGCAAGAAGTACATGTAGAGGGAAGAGTCACGAAGCCCAAGGATTGTCAGAAGCCTCTCTGTCACCGACTTCAACCATAACGAACCATTAATCTTCTTTATCCCCCATTTTTATAACTTCAACAACACCATTCCACAACTACCGTATAATACCGGGTCGCCTGGGCTAGTGCAGCCCCGGGCGAGATGCATCTTATTCGAATTCATGTCGAGCGAGGCAAGCGCGCCGAAGTGAGGGTTTTTTTGCGAAAAGCAACTGACTACAGCGCAATGAGCTTCTCCGAGACTTGACTGGTGGTTTGACTGCCAAGCCCGTTGCTCTTGCCGGACAGCGACCATAGACGAGTGCGGAGCAACGTTTTGTCGCGCCGAGCTCGATGCCGCCGGCACCTTGACTTGCGGGCAAGCGGTCAGAGAGGGGGTCAACGGCAGAGCTGAGTGGGAATGCTGGAATCGGCCTGACCCTGCGCACCACCTCGACTGCCGGCCGAGACTCGAATCCGGTGGAGCGGACATAGGCGGTGGGCGATGTTGGACGGCGCACATCGCCGCCTACGTCGATAGCACGTGCTCTAGGACTGGTGATGAGCGCCGCAGTGGGGGACAAGATATCCTTGCATCCATCTAGCTGTGTAGCTTCTTATGTCTTATACTCTACAACGTTGACTGGCGACTGCTTCGCCGTCGTCGTCTCATTGGGTCTCGCGGACCGACATGTTCTCGTGGAGCTCACTGCGCTCGCTGCGCTCGCTTCGCTGACTTTAGAGCTTGGCCTTGGGCGTGACCAGCTTCTGCATGCCGTTGATGACCTGCTCGGCGTCGCGCTCAATCGTGGCGCAGAGCTCCTTGCAGCTCGGGATGTCGTGGATCAGGCCGACGGTCACACCCGCACTGTGCGTTAGTGTTGTCCGATGTGACTAGGAGTTGACCGAGGCGCGTCGGTCGCCGATGAGGCACTAGACTTGACCGAGATGTCTCGGGGTGCTAACATGCCACCGCTGCCATCGCGCCTTCTTGCTGACGCAAGACGCCGTACTCACGACCAGATTCCAGCATCGGGGTCACCGTCCTCGTAGACGGTCCTGCCTCGAGCGCCAGAGACGAGGTCACGGAGGTCCTCAAATCTGGCACCCTCGGGGCGGCGCTCGAGACGGACGACCTCGACGGATACCTTGTTCTTGAAGACACGGGCCGTGTTCTTGAGCGAGCGGAAGATGTGGACGGTGTCCTTCTCGTTCGAGTCGACAATCTTCTGCTTGATGTTCTGGTGGATCGGCGACTCCTTTGTGCACATGAAGCGGGTGCCCATATTGGCGCCGGCGGCGCCAAGGGCGAGGGCGGCAGCGAGGCCGCGGCCGTTGGCGATACCACCCGAGGCGATGAAGGGGATCTTGAGCTCCTCGGCGGCACGGGCCATGAGGACGAGACCACCAATGTCGTCCTCTCCCGGGTGACCGGCGCACTCGAAGCCGTCGATCGAGAGCATGTCAACACCGAGCTTCTGGGCAGAGAGCGCGTGGCGCACAGCGGTGCACTTGTGGATCACGTAGCGCTTCGGGACGCTGCTCTGTCCCGCGGGAACGTAGGTCTTGATGAGCTTGATGATCGGGCCGGGGTTGTTGCCCGCAGTCTCGAAAATGTCGATGCCCTCATCCATCGCGGCCTTGACGTAGCCGGCGTAGTCGGGGGGCGTGATCGAGGGAAGAAGCGTGATGTTGACACCGAACTTGCCGTCGGTGCCCTTGAGCATCTCGCGGGTCTTGCGGATCTCGGCGCGGAGAGCGTCAGGCGAGGGCTGGGTGAGGGCGGTGAGGATACCGAGCGCACCGGCGGCGGCGACACCGGCAGCCATGGGGGCGGTGCCGACCTGAAAAACAAAAGTCAGTCACTTGTACGTGGCACCGAAGATCGGCATGTTGTCAATGTGACTCACCCACTGCATTCCACCCTGGACGAGGGGGATCTTGATGCCGAGGGCGCGGGTGAGCTCAGTCTGGATGGCCATTGTGGTGTGAGGTTGTGGGTGGGGGGAGGTGGGAGAAGAAAAGATGTTACAGAATGATATACTGTGGGTGTGGTGGGCCAGTGGTGTCGGTTAGCCTTTGCCGTGGACCGGCGGGCCCCAGTGACTTGAGCGTGGTGTGCACAAAGTCCAACGGCCATGTCCGGTCTACACCGTCCCTTAGTACCGGACGACGAAAGCCAAGCAACGGCTGGCGCCGCCGCTTCAGGCGCCTGACGGCTTTGGCGGGCCTACTACTATATCACGTGATTAGGCGTGCCAACCACGCGCCCGCTCATTTCACCAACTTACATCACAAGAGCTGGCTATTATTTGTGTCGTCCAAAACCCATCCAACCATGCTTCTCGCCCAGTACGACTCGTCCGACGATGAGGCCGGGCCCTCCAACGCCCCCGTACAGAAGGTCGAGGACACGGACGAGACCGACGAGCAGATCGAGCAGCAGGTGCAGACCGATGCGTTCGGCATCGCGACCTCGGGCCCGTCCAAGGTGGCCAAGGTGGACACCAAGGTGTCTGTTGCCGCGGCCCCGGACGTACTGAAGGAGGATCCGAACGACATGGCGAATGCCCTCATCACGCGGTCAACGGACAAGGTCATCAACGTCAACATCAGCTACGACGACATGACGCGCCCGGTGCAAGGACCAGTGGACCCGTTCAACGCGCGCAAGAATGAGGGTATGAACGCAATGAACGGCCACGTCGAGGAGCAGGCTATGGACAGCTACGAGTTTGAGCGCCAGAAGCGTACTTTTGATGTGCATGGGTACGCTCTCGACCCGACTGCGAACGGCGGCGGCGGCTGGATCGGCGCGACGGATGCAGCGGCGGCGAACGGGTTCGGCATGATCGACAACGTCCGCGCAACAAATCGCCAGCGCAAGGAGATGAAGCGCAAGCGAAAGGCGAAGGGAGATGCGAGCATCGTGGATGGAGAGGGATCGTACCTCGGCCCGTGGGCCGATTACGAGGGCGACAAGGCTGGCGAGGAGCCGGAAGTCGAGGAGGAGACGGACGAGTGGCGCGCCGAGAAGAAGCGAAGAGAGGACCTCAAGGCGGCCGCCCAGGAGAGGAATAAGGCTGCGCGCGAGGAGAAGTCCATCTTCCACGGAAAGGAGCTCACCGACTACGCCGGTCGGACGTACATGCACATCCCGACCGATGTCGATGTCCGCCTCAACCCGCCGGACGACGCGCCAGCACCGAATGCCTACGTTCCGGAGCGGTGTATCCACACCTGGCATGGACACAACAAGGGTGTCACTGCCATCCGGCTGTTCCCGAAGAGCGGACATCTGCTCCTCAGTGGAAGTATGGACACGAAGATCAAGCTCTGGGATGTGTACCACGAGGGCAACGTGCTGCGAACGTTCATGGGCCACTCGCAGGCGGTCAAGGACGTCAACTACAACAACAAGGGAACGCGGTTCATCTCGTCCTCATTCGACCGAACAATCAAGGTGTGGGACACGGAGACGGGCCAGTGTGTTCAGGCGTTCTCGAACGGCAAGATTGCCAATGTCGTCAAGTTTCAGCCGGACCCGGACAAGCAAAACATCTTCCTTGCGGGTATGCAGGACAAGAAGATTATCCAGTACGACCTGCGATCGCATGAGATCGTGCAGACGTACGACCAGCACCTTGGCCCGGTGAACACGATCACGTTCATCGACAACAACCGGCGATTCCTGACGACGTCGGACGACAAGACGATTCGCGGATGGGACTATGACATTCCCGTTGTCATCAAGTACATTGCCGAGCCGTACATGCACTCGATGCCTGCGGCGGCAAAGCACCCGAACGGCAAGTACGTGGCGTTCCAGTCGCTCGACAACCAGATCCAGATCTACGACACGATGAACGGCATCCGGCAGCACAAGAAGAAGCACTTTTCGGGCCACACGACGGCGGGCTATGCGTGCGGCATCAGCTTCTCGCCCGATGGCAAGTACATCTCGTCTGGCACTGGCGGCGGCGACGTTGTGTTCTGGGACTGGAAGACGGGTCGCATCGTGAAGCGACTGAACGCGCACAAGCAGGTGGTCATTGATCACTGCTGGTTGCCGAATGAACACGTAAGTGGCGCAGGCGCTTCTCCAAAGCTCCCTGCAAGATGATTGACCCGACACAAGGCAAAGGACGGTATGCTGACAAATCACAGTCCAAGGTCATTACGGCGTCCTGGGACGGACTGATCAAGCTGTGGACGTAGTTGTAGAGCGGTGGGGGGTAGTGTTAGTCGCCGAGGCGATGCATGTATCAGAGTATCTTGGATAGTGTCAGCAACGAAGAGCTACTAGTCACTGCTTACCCGACCAGATCTGGCAGTATCGGCCCGGTGGAGGTCGATCAGCCAGCAGGTTACGCGTAGTCTGAGATCTGGATTGTGGGATTTTTGGTCCCGCTTTGGATCCCGCCCGCCACTGAAGGGGAAGTGGAGGTGACAATGACGGAGTGAGTGGTGGATGGTCTAAGGGCGTGTAGGCGCTCTAAGCTCTAGGCGGTACTGGGCGTTGCTGGGTGCCAGTGAACGGCATCGGCCAGGGACACTGCAGCCATGCGCTCAGGACACTCACACCACTCACCAACTCATCATCCTCACCGCACACTCGCGACCACTCTACTGCTACCACACACGCACACACACACTCACCTCATATCCACCCACCACCTCCTTCCACTTCCCATCGCAGCGCTACCCCCACCACCGCGCCCCCCTTCCCATCGCCCTCCCCATCTCTTTCTCGTTTGTCATCCCCTTTCGCTTTGTCCACAACACTTGGTTGTCATCCACCTTCTCACAGGCCACGGGCCGTCCACACGACCTCCCAAGACCTTCCCTCTCCGTCTTCGTCGTCCACCTCTCCCACCCCCTTGATCGTTCACCATGAGAGAGTCAAACTACACCTTCCCCCCGTCCAACAGGGCAGTCATCAGCATCAACCAGATGCTCTATGACAGAAGAGGTGAGTGGCCACACACCCCGCATCCCCCCTAACGCGTTCCTTCCCTATGACTCATCGCTTACAACTTCCCCGCAGCCCTCGACACAAACTCGACGCTAGCATTGCTCAACAATCTCTGCCAGCTGACCTACCTCTCGTCGACGTCGCCGAGGATACGAGAGGTCCTCACTATGGACGGGGGCCTCGAACGGCTGCTGGACATCTTAAGAGACTCTTGCCTGCCGCGCGAGCCTACGATGCCGGATCTCTGGGGTCTCAACGGACCATGCACCGCACGTACCATCAACGTCGACCACGCCATCTCCCTTCGCCACTCGCTCGCGTTTCAGTGCGTCGTCAACATTGGTGTGCGCGGCAACGAAGCGATTCGTAGCCGTGTCGTGCAGGCCGGTGCATTGGATATTGTCGCCCAGATCCTCGAGTCATGGCTCAAGAAGAACGGCATTGCAATCCACTCGTCATCGCTGGGATCTCAGGCTGCTGTCGATGCCCTCGCTGCGGGTGTCCCGCTTCCGGGGACGGCGTCCAGGCGTCATCGGCCATCGGGCTCATCTCGCAGCCACCACCACCGGGACCGGGGGGACCGTGACCAGCGCGATCAACAACAGGCTTCCGCATCTCAAGCACCGTCACAACCCCAGTCGCAGTCACAAGCACAGCCGCAGCCTCAATCCCCCCATCCTCCCGCAGCCACCGCCAACGCTCACGCCTACCCGCCTGGCGCCGCCCCGCCGCCAAACACACTGCTCTCCGCGGCCCATGCGACAGCCACCGCTAACGCAGCTGGGCAGCCCAACTCGAGAGGGCTGCAGTATGTCGCCAACCTGATCACCAACCGTTTGAACCCGAGGCAGCAACCGGCTGAGCAAGTTACTGTTACGCGAGCACCCGTGACCACGAACTCGGTCGACACGGATGTCGACATGGCCGACGGCGAGACTGAGGGTGGGGAAACTGACACGGCAGGGGACACGGATACTGGCGCAGACATTAGCATGGACATTGAGGACAGTGGTGCGCCGTCACCAGACCGTGACGCAACCATTGGCCCGGCGGCTGGAACGACGACCACCCCACGACCACGCCTTCCTCTGCTCCCTCTGCAGATCGGCCGTCGCTCACCCGACCAACCGCAAGGCACCAGCAACGCTACATCGCTGTCCGAGGACGAGCCGACCACCGCTATTCCTCGCGCTCGGTCGGACAACAGTCTCGCCATGTCGAACGCGCAGGCTGCGGCTGAGACCGGACGCCCGACTTCCGGAATGGCGTCCAGGCTCCACCAGGTCGCTACCGAGGCTGTCAGCACCCAGTCGAGCCCGATGGGCAGCCCGACGCACCATGAGCACGTTGAGGGAATGCGGGGACGTCGCGGGACTATCGTTGGACGACCGCTGCTCCTCCCGCCGAGGGAGCAGCAGCCCCGCACGGATGACAGCGAGATCTCGGATGCCGCCCCTGATCCAGACCTTGCACGCACGACGCTGAGTGCCGGATTTGCTGCCGCGGCCGCGAATGCTGCTATGGAAGCCGCCACCGCCGTTCAGAACCAGCCGGACAATGCGCCTCAACCCGCCATCGTTGAGCAAGCTGGTACGAACGAGGAGCCTGATCCCGAGATCCTCGCCGCCGAGCAGGCCCGCTTCGACATGGAGGCCGGCGCTCCGCCCGGCCAGCCCGGTGCCGCGGCTCAGACCCCCCGCGTGACTCCCAACGACGGCCCTCTGCAGAACACGACCGTCGCGGAGCTCATCGCCCAGCCCGTTCAGGCGCAGCCCGCCCAGATCATCATCGCCAATGGAGCGCCTCGCGGATTCCAGGACCTCGGAGCTTACGTGGGAGTGAGCCTCCTGCTCAACCCGGAGGGCACCAACTACTCGGAGGACAACATTCTGCTCGCTCTGCAGCTTTTGGCGTATCTCTCAAAGTACCCTCACGTTCGCTCCACGTTCCACCACCCCCGCAGGCCGATGCACAGGACGTTCGACCTCGGCCCCGACGACACCGACTACCCTCTTCCGCAGCGACCGGCGTACTCCGAGACTCCCAACATCTTCTCTTTGGTGGAGCGCTTCACCTTCCGCGCCTCGCCTCGGACCCTCACATGTACAAGATCCCCAGCGACATCCACTACTGGGCCGGTGTCATCATGCGCAACGCATGCCGCAAGGACGACGCCCGCGGCGGTATCCGCCAGTGCGCCTACATGTCGTGCGGCCGATGGGAAGTGTTCCCGAGAGAGTTTGCCAAGTGTCGCCGGTGCAGGAAGGCCAAGTACTGCTCCAAAGAGTGCCAGAGCAAAGCCTGGAGCGAGGGACACCGTTTCTGGTGCTCCATTCGTTCCGAGTCGGAGGCGACGGAGACTAACGCCAATGCTGGTGGTGAAGGAACCGAGCGAGGCTCGCGGGGCGGTGAAGGTCGTGGTGGTGGCGGTGGCGGTGGTGGCAGCCGCCGTGACCCTCCTCCTGCCGACGACGACGATGACGACGTCGACATGGATGGTGGTGCCTTAAGTCAGTTGTTAGACGGCGAAACAACTAGCCTGTCGCGTCATGTGAGGCGGTCCTGAGATGTCAGCTATGCGTCGGAGATGAAGCTAGGATCCGTGTAATGATGTTGACTCACGCATTCTTCGCCGCCTCACTGAGTTCTGCTCGTGTCAGCTGTTAGTTGTTCTAGGTGGTGGCAGCCGCCGTGACCCTCCTCCTGCCGACGACGACGATGACGACGTCGACATGGATGGTGGTGCCAACGGTGGTGCCGGGGCTCGCGCTGCCGGCAGCGGTACCACACAGGCCGCCCCCACACCTCTTCCGACCGCCCGCGGCGTCACCCACCTCGCTGGTCCTCCTCCCGCTGGCGCTGCTGCCCCCGTTATGCCTCAGCGCACCGCTCCCCTCTTCGCTCCGTCGGTCGATCGTCCCCCCAACCCCACTGTAACCATTTCACCCCCTCCATCAGCATCCGCAGCATCGACATCATCCGAGACGACCCCGACGCGCGAGACGACGCGGCGCCCGTCCCCCGACCGCAGCGACGATGGTGTTCCGTCGTTCCTGAAGTCGGGTCGCGAGGCCGGCCCCTCATCGACAGCGGAGATGAACGCTGCGATGCTGAGGCGCCGTTGAGCAGTTAAGTAGGACCGAGGAAGGCAGGGAAGGAAGGAAGAAGAAAGACAGCAGCAGCATAGCAGCAGAGCATTCATTACATTGGGCATTGAGTTGTCAATCATTTCAGCACGGTTCTTGTCATGTAGCCAGGATGTCACGAGAATGCACAGCATGCATGTTACGAGAGCTCCAGTGGTACTATGTTGTGGTAGGTGAGCGCCGAGCACGTGACTTCGCTACCCTGACAAATCCGTCTTCACCACGCAGCTCCCCTCACGCATTACCAGACGAGGTGAGTGCATGTCTTCATAAACTAGCAGAGCTGCATGAGTCAGGCTAAGCCAATGTAGACCGAGAACGTCGGTGAACCGAGCAGATTGTCGTGTGAGGAACCTCCATACAGCGTCATAGGGCGTTGTCGAGCGGAACCAAAATGTTTGTGTCGTTCCCTCAGTCTGAAGATTTCAGAACCAGACCTCCACTCTGGGCACGGCAGCACACACTACACAACCGCATACACACGACCTTGGCATCGCACAGCACCCAGCATGTCGACCGAAGTCAAGCTCCTGACGCTCCTAAACGTGAGCGCAATCAAGCGGCCGCGGGAGCTCGACCTGCCCGGCGGCTTCCGCTCTCCCTCGACCTCTCGCCCGCAAAGTGTCGACGGCGCCGAGCCGGCGCCCAAGAAGAAGCGCGGGGTCGTGTTTGGCGGCGAGATTGGACCGAGTGGCAGCACGTACGGAAAGAAGGGAAAGGGCAAGAAGGCCGTCAAGATTGCAGTCGAGGAGAATGAGGACGGCGAGGAGGTGATTGAGGAGATTGTGGAGGACGGAGAGGACGAGGAGTCTGCCGAGGGAGAGGGCGAGGACGACGACGCCAACGACGACACGTTCAACACGCACTTTGGACCCGAGACGCCGCTACTCTCACGGATCGAGGAGGCGAAGGAGGGACAATGGACGCAGCACCGGGCAACCATCAAGGGCCTTGGACGGGTGGTCGAGATGCGGCCTGGCGACGCCCCGGCGGCAGAGGGATCGGCGCGAGTGAGTAGCAGCTTCCCCTCGGAGTTAAGCTGACCCCAGGTTGTTCCTTCGATTTCGGCAGGATTGAAGAAGTCGGCGCACGCCGGTCTCGCCTCGAGCTACCTCCAGCAGCTTGGACGATACACGGATCTGTACGCACACTCGCTCGACGGAGAGGCGGACGGCAGCGAGAAGGCGCCGTGGGGGCCGAAACGCGAGGCGCTGCGCGCCGCAACGGCAGCCCACCTGATGAACCACGTTCTGAAGACGCGGCGGCGCATCGTGCGCAACAACGAGAAGCTGGCGCACGCCCTCGATGCGGGCAAGGACATGGAGCCGCCGCGGGACCAGTCGTTCACTCGGCCGAAGGTGCTCCTCCTCCTCCCCACGCGTGCGCTTGCGATCCGGTGGCTCGCAAACCACCTCTTCCCCCTCGCTCCCGAGGGAACACAGATTGAAAACCTGCGCCCGTTCCTGTCCTCCTTTGGCGTTCCCGAGGGTGAGGAGCCGGACCTCTCGGCCCTGCCTGCGGACCACCAGGAGAACTTCAGCGGCAACACGGACGACAACTTCCGCCTCGGCCTCAAAGTCACGCGCAAGGCATGGCGCGTCGTCATGCCCCCAACAACGGAAGCCAAGCTGCTCGACTGCGACGTGGTGATCGCCTCCCCGCTCGCGCTCAAGATGGCGCAGGAGCGGGAGAAGAGCGTCGACTTCCTGAGCAGTATCGAGATCTGCGCGGCGGACGGACTCGACATCATGCACATGCAGAACTGGGAGCATGCGGCATGGGCGCTGAAGCAGCTGAACCACATTCCCGAGCAGCCGCACGGGTGCGACTTCTCGCGCGTCAAGCCGTGGTACCTCGACAACCAGGCGCGGTTCCTCCGCCAAACCCTGCTTATGAGCCGGTACGACAGTCCCGAGTTCCGCGCGGTCTTTGGGGCGTGCGAGAATGTGGCGGGCAAGGCGCGCGTCGACGCGAGCGCCGCGCTCGAGGGCGTGCTTGACCGTGTCAGGCCGGGGGTGCGGCAGAGCTTTGAGCGCATCGCCACCGAGCAGCGCGGCATGGGCCCCGATGCGGCGCTGGAGGAACTCGACGCGCGTTTCGAGCACTTCACGAAGCGCACGCTGCCGGCCCTCCTCCGCTCCGCCGTGCAGAGGCAGCACACGCTTGTGGTTATCCCGAGCTATTTCGACTTTGTCCGGCTGACAAACCACCTGAAGAAACAGCGCACGCTATCCTTCACCGCTGTGTCCGAGTACAGCTCGAACAGCGAGATCTCCCGCGCGCGCACCCTCTTCTTCAAGGGCAAGAAGGACTTTTTGTTTATTACGGAGCGCTTCCACTTCTACCGTCGGTACCGCCTGCGCGGCGCCAAGACGGTCGTCTGGTACGCTCTCCCCGAACACGCCCAGTTTTATGCCGAGTTCCTCGCCACGCCCTTCATCCCTGGTAAGGGGCAGACGGAGGCCGAGGTGGATACCGACCCCGCAGAGGTGTCAAGCAAGGCGCTCTTCAGCCGGTTCGATGTGCTCAAGCTTGAGCGTGTTGTGGGTCACACGGACGCGAGGCTCATGCTGTCGTCTAGCGATAGCAAGTTTGAGTTTGCGTAGAGGTCACTTAGAGTTCATTTTGTCACATATGCATTTATAGGTTTAACGGGAGAGAGCGCTGGGGGTTCAGCTGGAGTATCAGTGCAATCAAGCTGGGCTCCACTCACCAGTCTGGCCATGACCCGCCGCACGCTCTGCGATGTCAGCTAGTTGAGGGAGAGAGCTTTTCAGCTGAACACACCCTACTCCAGTCTGAACGTCAGCTGACGCACAATCGTTCGTAGCTGGACTCACCTCTTCCGATCAACGCCGGGCGCACGGGCAAGCACTGAGGTCAGCTTTCCCAGTCCCCGCCAGCTGCCCACCCACGGCTGTCCAAGACCTGAACGTCAGCTTTCACATTGCCACACCTGCTGAGCTGTAGCGAGCGGGAATAGGGGGCGAGGGTTGCCAAGGGCGGACTCACACATGCTCACACAGATGTTTCGTTCTGCAGTGTCAGCTACAGAGGCGAAGCCAATTGAGCTACGCACCTCATCGCCTGGGTGCTAGCTTCGTCGTAGTGAAAGGCCCAGCTGTGCATCCACCCGTGATGAGCTGTGGGGGTCAGCTACGCGATAACGAGATGGTCAGCTGGGCACAGTTGGAGCAACGCACGAGATAAAAAGTCTGCCCATTAGCTGGATTTTCGTACAGTTCCACATAGCTATCCGCCTCACCCTGGCGTTGTGCTCGTTGTGCCGATCTGCAGTGGTTAGCTGAAGCCCAATTCGATGAAGCTACGCACCACGGATGTGCGGACTGCTCGAATCAGCTGTACGTTTCTTCGCAGCTGGAGTGTGGGCTGCTTGTGTCAGCTTCAGCGGGACAACTTACAGCTGCGCACCTTAAGTATGGCTCACGAGAGGGTCTGGGTAATTAGCTAGAAGATAAGACTTGGCTAGACGACAGCTACAGTACGGAAGATCTCAACAGGACGCACCGGGTGGGCTTGTGGCCACTTCACTGTCGCATGGCCATGGCCAGGCTGTTGGTAGATGGGCTCGCGTAACCTGGTTAAGTCAGTTGTTAGACGGCGAAACAACTAGCCTGTCGCGTCATGTGAGGCGGTCCTGAGATGTCAGCTATGCGTCGGAGATGAAGCTAGGATCCGTGTAATGATGTTGACTCACGCATTCTTCGCCGCCTCACTGAGTTCTGCTCGTGTCAGCTGTTAGTTGTTCTAGGCCCAGCTACTCACCAAAGCTGAGCTGCAGCGCACAACCTCACTGGACAGGTCAGCTGTGAAGTCCGGCGTATGTTTAGCTTACCCGACTTGCACTCTGCAATGACGGTCTGTTGGAGTTAGCTGGGACGTCTCACAGTTGCAGCTAGACGCCTCACAGTCTGTTCAGTCAGCTTCGGCATCACTATGGTAGCTACTTGCCTTCTTTACCTTCGTCTTCGACAGGACGTTCTAACATGTCAGCTTGCATGGACTCAAGCCAGCTGCCAACAGACCTTCTTGGCTCCGTTGACTCAGCCCTGCTGGTATTAGCTGATTCGTGCTTAAACTGTAGCTACGTACTTAAGTCTTCGGTGGTAACGGGTGGTCTGCTAGGCTAGCTGATCTCGTGACACATCGCAGCTATCCGTGACTTTGTTGTTGATATTGGTATTCGCTCGTACTCAGAAGCGCGGATAAAGCGAAAGGTTAGCTCGCGTCCTCCAGTACTTGAGCTAAAAGCACCCACCGCAGTTCCTTTTGAGTTTTACAAGAAAGGCTGCTACGTCAGCTACTGCTCGGGAACTCGAGGAAGCTATGCGCACCGATGGCACGACCACACAACAAGCGGCGAGTCTCAGAGCCTCTGAGGGCAGCTCGCACTTCAGCATCTCAGAGACAGCCATACACTAGATTCTAAAGGCCTTTCGGGACACTGCATGTTAGCTGACGAGTGCTACAGTTGCTGAGCTAATTTCCGAGAGGCTGTGCGACTCACTGTTGCCCGCACGGTTGTCTGCGTGAATCAGCTGCTGATGCATCAACTGTAGCCACCATGTACACCGACTGCTTTCGATTTGTTAAGTCAGCTCGTGTAGGGAGGTTGGAAGCTACGCAACATCCTCATATCCTGTGGTATGGCCGCTGTCTCTCAGCCAAAGCGAGCCGCGCGTGGCTGGCAATCGAGCGGTGGGTTCGACTCACAAGCGTCTGCAGGTTAGCTAGACGTCGTGTACAACAGCTGCGCACTTGATGGTCTGACAACTGAGCATCTAAATGGGTGGCTCTGGAGGGATTAGCTACGTACCTCAAGGGGGGAAATAGCTACGATACGTACCAGTAAGCTCGTCGAACGTAGCTTGCTCACTACTTCCACCATCCGGGAATTGAAAGTCAGCTCGTGGGAGAAGAAGCGGCGCTTAAGCTCATCACGCACACCTTGGACTGAGAACATAGGCTTATAGGGTGGATGCAACGAGAGTCAACTCAAGTACAGAAGATATGCACATGTGGAGCATGAGAAGGAGCCGTCAGTTGACGTGTCAAGGGCGCAGACCAGATCTCTGACGTGCATTCGAAGGAGTTGTGTGAGGATCACACAAGACAGTGACGTCGAGGTACACAACGCCCGATTCTGCCACAAACGGGTGTCGGTCCGGACAAGCCACCAGCCTCCACCTTGGCTTCTGCCTCATCTCGACTGCCCCAACGCCCAGATCTTCCAGCTGTTCTATAAACGCGCACATCACGCACCACGCCAAGCGCGGAGTGATCGACGATCACCGCTCGTGTGCCCGTGTTCGTCGTTGGGGCGAGACCCATTCGCGTCGCTGCCGAGGGAGGCGACGGTTGCGAGCAGCAGAATGCAGAAGTCGAATCACGCCGCGGAGAAATACCGAATCGGACCTGACAATCACGGAAAATAGCCGAGACGCCGGACTTCTGCAATAATTCAAAAGGGGCAGCCCTTCCCTGCTCCAGACCCCGTGCGCTGCACATGATCTCTGTCCAGCTTGGGCGGAGGATGATACAGGGGCTCAGACTTAGGATCAACGCGTCTCCGTGCTCTGAGCTGCATACTCGATAAGCGACTCCATGGTTAGTCACAGAGTGGAGGTTGCGAGATAGGACGATGTCGCACCCCAAGCCTTGTGGCGTGGGCACGGCTCTACGCTTGGCTCGGTTGACTCGGCCCAGGAAATACATTCGTGCCAGGCCAAGATATCCAGCTGGATCCACTGGTGTCCTGCCAGCCAGCACTGTCAGACAGCGGGAGTAGCGGAGCAGAACGAGACCCGAACATCCAAATCCCCTGCATGCCCTTCACTCTCGTCCGCATCCCAGGGATTAAGGCACCGCCGGTCCGGTGAAGTCCGCCCCTCTGTTGTTGCTCCGCTATATCCACTTTTAGCCAGCTGACCTGAGCCGGACTTCAGGCAGTTGCGGGGTAGGGTAAAGCAGCAACTCCGGACTCTCACCCGGCTCGCGGAGACCCATTGTGGAGAGGTGTCGCTGTCTCTTACGTCTTGTTTCTCACTTCTTCCTCTTTAACTGTTCAGAACCTGTCGATATCTTACTCTTCCAAACATCTCATCCTTTCGGCCCCACTTTGCGATAGGCTGGAGCCCAGCCCCGCAAACGACGGACGACCGACCCTGACGACCTGAAATACTCTGGATAACGAACGATCGTATCGCATCCAAAGTAGACAGGGACATTGGCACCTGAAGACCTGAAGACTGTCGGAAAAAGAACGCTCCATATTGCTCGCAGCGCCGACCAGCACTTTTGCATTCGAACACCACGACGAGAACAACAAAGATGACCGACACAAGGTCAAAGCCATGGCGGGACCCCTCCCTCCCCGACGGGGACTGCATTCACGCGACAGACGCCCAGCGGCAGGCGCTCGTCGAGGCCGAGTTCGGCGCCTACCCCACGGCCAGCTTCAACGACGTCCCTTTGGCCCGAAACGTCTCGCGCGTCTCGGCTCAATCGGGTACACAACACGTCCTTCCTTCTGGAGTCGAGGGCTACGATGAAAAGGGAAGAGGTGGAGCGGGAGGGCAGACATTGGAGTACCATGCCGAAAAGGGCGAGACGGAGGCGCAGCGGGAACATGACGAGAACCAAGTCCTCGAGGAGGCCAGTAGGATGGAGTACGTCGAGCCGGGATGGAAGGGGTGGCTGAATTGCGCTGGAAGTTTCCTGGTTAACATGCTTTGCTGTAAGTCGTCTCACCTATGGGGTTGTGGCACCCGCTAACGTCCAGATGGAATGACACAGTCATGGGGTGTCTTCCAGCAAGAGTATGCCCACGGCAAGCTGAGCAGCACGTCGGGTATGGCTGTATCCTGGATCGGTTCTATCCAGTTCGCCCTCCGTCCGATGCTTGGATGCGTTTCAGGACCTCTTCTCGACTGTGGCTATCTTAAGCAACTCATGATGGTCGGCGGTCTCCTGTACACTTTCTGCCTCATGATGGCCTCCCTGTCAAAGGAGTACTGGCAAGTCCTTCTGTCGCACGGTATCGGCGTCGGTATCGGGATGGGTCTCATCTTCTCGCCGTCTGTCGCGACGCTGTCCCACCACTTCGCCCGGAGTCGATACCGCACACTCGCCTTCGGCCTCCAGGCCTCCGGCTCCGCCATCGCCGGCATCTTCCTCCCCATCATGCTAAACTACCTCATCCCCGCCGTCGGCGTGGACTGGAGTCTGCGCATCCTCGGCTTCCTCGTGCTCGCGTTCAGCGCCTTTGCCTTCTTCGCGCTCAGCACGACCGTCGCGCCGCGGAAGAAGGTCGCCGTCCTCTCCCCCGAGGTCTTCCGCAACAAGGCGTACACCGTCTACGTCGCCGGCGCCTGTCTCGCCAGTATGGCCATCTACGCGCCGCAGACGTTCGGTGTGACATATGCAACAAGCAAGGGCGTCCCCGTCTCGCTGGCCAACTATGCCCCCGCCATCGCGAACGGCGTCAGTCTCTTCGGCCGTATCATCCCCCTCTTCTTTGCGCAGCGCATTGGTCCCATCAACGTCCTCGCCGCCTTTGGATCGGCGAGCGGGATCATGATGTACTTCTGGACGCTGACCAACTCGGTCGGCGCGATCCTCGCCTACGACGCCATCTACGGTATTGCTTCTGGAGGCTATGGCGCCAGTATGAACCCCGGAGCGGCCTCTTTCGCTCCGCACACGAACCAGGCCGGCTTGTACCTCGGCATGTGCTTCTTCGTCTCGGGCTTCTTCTGGCTCGCGGGAACGCCCATCACCGCGCAGCTCAAGGACACGAACGACACGTACCTCGAGGCGTCCATGTTCTGTGCCACAGTCGTGCTCGTCGGCAGTATTGGCATTGGTGTCTCGCGCGTTATGCGCAGCAAACAGGTCGGCACTCCTTGGGTGTGAGCCTTCTCTCTGGTTATACAGTGCACTCTTGAACTATGTAATCTCTATGCATGATGTAACTCTATCCCTGGAATGGTTGTCTACTTCTTGACGTCGACGCTCGTGACAATGCCGGCGCCGAGACGCTTGATCTCCTCGATGACCGCAGCCTTGTTCAGCGACACGAGACTCTTGCTCGCCGGCGCGGTGTTGTATCCGAGCAGTGGCTTGAAGGCCCTCGGCGTGATGCGCTGGGGGTTGAAGAGGATGCCAATGGCACGGCCGCCGTTCACATCGTGGAAGACGAGCAGTGCGTCACCGTACAACCGCTGGATGTCGGCAGCCAGGAGGCCGGCGGGGTCGAAGCCCAGGCGGACCTCGTGCGCCTCGGCGGAGCGGAAGCCGGACGGAATCTCAGGCTTCAGCGCCTGCGCGGCGCGCGTTCCGGGAGAGAGATGGAAGACGGCGTCGTAGTGATCGAGCGGGGTCGCGAAGAGCGCGGGGACGTCGAGCGGGCTAGCGTTGCGGACGGCCGCGAGCGTGGCGCCCGCAAGAGCCTGCACACGGCCCGCAATCAGGGGACCGACATTGCCCGTCCACCGCGTACCGCTCGTGTCGGTCTCGGTGACGATGCTCCAGGCGTGCTTCTCACCGCGGCGAGAGAAGGCAGCCAGAGCCTCCTCGCGCTCTGCGGTCGGGAAGCGGGGACGTCCGCTGGCGCTCGCCGCATCGCGCGTGACAGCAACGAGAGGGACGAAGAGCGGCGACGTGCGCCAGTCCCAGGCGGCGAGTTCCTCAAGTGTGCGGAGGAAGCCAGCCGTCGCACCAGCAGGAGCGCCGAGGCTTCCGGGCGCGAGGTACGTGTGCGCAACGAGAAGCTCGAGGGCCTCACCCTCGATACGGAGCATGTGCGCAGCCGTCCAGCGCTTCATGAGACGCACCGCGGTCGAGAAGCTCGGGAAGCGGTGGTGCATCGGCGCAAGCGTGGAATGGTGCCGCGGCTCGTGCTCGAAGCGACGCTCCCACTTGGCAAGCGCGGGAAGGAGCAGCCTTCGTGGCGGCGCAGGCGGCTTCGGCACACCGGGGCGCGCGGGCTCGAGGGCACGCTCGATCATCACCTTCTCCTTCTCGTACATGATGCGCAGGCGGAAGGCGACACCGTCCATGAGCAGCTCAAGCGAGGCCTGGTCCTCGACGGCAGTGGCGTCAGCATCGAGAGCAATGGCCATACGGGCCCGGATGCGGGGCTGGAGCACACGGGCGACCTTCTCGAGCAACGCGAGCTTCAGAGCCTGGACAGCCTCGAGGTCGTCCGGCCAGCGAGGCGAAGACTCGAACTGCAGCCTGATCTCGGCGACGGGAACGTATCCCAGCGACTCGGGGGCGGTCGCGAGGCGGTTGGCATCGACAGGGTGGGGGACGAAGACGGAGGCGTAGCGGAGGAGCTCGCTCGCGGGCGTGACGTTGAGCACACCGAGCGGGAGCTCGTCATCGATGTTCTTCAGCACGCTGTGCAGCTTCTGGTACGCAGTCATGATGGGCGCGAAACCCTGAGTCTCCGAGTTGGCGACACAAACGGCGTCACGAGCGGCATCCGGCACCTGGATGATTTGCAGCCAGCTGTCGTTCGCCGAGCGAGAGGCAACGGAGACGGCACCGAGGTGGCGCTTCAGCAGCCACTCAGCCGCCTGGAACGGAATCTGCGCACGCTGCTCCGGCCGGTGCGGCGTCCAGAGCACCGACTCGGCAATGACACCGTTCTGGTACCGGCGCAAGTCGGCCTTCTCGCCCCAGAGAGCGCGGTAGGCGGCGCACGCCTCCTGCTGGTCCGCATGCGGTCCAACGTCGAGTGTCCGTCCGGCCTCCTCGCCATTCAGGAGTAGACCGACAGCGAACTGCGTGTCGGACAGGACGGTGGTATGCACGATGCGAGCGCGGTCGGTCAACCCCTGTCGTACAACATCCGCGGCACGGTGCGCGAGGCGGTCGATCGCTCTCGACTGTTCAGCCTCGGCCACGAGGCCAGCGTCAGTCTTCGCCTTCGAAGCGTCAACACTGGACGTCAGCTAACGATAAGCAAAGGGAAGCTTACATCATGTACTCGTCATAGGTGGCCGGGCCGAGCGTCTCGGCGCGGAGGAAGACGTCCTGGAAGTGGTCGGCAGCCGTGTCCTCGAGCATCGCAAGCGTCTCGCGCGCGTGATACCGGAGCTGATGTCAGCTAATTCAGGGCGACTCTCAGCACTCACCATCTCAACGTCACCCTTCTCCCAGCCCGCGAAGAGGTTGACCGTTCCCGTGGCGTCGACGAGGACGTCGCCAGAGAATTCGGTGCGGGGCACATTGGCCTCGCCAAGGAAGACAGGCGTTTCCTCAAAGTCGGTGTGAGCGAGGTTCTCCCAGGCGGCACGGAGCGCGCCCCACGGAGGAAGCGCCTTGCCAAGTCCGCGCTGGCGACGGGGCTTGTCGCCTCCAATCTCGGCGCCCTCGACGACCCATCCCAGAAGCATGGAAGCGAACCATCCACTTCCTCCGAGATGGCGGGCGATTCCGCGGCGCGCGGCCCAGATGCGCCAGAGGGCGAGGAACTTGTCAGCTCCGCGGTCGCCCAGCGCCTGCGCCAGGCGGTGAAGGTGCAGAAGGTGCGGCTTGTGAAGCGTGTCGAGGAGGAGGGAGGTGGAAGTCTGCGGTGTCGGGGTAGCCTCGTCGGCGGCCCTGATCAGCGACTTCGAGGGGTACAGTGTCGCGAGGGGGAAGACGTCGGGCGCGCCGGCGTGAATCCGCACGTCGACGGCGCGCTTCAGACCCTGGGCCTTGCCCGCACGAATGCTGATGATGGGGCGGCGAGCATCCGCGTGCTCCCAGGTAATCTCGGCACCCTTCAGCGGTCCGTTCTCCTTCGCGGCGCTCTTGAGTGCCTGCGCAATCACGCCGAGGTAGTACGCCCGCTTGTGGAAGTAGCGGTACGCCGTGCGGTCTTTTGCGGAGAAAAGGGACTGGATGTCAGCTCTCTACGCCTGTTGTGAGCTTACCGATGGCATCATAACAACAATGTCAATGTTCCCCTCCTCGCCCTTCGCCTTCTTGTATCCACCAACAACTGGCCAAGAGCCGGCGACGAGCACTTCCGTCGGCTTCTCGAATCCAAGCTTCCACTGCACCTCCTCAGCCGTCGGGAGCAGCGCCTTCGGTCCCGGGAACGGCACGCCGGGCACCTTCTTGATGGCCTTCTTCGGAGCAACGGGGGCCATCTCGGGGAGAGAATGCACAAGGTCGTGAACAGCGCCGAGGAGGGTTTTGAGCCCTGCCGCCGGCGTTGTGCTCAGCAGCGCGCTGCCGAGCAGCTCGTCGAGCTGCATGCTGAACGTGTTGCCGCCACTGGCCTCGGCATCGCGCAGCTCGTCGAGCTCCTTCAGCGTCGGCGCCTTGTACAGCGACTTCTTGGGTGCTGATGACGAAGCTGCGGGCGTGTCTTCCTCGCCGTTCTCGGCAACCTCATCTCCATTGAACTCGGGCACATTGTCGTCCTCGTCCTGGTCCATGCCATCGAACTCGGGGACGTCATCGTCATCCTCATCTTCGTCGTCGCTGTCGTCCGAGTGCTGCGGGTCGATCATGGGGTCGACGAGCGTCGAGTGCGCAGCATACTGCTCGATCTCCTCATCGGTATCGGGCTCGACAGCCTTCGCCTTTCCTTTCCGTGACTGGGATCAGCTTCCGAGGTAACCAGCCAGCTTACCTTCTTCTCAACGGGAGCACCGGAGGTGCTTTTCCTCTTGACGCCCATGGTGGTGTGGTATGTACTGAGCAAGGAAGGCAAAGACGTCAGCCGCCCAGATGCAGTTGTTGTGAACTCTCGCCCAGCGACCGCAGACAGGCAGGCGCGGAAATTTCAGTGAGTGGCCCCGCAAAAATCTTGGCTGGGATGCATGGCTCGTCCCTGAAATTTCACCTGCTTTGAGCTGGAGTCTGCGCGCTTGTCCGTCGTTTCACGGCCCGATCGCGAACTGATCTGTTTTCGCTGCCATTTGCACTGTTTACACATACCCGAAAGAATCACAGGATGCGCTTCCTCGACCAGCTCAAAGCCAAGCTGGAACCGGCCACTACGGAATCGACAGGCGGCGTCGACGCCAAGCCCCAGCCGTCTGGCGCCCCGGCACAGGCTGCTGCCGTCCCCGTCGATCACCAGAGCGCTTCAGCTGAGCCAGCAGAGCCGCATATCGACGACCACAAGCCGAACCCGAAGGTCGCTGTTGCCGTGGCTGGAGCCGCTGTGAGTGTTCCCTATGTCTCTGCTTCGCTTGCAGCTAAGGCAGAGGCGGCACTATGAGCTGCGTAGTACCGATCACGAGCTGACCCCAGCTCGCCGTTACGACAGGTCTGACGCTCCTGATCCTGTCGTATGTGAAGCAGGCGGCTACCATGCAGCAGACGACGCAATTCCTGAACCAGGGTCTGCGTGGTCTCCCTTCACGACCGGCCATGAGTGCGCGGCCGGTCCGCTCGTCAGAAGCGTTCAGGCCAAAGCCCGCCTCTGCCGCCTCAGTCTCGACCTCTGCTCCCGCCTCGTCCTCGGCCGCTGCGCTCGACTCGCAGGTCCTCGCCGATCTCGAAGCGCAGGACCGCGCCGACGACCTTGTCCACGCTAGCTCGACCGTGCCGCTCGAGAACTCTGACCTGATCCGCTGGCGCGAGTTCAACAACGCCGAGGAGGACCACCTCTACGGCCCCGCCGCCGTGGACGAGGAGGGCGCGCCGCTCGAGCCTGTCTCTCCGTGGCTCGGCTTCCAGGCGCTCGGCATCGCGACCGCGCTCGTTGGCGCGTGTACTGCGCTCGGCGTGTGGGGTGCCGCCAAGTATCTCGGCGTCGGCAGCGTGCAGGAGTTTGCGGACGCGATGAAGGGCAAGCTCGAGGAGGGGTTGCCGGAACTCATCGAGAATGTGCGCAAGGACGAGGGACCGAGCGATGCGGGACCCAACGTGCTGGGACGGAATGGGGACGTTGACGATTCCAGGCTGAAGCAGTGGATCGAGTGGGTTGAGGGGGACAAGAAGAAGGTCTAGATGGCGAGGGGCGGTAACGACGAGGTGCGGGCGGGTTTTGAGCTACCTACAGGCAACAGCGACAAGCAGCAGCGGGTCGCTGTTTGCTGATGGCACGCGGCCGCATCTGATTGCAACAGAGGAGAAGTGGTAGGATCACAAGGCATAGATACATAACTGCATTGCATTTTACGTTTTACAACGACTTCCTCATTCTTTCGCTTCCTTTTCTTCCTTTACTTCTGACCAAGACTTCTGAACATATCCTTCCGACCTCGTTATCCGGACGTGTGCCTTGCGGCGGGCGTGTGGGCGCGTTGAGCGGCCAGATTTTGGCTACAGGTTGTGCGTATGCGTGTTGAGTGTTGAATGATTGGGCGTGCAGTGTGCACGGATGATGCGTGGTGGCGCGAGAGCGACGTGCGTGTGCGCCGTGATGATGAGGGTTTTGTTTGTGTGGGCGGCGTCAGTCACCTCCTGTCATGGACGGGCGGGCTGAGCTCGCGAGGCGCGGAACAGAACAATGATGTGCGAGTCTGCTCGTGAGACGAGCGGGTTTGATAGCGAGTAGTTTAGTCGCGGCCCTCCTGGTTTGTTAGCTCAGTCGTTCAAGCCCCTAGCTGGGTGAGAAGCTCGCCCTTGGCGAGCGGCCAGCTCGGAGGACTCACGTCGTGCTGCTTCCTGAGGTCCTGGAAGCTCTTGCCTCCCTTCATCTTGTTCATCTTGTCGGTGCCAGTCTGCTTCTTGGCGTCCTTGGCCTCCTTGTCGGCGTCGCGGTAGCCCATCTGGATCTCGAACGGGGTCGTGAAGAGGGGCCCAGAGCCGTCAGAGGGGGGACGGGTCTGCGGGCGGGCGGCGACGGCGGTCGTGTGCAGCGAGGCAACGGCGCGGGGGACACGAACGGCGGCGCGGAGAGACAGCATGTTTGGTAGAACCGGGAAGTGCTTGAAGATGCTTGGCGTGCGTGTGGGCTGTGGGCTGGTCGTGAGAAACGTATGACTTCGCTTGGTTTAAGTGCTCGTAGTCGGGGTATGCAGTGAGCGGAGTGGTGGTGCAGAAATGGGTTGTTGCTGGGGGAGAGGCAGCGAGCATTCCCCCAATTTATAGCCAGATCCAAGTGCCGGCCGATGGTCCACGATCCTCGCGGCTCGAGGTCTGGCGACGACGACCATGACAAAGCCACCGGCGGCGGCAGAGATAGAGTCTTACGTCTCGCAGTCTGTCGTCATGCGATCGAGGCCGCGGGCCATGCAGCTGAAGCACCGGCACCGGTCTCCTCCGGTAGTTGCATTTAGCGGGGTGCCCCTCTGCCAGCTCTTCTAGCTCTGCTGTGATCCAGCAAACCTTGATGAGCGAAGGGATATTCGAAAATGTCGAGATGTGCCTGCAGCTCGATCCGCAGAAACATGGTCTTAGACGAGGGAGCCGAGGCGCCGCACGCAAGGAGTGGCCAGGATAGGGGGGGAACACGGGGGTGTTGGCAAAAGAGGCCTTCCTTGGGCATTCCTCTGGCCTCTGGCTCTGGTGCTCTGGAGCGATGACGGTGCGGCTAGTGTGCGACAGAGGGGCACGCCGATGAGCACATGACCTGCGTCAGGCGCGCGGTCTGGACGGTGATTGGCCCGATAAGAGCTGGAGAGTGGTTGGGAATATCTGCCCCAGGTTAAGATAAGGATTTCTCCCAACGCGGTAATGCAACAAAGGTGGGGCCCTGCTGCGGGCGTCTCCTGTGCTGTTCCTTCAGTCCTGCTGCTGCCCGGCCCCGCTTCGCCTGTACCTTCCCATTCTTCTCCCTCCACATCCCGCCGGCATCACTAGAGCACCTGCAGCGCCTGCATCGCGATGTCTGAGTGCACACCACGGACGCAGAGACACGCCGATCCGGAGTCACCCCCACTCCGTGCCTTCCGCCGCCCAGTGTGATATGACGTCGATGACTGGAGTCGCCGCCAGCTTCATTCGCTGACGCACCTCCGCGTGATCAACGCACTCGACTCGCTCGCGTATCCACGGTCCGGCCATGATGCTTACTGATCTTCTTCTGGGCTCTGATTGAACGACAGCTGCAACAGCGTGTCCTGGTGATCGCTGCGGGATGCCAAGACCGCCAGTCTGGGGTTGGTGTGGAGGTGGTCTGCTGATAGGAGGTCTTGATCGAGTGGCGATGTACGCGACATGCAATCACGACGCTCAGTCTCGCACATCACAGACCTACAGGCCTACACGGGAACGCAAGTGATGAGTTAGGTTACCGAGCGTGCGGAGCCGACAACGTCCTGCTTGTTCTATCGCTACTTCCTGCGTGTGCACCGTACTTCCAAACCCTCGCAGCGTACATCCTGCCCAGCGAGGTCAGTACGCAACCCTCGATCACCCGCATCGTCTAACGTAAATCATCCCCGCGCCCCCCAAGCACGCCCACAATTAAGTAGAGAGACCGGATCTTGACGTACGCTTGACCCAAGCCAACTAGACATGCCAGGGTTTGGACTCTCGGAAGACCAATCTTCGAAATGCTCTAGTTGATCACGAGGCAGCACGCGCTGGGTGGTGGCGCGCCACCGATCTCGGCACTGACTCCACACCTCTCTGTGGGACGTCGCCCATCTCCGTCTGTCCTCCCCCGGCTCTTCCCGTCCAAGCTGCTGTGATCTCGTGACCTCCCCTTTCTGCGCGTGTCGCCAATCTCTCTCGACGCTTTCGCCTATCACTGCATGCATGACGCGTTATTCCCCGGGTTTGCTGCTCCGGTTCCTCGCTCATCGACCCAGACTGTTGTCTTCCATCCAATCTTGTTGTCAGTCACGTGCCCACACATTCACAGGACGCACACGACTAACAAACTTCCGTCAAGACGACCGACGCAAGGCTGGAGGTTCGGTCCGTTTCGCCCTGGTGTAACCATGATGTGCATAAAGTACAAACTTCTACGGGTCTACTACTTCTTGGCGTCCTTGTCGTCGGCGTTCTCCTGCTTGGCGCGCTTCACGTCCTCGGCCTTGACGCCCGCGGCCTCGGCCGCAGCTTCCGTCTTCTTCTCCTCGGCCGACTTGGAGTCGTCGATCTCCTGCTGCGCGTTGGCGATGCGGTTGTCAACTGCGGGTTAGCTAGGTCCTCTGCATGACTACAGCTACTTACTCAAATCGTGGAGCGCCTGGACAGTTCGGATAAGCAGGCCGAGGTACACCATGACATTCTGGTCGTTGACCTGGACGCGGAAGGCCTTGCCGAGGTCGACATCGCCTCCGAGCTGAGGAAGGAGGCCGACAATCTCCTGCACCTGGTAGATGATCTGGTGGTTGACCGGCATCTTGCCCTTGCGCACGTCGTTCAGGTACTCCGAGATCTCCTTCAGACGGGCGTGCAGGCCACGAAGCGAGTCGAGCTGCGCCGACACGCGATTCGACAGGCTCTGCGTCGTGAGCAGCGAAGAGCTCGCGGCCGCAGACGATGATGAGATGTCGCGCAGCAGGTGCTCGACGCCGATCTCCTCCGCCTCCTCAGCCTCGATCGACGTCGGGACGTGCGTGAACGTCCGCTGCGTCGCCGTTCCGTCATCACGAATCTCCTCAACAGCAAAGTACGCGTCGGTCGGAATGCCAGTGTCTCCGCGTCCTCCATGCGCACGAACGTCAACAATCACCATCACAGGTCGCGGGCAGAAGCGCTTGAACAGCTCCGTGATCTCGAGGTCCGACGAGCGCAGGCGCGGTCCGGTGTGGTAGAAGCCTATCGGGCGCTCCTTCGCTGCTCTGTCAGCTTCTGCTACTTAGTGATGGTAGCTGCCTGGGATCGCCGCGTTCATAGAATCTAACCCACGGCGCCGACCACAGCTCAACCTACTCACCGTTAACCTTCCTGAACATCCGCCACATCTCCTCCACGTAGTCGAGGTCAAGGAAGAACGTCTTCGGGTCCTTGTCATCCTCCTCGAAGGGCACAGCGAACGAGTTCGCGACGTTGATCGTGTTGCCGTCATCCTGACCGAGAAGCACGCCGAGGACTCGCTTCTTGTTGGGCAGCGGGACACGCGCAGCGTGGTCGACAACGCTGAGCAGGACTAGAGGGTGAATCACACTAAACGCTGTCAGCAACTATCCGGATCCGAGCTGAAAGTCGGTCTTCCTCGTCGAGTGGCCACAGTGACCGGTGATCGCTGTTGATGACTCACACATTCGTTGCTGAGAGCTCGTTAACCTGAGATATGTTAGCTCGAGTATTCCTGGTCGACTCAGCTACAACCGCACATACCTGAGCTGTTGTAAGGCCGGGCATCGTTGCCCAGTTGTCTATGCGGGTATAAAGGACGAGAGGGATAGCTTGGATGCTCGTAGAATCGACGTCAATGAACGCTACGTCTAGCTGAGATCATGCGTCAGCGCGCCGCTCGCCATGACGCTCACGTGGCGGAAATACCATAATCCCGCCACGCAGGACGCACGTGAATGCCCGCATTGAAAGTGCGGAGTTGAATTGTTTGTCCGCCTTTAGCCTTCAGATGTCTCCCACGGTCGCGTGACAACGCTTTCAGTTCAGGGGTGTAGATCTCCACAAGTCAGATGCATACCGTGCTTCCGGAACGCGATGCAAGGGGCGGCATGTGTGTTGTGTCTTGGGTCAGGCGTGTTTGAGGCGTCTGAAGCGCATATCGCGACTGCTATAGGCTGGACAGTGCAGCAGCTTTCAGCATGTGTCGGTCGAAGATACGAGGCATTGAAATAAGCTACTCGGCTGGTCGGCCAGGCAGTGGTATCGTTACGGCCTCCCCGCTGGCTCGATTGTAACAATGCAAGGGCCGGTAGGGAGTGCAGGCACTCCGCTTGAGGCGACGCTCAGGCGCCGACAGCGCCGGTCACGCATTTGATCGACGGCCCGTGCTTCCACACCAAGCCTTGGACGTAGGTGGCAGCTTGAAGCGGGAGAATTCGATGCATGTTCTCGCGATCGCGCAGACAACTCCCCCACCACCTAGGTCCGCTGTGCCTCTCTGCAGGATTACAACATGCAGACGTGACCTATCGTCAGACTCGCCAGGCATCCGTAGACTGGCGCGAGGGTTGCTCAAGTGGGCACGCCGGCATCGCAAATAGCCTCTGGTGATGGGAACGGCGGGTACAGAGCGTGTCGAGTGTCCAAGTGGTCCAATCATGCGCGATGCAGCCGCCACCCGGCAGAGCGTCTTCCCTGACCCAGGCGATCCACCTGACGAAGTGCGGTGATGCCTGAGGTTGCCTGACTCACGGACCGCTCTGGCTGTATTTGGCTTGAAGTTAGGAGCACGATCGAACGAGACGATTGGTGCGTGTACGTGCGCAGTAGCTCGCGAGGCGCTCTGGACGAGCGTCCGAAGGGCCAGCAAGGGCAGCTATGGCGCACTGTCGTCGGAAAGATCGAGAGGATCGGCAAGCTTTCTGAGCCCATAGGCTGCTACGTCCCGCTGGCCAGCTCAGCAGCGCCAGTACATATGCACGTAGGCGATCCTCGTCCTTCCTCTCTGTCAAAACTACTCTCCTCACTACCGCCACGTACACGCACACCTTTCGCAATGGACAACGTGAGTACTCTGTGACGTGGATCCTGGATCACGTATGAGCTGCGGGGGCACAGGCAGAGACACAGCTGAAAGGCGGCAAACCCTAACCTTCGCGTGCCTCTGCAGTGTGCCTTTGTTTGTGCGGTGATATGACGCAACGGGCAGCGGCAGGACGGCAGCGCGCGCGGTAGCTAACCCGCAGCTTCTCAACCAGGCGCAGGACTTTATCAAGTCGGGTAAGGCGCAGGAGTTCCTCGCGTCTGAGAAGGGCCAGGAGATCACCAACAAGTACGGCGAGCAGTTCAGTGAGTAGTGTCGAGTGTCGTGTATTCCCCCACTTTAGCCGGGCGGTCAATCCATCCATCCAACCGCAACCGGCCGGCTCCTCGCGTTCCCCCGATCCGGACCCCACACACCAACGTGACCTGGTGACCTCACCGACCCCTTCCCCGCATTGCCGAGCCTGCCAGCTGACACATAACAGAGAGCTACGTGCGTTTCACGACACCCACTCACCCCTTCATCCACACCCGCTGACCAAGACAGACCGGCGTCGACATCAAGACCGTCGAAGGCTTCCTTGGCATCAACCCCAACCAGGCTCAGAACCAGCAGAACCAGCAGAACAACCAGAACCAGCAGAACAACCAGCAGCAGCAGCAGGACAACAACAACAACCAGCAGCAGCAGAACAACCAGTCGTACAACAACAACGACAACCAGAACCAGAACAACAACAACCAGAACAACAACAACAACGACAACATGTCTGGCAACAACTCGCAGCAGCCTCAGGTCTCTGAGGGCCAGTTCGGCCAGAAGGGCCAGTACGGCGCCGTCACCGGCCAGGGCTTCGGCGGCAACCTCGCCAAGGACTCGCAGGGCAACTCGCTCAACTCGACCCAGGAGGAGAACAGCCAGTCCAACTACTCCGGCTACGGTGCCAACGACAGTGCGTAAGCTCACCCACCTTTCCGTAGCACCATTCATTTTCCTTTCTATCTCTGTCCGGGGCAACGTGTTTGCACAGCGGCGTTCATCATTCAATGCAGTCTGAGAGAGCTTGAGAGTAGTACGAGACGAGGCGTGGAGCATCGAGCCGGAGGGCCGGAGGAAGTGGGATCGCGGGGAACGCGGGGCACACAGAACACACACAAACAGAAGCGCACAAGGCAGGATGGATGGGGAGGCAGACTGCGAGGGCCGTCGAGTTGCGATGGCTTCTGCACTTCGACGCCCTGCGCCGCTGTCGTAATGCGCAATACATCTTGTCGGACGAAGAGGGAAGACTGGAACCATATATTCTCCACGCTACATGTGTAGCACGCTGACGTAGCAGGCTCCGCCTCTGGTGGCTTCGGACGCAACGCCCAGGGTTCTGCGTACTCGCGCGCTGTGAGTTGATTGGGCCACCATCGGCGACGACGACGGAACTTGTGGTGGCGGCTGCAGGCGTCATAGGGCACGGCCGCTGCCGCAGCTGATCACCCCTTGGGCCGCGTCGTTGTCGACAGCCCGAAGCTGCTGTTCTGGACGTAAGCTGACAAGCCAGAACCAGATGGGTGCGGCCGACAACTCGGCCAACTACGACGGCTCCGACGACGTCGACAACTCGGGCACCAAGACTGGCGCGAGCACCCCCGGCTACCGCAAGGACGGCGGTGAGTAGCGCTCGGCCCACAGCTTTTGGGTGTCCATTTCTGTGCTAACCCAGTCACAGAGGATGGCCAGGACGTCAACTCGCAGTTCTGGGGACAGAACCTCGGCTTCACGTCGAGCAACAACGACGACGAGCCCAACATCTAAGCTCTGAGTGGTGTCCATGTCCATAGCGTGTACGTGAGCGCAGAAGCCATTGCATAATCAAGTTGTCCGAATGAATGAAGTGTAACATGCTTGCGGGTGGTCGGCTGGTCATTGCCGTCGTCTCCAATGGTTGCTGTGGAGGGCGCAAGGCAGACCCGAGAGTGCACAGTACTTCCTCAGTGTGCGCATCAGATAGCACACATCGCCGTCAGTTGGACCACAACGGCACGTTGGGATGTTTATCTTCACGTCGTTGCCTTCTCCATGTGCGTGCATGCCCGTAGTGCGTAAGGCCTGGCCCGGCGGCAGCCGTTGGGCCCCTGACTGGGCGTTATCAGCCGATTCACTTAATTTCGTGCTTCGGCGTCTTCAATGTCCACCGCAAAGTCACCACCTCTCTAACTCCAACACCTATTAGACTACATCGCAGCAAGGGAAGCAGTACCACTTGCTCTCCGTTCCTCCAACTATTATCACTCATTTGGACAGTCGAGGAGACCGACAGAGAACGGCCCCACACTGCGACATCAGTGACCTCCACCCGCGAAGCCATCCCAACTCCCCGCTCCGCCTTCCTTTCGCCGCCGGGACTCACTCGCCAACGGCCGCATGTCACGATGACCTCCGACATGGTGGTGAACCCAAGGCGGATGAGGCGGTACGTCTGGCTCCTGGCGCTGTTCGTTCCCGCCTCTATGCTCGTATTCTACGCACATCTGTCACCACACTACGAGTCGCTGCCCGACCTCCCCGCGCTCCCGAGAGTGCAGCTGCAGATCAACCCGAAGGAGCCAGTACCAGAGACGGCTTACTTGCCCGACTGTATCTGCGGAACGACGGCTCGGGGTCGACACCTGTGCGAGATCTACGGGGAGCATGCGCTGCGAGCGTCGAAACTTGTTGAAGGCAGTGGTGCGAGGATGCGGAACCTCCTCGCGAGGCTGAATCAGGGGATGGACTTGACCATTGGCGTGCTTGGAGGAAGCGGTATGTACGACGAGCAGCTGTGTAGAGTTAGCTGAGCTGACATTCAGTCTCTGCCTGTCGCGGCGTGCACCCGACCCCCGAACACCCGGAGGGCGACCCGGCCGGACCGGGATGCTACCACTCGGTCGTGAACGAGTGGTTCAAGGAGACGTTCCCGAACGTGAGCTCGACGAAGGGCATTGGAAGCTGACAGCAGTCGCGGATCAACACTGTCAACAGTGCCATTGGAGGCATTGACAGCAGCTACTTTGCGTTCTGTGGCGTGCGTATTCTTGAGCTAGCAGTGCTTCGCGATTAGCTGACGGCAGACGCACCACCTGGCCAAGGATGCCGATCTGATCATCCTCGAGTTCGACGTGAACGACCAGGCGTAGGTGTCCCTCCCCTTCTCTAAGCGCTGACTCCAGGGACACGATCTACATGCACTTCTTCGACCAGCTGATCCGCGTCCTGCTCGAACTGCCGAATCAGCCTGCGTTGCTGATTCTCGGAGCCTGGGCACCAAAGGTCGCCCAGGAGCAGGGCTGGGCGGACCCGCAAGTCTTCCACGTCCCGATAGCCAACTACTTTGACGTACCGTACGTCTCGCTGAAGCGGGTCATCTTTGATCACTACGCACGCTATCCAAAGTCAACCGCCGAGGCATTCTTCCTCTCTGACCGGCTACACCCGAACGCCCGCGGCCACAGGCTGTTAGCAGACATCGTGATCGGTTACCTCGAGAGCCAGCTGTGCGAGCTGGCACGACACGGACTGCCCTCCGTGCCGGACCAGAAACTGACGCTCGCGTCCACAGAGCCGTCGAGCTTCTTCGTCGAGGTGGACGCGAACATCGCCCAGCCGCCAGGCAGTATTGACTGGACGCGCGTCCCAGACGACTGGGAACGCACCTGGTCCCTGGAAGAGATGCACGCGATCGGGGACGAGAAGCGCCACTTTGCCCTCCCCACAAGTCCCTATGCAGTTAGGAGTCTGGGCATGTTCACCCCGCTCGAGCTGTTCGTGGATCCCGAGCAGCTCGACCCAGAGACCGGCGACGCGGTGCTGCACACGCTGCAGCCGAAGCCGTTCTGCGCCGACGCAAACGACAGGGAACACCCTATGACGCCCCGGATAGCCGAGGGGTGGAAGGCGTGGGACTGGCATGATGAGAAGCATTACTGGATCAGCGACACGCCAGGCAGTCGCATCACGGTCGATATCCAGGTCAATGCCGGTCGGTGAGTGGCCCCTCTGGGCTGGAAAAAGCTGTGGGGGACATGGTATTGACGCTGACCGCAGCGTGGCGATTTACTACTTCCGCTCGGCGCAGTACTCGCTCGGCGACGCGCTGTGCTGGGTCGACGACAATGAAAGGGGTGCGGTCCGGTTGCCTGGATACTGGTCGAGGGCGTACAACATGGCTGTGTGAGTACCGTCGCGGGGCAGTCTCTCCGCTATCGTATGTCTCTTGCTAACTGACTCCAGTGTCAAGTACATCGACCAGCGGGTCACGAAGGGCGCGCACTACGTCACCTGCGAGATCGCGGCCAACTCGAGCCATCCTCTTGAGCCGGACGCGAGCCACTTCCGCCTCGTGGCTGTCATGGCCACATAGCAACGGTGGCGTCAGAATCAATAGACATTGTAGAGTTTGGGATATCACTAGATGTACATTTTCCAAGAACATACAGCACCCAATACGAGTTCCCAAGACAATAACACATGAAAGCCAACTTCTACGCCGTTCACGACGGCTCTCGCTCTAATCTCACGAGGGGCATACAGACAGGGCCCACTCGAGTTACCTTCGGCGATTCTGGCGACGCTACCGCCGAACCTGCGCCTCCAGATCCGCCACGTCGCCGACCTCCTTGACTTCCTTCTCGATCTGGGCGAGTTCGTCCGCGCCCCGGTCGCCGTGTTCCGCCATCGCACGTCCGAGGGCCCAGCGGAGGTACGCCTGTCGCCCTGCTTCCCAGGCATCCGTCTCGCTGCCTGTCGTCGGCACGGGCACGTCGGCCGGGTCGAGGGACGCCAGTTGCGAGTGCAGAGAGGAGAGTGACGAGGCGATGCTGCGCGTGTGCTCGTTAAGCGGGTGCACTGTTGTCAGCTTCGCGAAATTCAGCCTCCCAGCTGTAAGAGGAGAGTATACTCACGCCCGGCCTCGACGATCAAATCGTTCACGAATCCGACTTCCTTCCGGCGCATCTCGGCCATGCGCAGCTTCTTGTCCAGCACGGCTTCGGCCATAATCAGCCGGTGCCGCGTGTATCTAGCCTGCTCAATTTTGGCGCGCAGATCGTCGAGTCGTCCCTGTAACACCTCTTCGCCGCCGTTGTCCACGACGTGCTGCGCGCGCGTGAAGTCGATGCCTTTGTGCCAGGGCTGCCGTCAGCTGATATCACTAAGCCTTGCGAAGCTGTACTGAAGGTTTTCGGCAAGCCCCTTTGCTCCTGCGAAACTCACCATCACGAGCTCGACGCCGTCCGGGACGGAAAAGATGTTACGTAGCGCGTACGCGGTGAACTTGTCGAACGCCTTGTCTACCTGTTGCTCAAGCAGCGTCTCAAGGGCATACGAGCCTGCCTCGGCCTCACGCTCAAACTCTGGTCGTCCGGACGACATCATCTGCGCCCATTGCTCCACACTCGTGACGGTCGGATAGATCAGTGATCGTGCGTGCTCTGCAATGTCGTGTAGAACGTTGAACGGCGCAAAGTTCAGGAGCTGCTGTCAGCTGAAGTTCGATAGAGAAGAAGCTTGGCAAGTCAGGCGGATTCACCTCATGAATCAGGCGGTCCTTGTCGTCCTCGCTCAGCTCCTGCACTGGTCGATGTTCTGGCGGTGTGAAGTCCCACGTAATGGAATCGGGCACATCGAGCGGCGGCATGTCTAACGTCATCTTCGACGAGCTCGCAACCTTCGAAGGGTCCTTGGGTGCTGGTGTCGGCGTAGTTGACTCGGACTTCTCGACGGCAGAGCGCCGCCTGCTCGAGACGGACTTGCGGGGCTGCGACATTTCTCGTCGAGATGTATTCAGGTGGTGGAGGAAGGCAGAGTGGAGGCCGCATAAACCCTTTGTTTACACGATTGCAGGATGGTCAGCCTGGGTGGATGATTGAATTGCATCCGTGCGGAATCTCAATGACGTGTGGCACCCGGGCACTTGCCGCGGGCACTTGCCGCTGATGGCCGGCATTCCAAGCTTAAGGATGCGTCTAGGAGGAAGCGGAGGCGTCGATCGGACCAACGTCGATTGCAACAACTGCAACAACCACGAGGAATCCGCCAGCCATGAGGGTCATCAAGCCCAATTGGGTCGAGCATGCGGCTGGTGAGCTTATTGACGACTTTCAAGCTGACGATCAGGCGAGAAGAAGACGAAGAGCCCCATCTACTCCCTCTCCGTGCATCCCGATGGGACGCGATTGGCGACGGGTGGCCAAGGTAGGTTCCCAGCTGTTTCTGCGATGCTCCTCCGCTGACATGAACCTCTCGACTTGCGCTTCTTCCACCATGGATCCTTCCCCACCATGCCCCGCCAACAGACAACAAGGTCAAGATCTGGTCGACGCTGCCGATCCTGGATGCCGAGGCGGCTGAGAACGAGGCGAACCACAAGCTCCTCTGCACGATGTCGGCGCACACTGGCCCGGTCTTGACTGTGCGTTGGGCGCATCATGGCCGCTACCTCGCAAGTGGGAGTGACGACGCCGTGTTGCTTGTGTGGGACCTCGATCCCTCGGGTGGAGGAAGGGTGTTCGGTTCCGAGGAAGTCAACGTTGAGAACTGGAAGGCGCTCCGCCGCTTAGTTGGGCACGTCGCCGACGTCGTCGACTGCGCGTGGTCTCGCGACGATTCGATGCTGGCTTCTGTCGGTCTCGATTCCAAAATCATCATCTGGGACGGATTCACTTTTGGTACGTGGTCTCCGTGGATGCTCGCTAACAGCACAGAGCGTATCAAGACGATCGATACGCACCAGGGTTTCGTGAAGGGCGTCACTTGGGACCCCGTCGGGAACTACCTCGCCACTCAGGTTGGTCCTCCCATTCTTGCATACTACTAACCGCCCACAGTCCGACGACAAGACGGTGCGCATCTGGAATACGGAGACTTGGCAGGAGGTGCAAGTGATCAGCAAGCCTTTCGAACTGTCTCCGCAGTCGACCTTCTTCCGCCGTCTGAGGTGAGCTAGGCAATTTATGCAAGTAGCTGACAACCAGTTGGTCTCCTGATGGTGCGTTTATCGCCGCCTCGAACGCCATGAACGGGCCGGTGTTCGTTGCTGCTGTTATCGAGCGTGAAGGATGGCAGTCCAACATTTCCTTCGTCGGCCACCAAAACACTATTCAGGTCGCCGCGTTCAATCCGCGTTTGTTCTTCCAGAAGGGCGAGACGCCTAGCAGGGTTAACGCCTCGTGTATGCTCGCTCTCGGAGCCGATGACTACAACATCTCCATCTGGCGCAACACCATGCACAAACCGCTCGTCGTCATCCGTGACGTCTTCATGCGCCAGCTGCTGGATCTCGACTGGGCGAACGACGGCCTGACGCTCTACGGCTGCTCAGCGGACGGGACCATTTGCACGATCAAGTTTGAGGAGGGCGAGTTCCCAGAGCTCGCGGAGGCGGACATGACGTCCAAGATTCTCGATGAGTACGGATACAAATCAACGCGGAAACGCATCGCACCCTCCAAGCCCCTGTCTGTGTCATCGTCCTTCACCGCACCCCCACCCGGTGCAACAGAACATGTCAATGTCATCATTCCTCGCAAGAGCAACAAACCGAAGGGTCGCCGCATCAACCTGTCCGGTACTATGACAGGCGGCGCATCAAGCTCGAACGGACCACTACGACCGAGCATGGGTGGCCGTGCACCCCTCGCACGTCCTGCTGCATCTCCCCCTCGCAGCGGGGCCCAGGATGCCTTCTCCCGCGCCGCCGAGGAGCCTCTGAGCTTTGGCTCGGGATCAGCCGCCACTGCCAGCATGTTTGCGGGCATGGATGACTCGCGTGTCGGCGACAAGCGCAAGTTTGGCTTTGAGGACGACAACCGCGCAGCCAAGGGAAGGACCATGGGAGCCAGCCGACCGATGGCGCGCATCGAAGAGATTCGCGCCCCCCGTGTGGTACTCGGCGGACAGGCGTCGGGAAGCGGCGGCCACGTGCTCCCCATCCCATCAGTTCAGAGTGCACTCCGCGTTCAGCAGACGGATGGACACGGTGTCCTGACTGCCGAGAATGCGTCGGACGACAGCGGCAGCAACACGGTCTCCCTGAGCATCAACAACCAGGACGTGTGGACCGACTTCATCCCCTCGCCGGCGCTGGCCGTCGTGTCGACTGCATCATTCTCCGCCGTCGCATCCGAGGACGGCTCTGTGCGGGTCTACTCCGCCGCTGGAAGGCAGTGAGTTGCTCAAGGAGAGAGTTTCAGCTAACCTTAGTTCTTCGTCGTTCAAGCTGCCCGCGCCCGTCTCTGAGCTTTGTGCCGCCAAGGATATGCTGATGGTGTTGACCGCTGACTGCATGGTCCGCGTAGTGTAAGCCTGCCGTGTTGCGTTTGATACTAACTCACAGTGACGCCCGTCGTGGCAATGTCGTCGTCACCCCTACGTCGATGGCGCATCTTCTCGACGTCGCTTCCACTTCCGGAGGCTCACCCACAACCCTCCAGGTGATGGCAGCTTCTGTGTGCCCCAACGGCTGCCCTGTCGTGGTCACCTCTGAGCCTGCTGGATGGGCGTTCGACTCTGGTGTCGGAGCATGGACCCAAGTCGCATCACCTTGGTGGGCTGGTTCGCCCCTGAACGAGACCAGGACCCGCGGCGGCCGCGCTCCGGCAGCAGGCTGGATTCTCGCCGAGATTGAGGCAAAGTTCCCAGCCGACCCGCCCCAGATCCGCAACAAGCCGCAGTGGTGGGACGAAGCGCTCAGCTTGGGTCACTACGAAACGCGTCTCAATGCTACGCGTCTCCTTGGCTCCAAGGACGAGTACCTGCATTGGCTGAAGCAGTACGCCAAATACCTCGGCGACGAGAACTTCCGTGAGCGTGCCGAGGAGCTCATCGCGGACCTGATGGGCCCGATCTACTAGTAAGCTGGGCAGGTCCACTGAGTAAGCTGACCGCAGTTTGTCCGGTAAGCCCAACTGGACCCCCAACGTCATGGCGGGCCTCGTTAAGCGCGATGCCGCCGTCGCTGCGTTGCAGGCCATGCGCCACACGTCCGCCCTCGGTGGATTTGCCAATGAGCAACTGAACATCCTCAGGAGGATGCAGGGCAGTGAGCAGGAGTGGCTTTAGACCACCAATACCAGATGAAAACTGTAGAGTATGACATGTAGACCCGATGTATAATGTAGCTGTCACCTGAATGCAGGCCAAGCTGCCGCGTTCCCGAGCAAGGGCGCGGCTCTCTCCCCCATACGGCGTCGCCACGTACCACCACTTGTGAGGCTCATGAGGAAGTGTCAGTGGTCAAGCTTGTCCCTCTTCATACCTCATACCTCAATGCCTAGCGCCTATTATCAGTCTCCGTCCATGCAACCCCCTGACAGACTCGCTTCCCCCCTCCGCCTCTCCCTGCGTAAAAGTCTGCAGCCCGTCTTGATAACGTTTCACGGATGAGGTCAACAGTTCACGGGCGTCTAGCTCAGTTGGTAGAGCGCGTCATTAGCACTGTCTAATGTTGACGAGGTCTTTGGTTCGATTCCTAAGTCGTCCAGAACAATTCCTTTTTGGCTCCTGAGCGCCTGTAAACGTCGGTTGGATGTGAGCGGCTTCTCCAGAAGGACCCCCGACTGAACTCTTTCTCGTGCAGAGGTCGAAAACACGAGCGGAAGCAAAAATGCCACCTGCGCCCCAGATTGCGATATCGGGAGCAATCCAGAGACATTGCCCTGACCTAGAGATGGGGCCCCGGGCGCAAAAATGCTCCCGCGAAAAAGTTCGAGGGCTGCTGGTGGAGGGAGGTTTTCTGCAGGTCGTCCTGAGCCTCTTTCCGTGTCGATTTGGCTCGTTTTCAGCTCGTTCCAAAGCTGAGAGTTGGGAGAAATGAAAAAGAAGGTCCTCGCCGGGATTTGAACCCGGGGCCACTCCCACTACCCTCTCCGAAGAGAGGAGGAGGCAAAGCTCAAGATGTTAGATCACCCTAAGAGAGTATGATAACCACTACACCACGAGAACGTCCGAAGACAGGTTGTTGTTAGAGTCTGACCCTGGCCGCTTATGTCCAGACCAGGCTTTTACCGGTTGTTGTCCGCCAGAACAATTGCATGCAGCGACAGAGCACCTTGACCAGAGTGCTGGGCGCTTTGATTACCCACAGCATATGAAGGCATATCAGGCGCTGAGGCTCAAAGAGAGCATTGCACGAAGGATTCGACAGTCGCAATACCTTGACAGACAGCGCGAGAGGGAATGTCGGACCCGCTGAACAGCCTACGCTGGCTTGCTCGGCTTGAATGCTGCTTACAGTGGTCAAAGACATCCTGTTCTTGTCCTCTACCTGATGGCTCTTCAGCAGAAAAGTCGTTATCAAACATAACCGGAAGATGCATCTAGTCTACTCCTATAACTAACATACAGACACTCATCGAGCTATCGCATTAGTGGCGCCAGATCTTGACGACCTTGTCGCGCCCTCCACTGACGACCTTGTCAGCAACAAAGTCGACGCAGTACACCTCGTCGTTGTGTCCGGGCAGATCAGTCTTGATCTTGAACGTCTTGAGGTTCCAGAGCTTGATCGTCGAGTCCTTGGACGCGGAGACGAGAAGACGGGAGTCGGCACTCCAAGCGAGCCGGTAAACAGCCGCGACGTGTCCGCGCAGGCTCGCAACAAACTTGCCGGTACGTCCGTCCCAGAGCTTGACGGCGTTGTCAAAGCCGGCACTGGCGACGAAGCGTCCGTCGGGCGAGAATGCGACGTGGTTGACCTGCTTCTGGTGTCCCGTCAGGCGGGCGACGGGCTTCTTCGGCAGCGCCGTCGAGGAGAAGGAGCTGCTCGCCTGGTCCGGCCAGAGGAAGAGGGTGTGGTCATCCGAGCCCGTGATCATCGTCTCGGGCTGCTGCGCCGTGTGCTCCTTGTACCGCTTGAGCGCCCAGGCCTTGGCCTCCTCGTCATCCTTCGGGTGCTTGCCCGTGTGGTCGAAGGGTCCAGTGCGGAGGACGAAGTCGGTCGACAGCGCCATCGTGTTGACCCAGTGGGCGTGCTCGCTCAGCGTGCGGATCAGCTTGCCGTCCGTTCCCGCCCAGACGCGGACAGTACGGTCGGAGGAGCCGGTGTAGATGACGTTCTCACCACCCCAGCGCACGACGTTGACACTCGCAGCGTGTCCAGAGAGAACGAACTCGAGCTTCCGCGTCGCCGTGTTCCACACACGCACCGTGCCGTCCTTGCTCGCCGTCGCCAGGCGCGGCTGTCCCTTCGCGAGATGCAACGGCTCGAACGCCATAGAAGTAACCCACTTCGTATGTCCCAGAAGCGGCTGTCCAGCCGCCTGTCCCGTCTTCACGTCCCACAGGCGCACCTGTCCGTCGTGTCCTCCAGTCGCGAGGAGCTTCTCCCGCGCGTCCCACTCGACACAGAGCACCCATCCCTTGTGCCCAGTAAGCGTCCAGCGGGGCGTCTCAGTCTCCATGTCCCACACGCGACACGTCGCATCTCCGCTTCCAGTCGCCGCATACCGTCCTGTCGGGGAGTGGGCGGCGCAGAGAATCGGGCTGGCGTGGCCAGACAGCGTAGCAGAACACCGTCCAACAGCACGGACACGGAAGACCGCCTGCGGCTCGCACCAGAGCTCAAACACGTCCTCCTGGGAGAACGCCGGCGCAGTGCTCGTGCTCGCCTTGGGCTGGAGTGCATCGGCGAGAATCGAGTCGTGGATCGCAACCCTTGAGGCGTCCTTAGCCTGAAGGTGGAAAGCGTACGGAAGGGGGTCCTCGTCCTGTCCTGTCAGCTACATGTCAAACCTTCAGCTCACCTCTCCGCGCAGCTTGTTCACAAGCATCTGCAGCGCATCCCGGGCAGTGTCGGCGGGGAGGTTGATCGCGGGACCGAGGCTCTGGCCGTTCTCCGAGTTCTTGAACTGGACCACAATCTGCGGCACGGGCACCTCGGGTTCCGGCGCCGAAGGCGGGAGGAGCGACTTGGCGTAGTTCGACTTCTGTCGTTTCGGGGGCGGAAGTTGGGTCGCCATGGTGGTTCTTGTGTTTGTTGTGATGCAAGACGTGCTGTCCTCGGAAACCTGCACATCAAGGCTTGCGACTGACTTCAGAAATCTTGAAATCCAGGCACGGCAGGCGTCTTGCTTTGCCACGCATTAGCCTGGAAGCTAATCAGGTGTTGAGCGAGGGTTTGGTTCCGCTAATCAACTGCTGTATTCCGGCCAACTTGTCAGGGACGACGCGCTGCCGTTTGTTGACAACTTGACGCGCACGGCTTCTGCAGACATCACAACATCAATCCTCCGTCGCCGACCCATGACCATGGACTCGCCCTTCCTCACGAACAAACCATTAGACGATGAAGATGGCACGCTCGTTCTTGCGGACCTGAGCATAGCGGACGAGGAGTCTTTCGACATCCCGGCCCCACCGCGAGGTCTTCCTCGCGGGGCAGCAGCCTCGACCTCAGCGTCGAGCAGCATTGCTTCGTCCTCTTCCCGGCAGCCCCCCGTAGCACCACCATCAGCCGCCCGACCACCAAGTAAACCCAGATTCTCCCTCTTTGCCCCCGGCATGGCTGAGGTGACGCCGGCGCATACCTCAACTCTACGCCCCGCTGCTCGTCCGCCGCTCGACCCGCCATCTGAAAGGAGCGAGCGCAGCCAGCCGAGCACGTCGCAGGCCCCAGAACGCCCATCTGAATCCGAGCGCCGTCCTCCGACATTTGCCTGGGACGAAACGGTGCAGGAGGTGGAGGAGGTTGATGAAGAGGAGCGGAGAGAAGACGCCGAGCCGGAACGGAGGGAAGACCCGCAGACGGCTGAAGCGAGGGATGAATCACTGCGGACGTCATTGGCGGAGCTGAAGCGCATCAACACTGTTTTTGACACGCTGATGGGTGCGCTGGAGGAGGGACGGGCGCACAACACGGTACGTTCAGCTCACCGACGCACAGACGTAGCTGACTATCAGCGACTAGCGACCCGTGTCGCGCAGACCTCGGCGCTGCTCGACGACTACGTCAAGCTGCTCGGACAGGCGGAGCACACGCGCCAGCTCGTCATGAACGAGAAGTGGACAGGTGCGGAGGATGTGAGTCCCAGCTGGCAACGATTGACGGACGTAGCTGACGACAGGACGCTGCAGCTCTGCAAGAGGAAGCGGACCGGGCGGCGGAGCGCGCCGCGGCGGAGGAAGCACGGAGGGCCGCCGAGGCCGAGGAAGCAGCGAGGAGGAAGAGGGAACGTCAGGCTGCGGCGGAGCGCGAGGCCGCCGCCAAGGCACGCAGCGCAGCGGCTACTAGAGGTAGACCGGGCGTGCGTCCTACGCGGGGTGGGCTGAGAGGACGAGGAAGCTCGATTCCCGCACCGTCACGAAGCCGACCTACAAGCGCTGCTGGCACTGCTACAGGCACGACAGCTGGGAGCGGGCACGCCCGTACGACCAGCGGGTTCAGGAGACCCGCATCCGGACTGGGAGGGCGGTACGCCAACGTCCCGAGCAGCGGGTATGGACGCTAGATCTCTATGCATTACGCTGTACTGCTTCTACACCCCACTGCTGACTGGCTGCGTCTACTGCTGAACACACACGTCTCGAACCTCCTTGCCGAGACTGCTGCTTCTGAAGCGCCTGAGGCCATCGAGCAGCTCACGCTCGTCCTGGCTCAATTCGTGTTCGGGCTCGGGCTGCAGGGCAATATTGACCCCAATGCCAGCCGCGCGCTTGCGCGGTTGTTCTGGGTCCGGATCCAGCAGCGCAAGTTTCCGCTTCAGCAGCGCCGTGAACGGATGCGCGGGATCAGAGGGGTTGGGCTGACTAGCGAGCGCGAACGGGAACATGTCCGCGGTACGGGGCCGGCCCTTCTCGACGCCGTCGCGCCGCTCGATGCCGCGGATGATGAACCGCCCTTCGTCGTCGACAGCGGGCTCGGCCTTGGGGAACGTCATGCGCGTGAGCGCGATGAGCTCGACGGGATTCAGGAGACGTGGGGGTTTGCGTTCTTCCTGCTGCGGCGGGGGCGGGGAGTCGGGAGCGGGAGGGAGGAAACTGTTGATGTCGTCGATCTCTTGCGAGACGCCGCTCACACCCGAGTCGACGCCGACGCCGACGCCATCCACTCCTTCGCTTGACTCGTTGGCGCCAGAGTTGTTCGCGGTGTTCTCGGCCTCGGCGGATGCGGACCCCGAGGCCGCGTTGTCGCCCTCGTTGTCCTGCGCCGCCATGTTGGCCTCGAAGTCCTTCAGCTCGTCGTCCTCTGCCTGTCCTGTCGGCGGCTCGAGGAATCGCGCAGCGTAGCTCGAGTACAGCTCTGTCTGCGTAATCGAGGGTGCACCGGGTTCGGTCTGGTGCTGGAAGTTGGACAACAGCCTGGGCGTTAGCTTCACTTCCGAAGATGAGCGACACAGGCGCCGACTTACCATGTCGTACTCCGCAGCGGCTCGACGAGCGCATCCACGCTCCGGTCCCATTCCTCGCTTCCTCCCTCTTTATCCCTCAGCCCTCGCAGGACGTAGTCGCCCTCGTCCCTCGCCATCTCGCATCCGGGGAAGGTAGCGCACGCGAGCTGGATCAGTTCCTGTCCGCCCAGCAGCGGCGCTGTGGTCGCGTACGGGTCAAACCTGGACCGATACGCATTGTACAGCGCGAGCTGGGACACGGAAGCCCCAGGCTGTGGCCGGTAGCTGACCTGCAGCCACCCCGTTGCACGTCCGGGCTCATCCATGCTCTCCAAATCCGCGAGGCCGCGGAGCTTGTTCCGGCGCTGGCGGAAGTACTCCCTGATCTTATTCCATGGCCGTCCCGTGCGCTCTGCGAGTTGTTCCAACTCCCTGCGGCCGGGGTTCGGATTGCGTGCGTAAAACTCGCGCAGGATCACGAGTTGCTGGGCATTCGACAGCGGACTGTCAGGCGCTTGCCGGTGCGGCGGGCCGAAGGGGAAGGAAGGCGGGCGGCGGTACGGTGCTGGCGGGGGCGGGCCCTGGCCGGGCTGAGGACCCGGAGACGCTGAGGCCGATACACCCCCAACAGCATGAGGTGCAGACGAGGAAGACTCGGACCGTGGCTGGCTGTGCGCGTGGGCGTGGGCGTGTGGTGGATGGTGTGCGTGGGAGTGAGAGGTGTGGTGCGAGTCGACGTTTTGCGCGTGTTTGATCGCGGCCGCGACGGCGGCCTCGGCCGCCGCCTGGTTCGCGAGCTCGGACGACATGTCCATCTGCGCCGCTATCGTCGCCGGCGCGTCTTCCGGCGTGTACGAGGACATGGCTTGGACGCCGAGAGCCTGAGGATGTTGATCGCCGAGATAGAGAGGAGGGTGGTTGGATTAAATCCAAAGAAATCAGGAAGATATCCCGTGTTGCCTGTGTCGTCAGTGAGGGTTTGGGCGAAGTTGCCGATCGCGCGGGAGCAAATCGCTGTGGCTATTGTTGTTGCAAGGCTGCCGTGATGAAAGAGATCCAGAGATCCCAGCGACCTCAGAATAACTGAGACACCCCTGATCATGGCGTGAGCGTGAGAAGAGACAGTGCAGTCAAAGTTCTTTGCATGCTATGCTACATCCGCATGTTTTTGCGTGTGCTAAGAATAAAAGATTAAAGTATGGCGGCAGCAGATGGTGGGTAACTCAGGTCTGCTGCGCGCCTTCAGTGCTCGCTTATAGCCTTCCGAAGAGGAGACCAACAACGACATAGATGAGCGTACACGGCGGGGTAAGCACAGCGTAGCTCCACGAGATAGTCTGAGAGATGAGTCTCTCAAAGGCATCGCCCGATGCGGCCTGCGTGATCTGGGCGAGGGTGAGGGCGGGCGGGCTGGAGACGAGAAGTACGGCACAGAGGATGAACACAGGGTCCTCGGCGGCACGGAACCAGTCGTAGCGCGCCATGAGCGCGATGCTGGGGAGGAACACGAGGGGGACAAGGATCATGCGGGACATGACGGCGACGAACACGGTCTTGCTCTCGCCTGCGTAGCGCAGGTCCTCCTGTGAGCGGAGAGAACGGAGCTTGCGCTCGATGAACTTGCCAAAGCCCTTTCCGTTCTGTTCCTCGTCTTCGGGAAGCTGCGGCGGCTTGGGCGTGTAGAAGAACGCGCCGAGAACGACAAGCGTGACGGGGATGGAGCAACGGCCGGCGCTGTTGATAGCGGCCTTGAGAGGAGTGAACTTGTTCAGCTCGGCCTGGAGAGGCGGAATGAGCGCGATGATGACAGACACGAGCGCCGCCCATGTAGGCACAGTCATGAAGCTGCAGAACGCAGCCCAGTACGCGTAGGCACGGGCCTTGAGCTCGGCGTAGAAGGGCGAGCGGGTCGTGCCAACGTCGGCGCGGATAGAGCCCCACTCATCGGCCTCGTCGTCCTCGAGCTCGCTCTCCGACGAGTCCTCCGTAACGTCGTCGAGGTCGTGGACGATGCCCGAGTGACCTGCCTTGGGCTGCTCGGGCAGACCCCAGAACTCGCGCGCCGAGTCAGTCCTAGAGAGTCGGCGGCGGTTGGACACGACGCTCATGAGTGAACCGGAGCGGGAGGCGTTGGCGCTGCTCTGACGCGTGGACGTGCGGCCGCGGGAAACGAGGGGCGAAGAGCTGAGACGGTGGCTAGTGCTGACGGCGGAGCCCGACCCGGCCGGCGACGGCGAGCGCAAACGGCGGGCAGGCGAGTAGTTGAAGCGCTGGTGCTCGTTCAGCGGCGTTCCGTTCAGAGGCGTGCCAGCGAGCGGGGTGACAGGCTCCGGGGACGCGGCGCGGGGAATGTGGACGTCCATGACTCCGCTCTGACCGGGCGTCTGGGCACCAGCAGTGATCTCGATCGAGTCCGGAACGCGGCCCTCCTCGGCGTCCTCGTGCTCGGCATCGTCATCCGCGCTGCTAAGCAGCTTGACGCCCCAGCTCCAGCGGAGCACCATGCCGAGCGTAGAGTAGACGACCATGTACGTGAGGGCACGACCGAGCATCTGGTCCTTGTTGTCTTCCTTGTCCCACTTCAGGCCGGGGACCTCGACGACGAGCGACTGCACCAGCGCAATCGGGAGCGAGTTCGAGTTCTGGAACATGGCCGCACAGATCGCGAACGCACTGGGGAAGCTGTCAGTAATGACATTTTGGGGGGCGAGGAAGGCCCGATATCCGGTTGCCCGGGCCCCGCACCGCGTTGCACTCACGTCTGACTCTTCTTCAAGCGGAACACCTTGGACAGGATCCATGCAACGAGCGCCGACACACCGGTGATCAGCACAAAGCCGAGAGGGATGATCCACAGCTCCTTCAGCTTTGCCGGTGTGAGCGAGAAGGCGACCTGGTCGTCGTTAGCGGATGTAGACAGCCGAGGGTAGCGAAGCGCCATGTCATGATTATGGCTGCCTCCTAAGGCGACATGACGTTCGCGATCTCGCGCAGTGCAGCACGATCTCACGGACGCGGGCGAAACCCGGGACGCTTAGATGGACAAAGACTTACCTTCGAGAACAACAGTGCGGGCGTGAACAGCGACACATTGATGACGTTGAGCTTACGCTGCGTCGCCTTGTCGGTCACGCCGGTCGCAGCGAGAATGTATCCAGCCAAACATAGAAGGAAGACCTCTGTGATGGACTGCGTGTCAGCTCATGCAGTTCCACTTCTTGAGCGTCTCGGTCGTGTGCAGCTCGTATGACAAGCGTTGCGGGGTCTTGCGAGTGCGGGGCACTTCCAAGCGGCGAGTAGTAGCGGCCGTCACCGCCGACCACGGATTGCATACCCCTGTCGGGGGATCGGCGTCGATCAACTCACAGAGAAGACAGTGGTGAGTAGAGTCTTGACTGCACCGTCAGCTCGACTCTCGTAAACTGAGCTCACCGGGTACACCGTCGGACACGAGCATGCTGCGTGTGCAGTGCAGAGCAGAGTTGCAGCAGAAACGAAAGTGTGAGGGAAACACGCACGCAGAGCGAGGATGCACGTTTGTTATCTGGCCCGTACGTGCCTCCACCGGGCGGCAAGGTGCAGGCGGCGAGGGCGGCGAAAATCGTCGCCCCGCGCCCAGGATGCCCAAGTCTGCGAGCTGCGATGGCTGTGTCGCCGAGGTGCTGAGGTGAGCAGCACGCGCAGACCCTAGAGGGAGGCTTGGCATGACCTTAATGCCCAGATTTGCCCAGATTGGGTTGTTTCCTCGCGTTTCCGTCCTGAACCGCAGTGGGGGACGATCACCCCCCCCGACGAATCTGGCAGCATGACGCACACGATGCGCCGTGCCTATGACGAAAGCGGCACATCGCATGGCATTAATTTGGCACACACCCAGGCTCGCCCCCAGCAAGCAAAAGCGATTGCGCAGGCCGTAGTAGTCCTCAAAGGTGCACATTAGCATGCAATCGCATTGTCCAGGATCAAAGCATGCACTTGCATGTGTAACGAGACCAGAACCCGCCGTCGATCGAGCGTTGAATGCCCGAAGCGCACATGCGGCGTGGTGATGCCAAGGCTATGCCACTATCAGAGTTGGCTCGGTTGACGCCATGGCCGAGCTAACGCGCTGAGCCCGGGGAAGGCGCCGGCTTTTGCTATATTGCAATCGTTGCATGTGGTTAAGCTATGGTACATTGGTGTTGAGATCAACGACTAGACGTTTGCCTCGACGAGCGCCTGCGCAACGCTCTCGATTTCTTCCGGCTCCTTGAAGAAGATGAGCTTGACTCCGGGCGGGACAGCGTCGAGAGCCTGGTTCACGCGCGTCTCCCATTGCGCAGCGCGCTTGAGGACCTTCTGCTCCTCGGCGCTGAGCGATTGCAGGTCCGCGATCGTCTGCTTCATGTCCTGGTCCGTCGGCTGGCGGCTGATGGTCGATGTCGGCGTACTGGCTCCAGAGCTGGTCGGGCTCGGAGACCGGTCGTACGTGTTGCCGCTGGCGTAGACGCCGTGCTCTTCCTGGCGCTGCTTCGCCGACTCGTTCTCGGCGAGCTCAGAGTGGCTCATCAGCCCCGCCTTCTCGGCGACCTTGCGCGCCTCCTCAGCGCGGCTGCTCGTGACATCGCGGATGAAGATGGCGAGCACCTGCTTAGGCCGCTCGCGCGCGAGTGACACGTAAAGCTCCAAATCCTGCTCACCACTGTCACCAAACATGAGGAACTTGCTGTCGCCGAACTCGTTCATGATGTCCTCGATCGGGGGACGCTTGCGGTCACCTGCGCCCTCGAAAAGAGACGTCACGATCGAGCGCGAAGAGTACATCTTGAGCTTGAGCGAGTAGAACGACGGGAACTTGTGCAGCTGCAGGAATTGCGAGACGAGCGGGTAGATGGATACCGGCGAGTTGGACACGAAGTGCACACCGGACAGACCGATCCGCGTCAGGTCCTGGTACAGCGTGTTCATGCCGTGCACGAGAATGTCCTCAAGGCGACGGCAGAAAACGTTGCGGAACACCTCGCGGGGTCCACTCAAAATATCACTGTGCTTCACCGTGTCATCCTGTTCGTCAGTCTCTATTTGGCGACTTCCCAACTCACCAAGTCAGAGATGATGCGCACACCTCCTGGCCTCTGAATGTTGGCAACATTGATGGCCTCCGCGCTCGCTTCGCCGAGTCCCATCAGACCCATCTCCTGGTCGCCATCGCCGTCGTTGCGATTCGGAATCTCAGAGCGGGAGAAAAAGCTGGTAGCAGCACCCTCAGCGCGCGCTAACCTGCTCTTATACCTGCTGCTCCTGCTGCTGTCCGTGCTGTTCATCGAGTCGGACGTCGTCGCTCGCTGCAGTCCATCGGGACCTTCCTCGCTGAGGAGTTGTGCTCGGAAGACCAGCCCCCAGTCCTTGTGTGGGTCGCTGTTCTGCGGGTCCTCCGAGAACGCGAGACCGATCGACTCCGGGTGTGTGCAGATGCGCTCCCATGGGATGGCGAAGTGGTGGATGAAGACACCTTGGCTGTTCGTCGTGAACGTCGTTCGCATGAGGGGCTGCTTATCAAACAGCTCCGGACCAGGTTCCGGCACAGGCTTGCTGTCGATCAACTTGACAGTGTAGAGCGACAGCGCGACTCGTCGATTCGGCAAGGCCGTTGACCAGAAGGGGCGCAGACGGGTGTCCAAATATTCGTGGGCGAGCCGCAGCTGTTCGTTGTCCAAGAACACCTGGTCAGTGGAGGGGATACGCGACGGCGGGGAAGGCGAGCGCCTCCTCGTTGAGGGTGGCGGGGTGGCTGTGGGCTTAGTGTCAGTCGAGTTTAAGGCCCCCTTCCTCGACACGGTGTTACCTCTCAGCGCCTCCGGCTTCGGTTTCGGCGGAGGAGGTGGCCTTCCCTTCTTCGGAGTGCCAGGGGGCGAGTCCAGATCGATCATGTCCTCCACCTCCGGCAGATCCTTATCGTCCGCCGGGTCGCTCGTGGGCGAGCCGATCTACGCGACGGCGGGGAAGGCGAGCGCCTCCTCGTTGAGGGTGGCGGGGTGGCTGTGGGCTTAGTGTCAGTCGAGTTTAAGGCCCCCTTCCTCGACACGGTGTTACCTCTCAGCGCCTCCGGCTTCGGTTTCGGCGGAGGAGGTGGCCTTCCCTTCTTCGGAGTGCCAGGGGGCGAGTCCAGATCGATCATGTCCTCCACCTCCGGCAGATCCTTATCGTCCGCCGGGTCGCTCGTGGGCGAGTCGGTCAACTTGTCGTCCATGAGCGCTCCTTTGCCCTTTGGCGGAAGCGTCGGGATGGCAGGAAGGGCGGCGAACCGTCGAACGAGGCTCATCATTGCACGCTGCGTCCTGGACACATTCCCCGGATCCCGCTCGAACACACACAATCCTGACGTAGTAACATGGAGATCAAAGGCTGTCACGTCAGCCGCCGAGCGAACATATGCACTCACCGAGCTCGTTGCCATCTTTCGTGGGGCGCTTTACACCCCAGCCGGGGACGAGGAAGATCGTCTCCTTTCCTGGTCCTCGCGTCTTCTCCGACCCAACGACCGTGTTTGCGACAGCGCTTCCGGCAGCCCCCGCAGCGCTAAGCACGGATCTGGCGAGCGACGTGAAGCTCTGGGTTGAGCCGGTCGAGGTCGCCGTATTGGATCGCTGCTGCGCCGACGTCACCATGGCGGCAACTCGGCCCGGTGGTCTTCGGGTGATGAGTCCAAGTTGGTTCTCCTGACGCTGCTGAGCTTGGTGCGTGGAGAACGCTTGCGTGCGCGGCTGCGCTCGGCTCCTCGGGGCCTGAGGTGGTTGTGCGAGAATCGCACGCTGGGGCGCAGGTATGAGAGAGCCTCTAGAAGAAGCCCATTGAGCGGGGTTGCGATCGGCGTGGTATTGATCGATGACGCGGGAGGTCTTCGGTGGTATCGGCGGTGCCCGCTTTGAAGATGAGGCGGAGCTCGAGGAAGACGCTACCGAGGCAACGGAGGCGACGGACGCCGTGCTCGAGCCTCTGGCGACGGAATGGTGTCGCGGGGGCCGGAGGGGGATGTTGGGCGGCATGTCGGACATAGCCAGAAGGCGGATTCGGTCCCTATGGACCTGCTATCAGTCGAGGATTGGGGTCGGTCAGTGGTGGTGGTCGCGAATGTTCGCCGGTGGTTATTCGCCAGAGCCAAGCCAGCAGCCAGATCCCAGAGCTTGAAAGACGTAGGTCGCTCGGCTGGCGCTTACAGTGGCATGGACTGGTGGAGGTTGCGTGACGGTGACAACCTGGCGGGGCCTGGCTGTAGGGTGGGTGCCTCCTACGCTGGGTGACGCTGGCTCAGTCAACACATTCAGTGGTGGAAGTACGATAAGCGCCTGGATTTCGGGGGAAATGACGTGGGATCACGTGGCAAGATGACCGGAAGCAACCATGCGTGCGACCATGCGCGGCCAGAGTTAGGTTGTAGCTGAGTCTCGAGCAGAGTTATGCGAATTTGGTAAAACCCTGCGAGTCGCCGGTTGCCTTGGGGATTGCCGCCCTCCCAGGTCCTCCATCCTCCAGTTCCGGTGGGCCTGAGGAGCTGAGGAGGATCCTCAGAGTGGGCTGCTTCCCAGAGCTCCGCGATTCGCCTGCAGATCGGATCCGGCTTGATCGAACCGTAGCTCTTGGTAACACTGTCGTACGCAAGCAGGAAAGCAATAAAGCTGCCCGCAGTGTCAGCGGAACGTCCGCGATCGCGGTGAAGCGGGTCAGCGGACCATCATCTTATACAAACACTGGAAACGCGAGTTGGGCACGCTCGCGTACGCAGTCTGCGCCGATGGAGCGATGATAGACATGGCGGGTGTTGACCTGACCCTTCGGCCGTTATGACCTGACACCCGACACACCTGACGATGGATCCTGAGCTGATTTCGCGAAACTGCCGCTTTCAAACAAGAAACGCTCGGAGCGGACGCCCGAGCACCTGGGGATGAGCCGCGTTTCCTTGTTTCGACGCGAACTTTGCAATATGTAATCTCGTTGATTCGCGTCTGCTCCGTGCCGCGCACCTGTTTCGTGCTTCGTCACACAGATCACACGGATCGCACACAGATCACACAGAACAAAGCCAAAGTGACTGACTGGCGACTCGCCTTGGGCGCTCACAGACGCTGATTATTCATCCTTGTTTGATCGCGGGCAGACCTTCTTTCGGAATGGCGCTCGATCTCTTCCCCTCCTAGCCTCCCTGCTTCTCGAAGAACCCAGCCATTCTTCCCAGCGACCTGTGCTGAATGCTGTCTGAATGGTGGGAAACAAGATTCTGCGGGTGTATGCATATTATTAAGTCAAACCGTTTCAGAGTGAAATACTCGAAAGCAACGTTACCGTGCTAGCATTCCGACAGCATTAACACCACCTAGCAGTCATGCCCATGCCTCATGCCATGGACGTCAGGCATGCCACAGTGTACGAGAACAGCTACGCCTATTCATGAGCTTCGATTCAACGATTCACCAGATTTGACGCAGTAACGTAGAAGTGGTGTACGACTCATATTGCAATTCACGTGATTAGCACGTAATTGACGGAGGGAGAGCTAGGCATTAATGCTCCGCATGCCCTGCTGGATCACTCCAAGAGCTGTCTGCCCACAAGTGGAAGTCGTCGTAGGTCTTGACGTCCGTGCAGAACGCACGAATCGGAACGATACGTGACTGGGTCGCATCAAAGTCAACCGGAGGTTGCTCGTTGTGGCAAGACATCAGCAGGAGTCGCAACCCCACTCTTCCGAGCGATTCAAGCTTTGATGCGTTACCCAACCGACGCGTTCGCATGCGTCTCCACTGTACCGGCGCTGCATGGTGCTGTACCGGATGCACCGGGACGTCTGCGGGCGAGCCAATCTGGCCAATCTGGAAAGTCGGAGGATCAGGTTCTCACCTCGAGTAGAGTTTGCTTCTGAATGGATCCACCCCAGGACCTGTGTTCCTGCGCTGACGCCCCGCGGGCCATTACTCATAGCGCGCAAAGCGAGCCCTTGCAGCCTGTGCACGCAAACAGCGCATGCGTCGCACGCAGCATGTCGTACGTATCGCCCCACGGTATTGGGAACGGGTTACGGGTTTGAATCGACCGGCCAGAAACGATGCGATGATGACTGGCCAATGATTATAACCTGTCTAGGCAGTCACCAGTCAACGCAACGGTCAACGCGTGCAGCGCTCTGCAGCGCTCGCTGTATCAGACCGAATCAGGCTGCACTGGATCGCAGGATCGTCAGACATGGCGATAGTCGTCGGCGATGGCCCGATGCCCGCGCTGGCCGCCCTCATCGCCCTCTTCGCTCACCCCTGCCTGCCCTATCTCGTGTCACCGCCACGCGGCCCACTGGCCAGGCTCGCAGCGCGGCGCGCGAGCAATGTGCGGCGTGACAATCCTCCGGATTCCGGAGGCTGGTCCTACTAGCCCTACTAACCCTGCTAGCTGCGCGCAGTGAGCGGAGGAGGGGCTGGCTCCGGCAGCACTGGCTTGCAGTGCATGCTCTCGGAGATCAAGGGGCAGCGAGGATGTGAACAAGTAAAGATGGGCGATGCCGTACAGCCGCTCGTGGCAGAGGTCATTTGGACCAGATTCTTGTCACATAGGACGTGGGACGTGCCCGGAGGTAACTGGGCCGCAACCCGGCCCAAACCCAATTAACCCACATTGTCGGCAGTCGCAGACGGGATTAGGCACAAGGATTGAACAGAATGCCTGTACCCGAAGCTTGCATGAGCCAAAGAGGGACCCAAGGGCGGGGCAGCAGGGCGTGCATGCTGTCATGCTTCCGGTGCAGCGACGCGCGACACTGGCAGTAAGCAGGATATGCAGGAACGCAAGTTGGAGACACGAGACAGCGGCTCACGGCACGACGAAATGAGCGAGACGAGACGCAGCAATCAAGTGGCCAGGCTCTGTTAGCTCTGCTCTTTCTGCTCCCGGGCTCTTGGGAACATCTGGGGCCCTCCGATCCGTGATCCGTGTCCGTGACTCGCGACTTGCACATCAAGCGCATCGGCGGGTGCCGGGAGTATATCTGCAGCCTGCATGACTTGCCAGACTGCATGGCCTGGAAGCGTCGATGGAGGCCTTGGAGGGGCGTCGGGCGTCGGGCGCTGGGCGCCTGGCGCTGTGGGGCTCGCGCGCGGGCTGAGGCAGCAGGGCCCAGGGCCTGAGGCATCTTCTCTGACATGGGACACGCTACACCCACCCCTGGCCCTGCCCGTGCCCTTCAGTCAGCGAGGCCTCTGCGCTAGGCTTGTCTTGCCTTGCAGTGCAGAGCATGGCAGAGCAGGCGATCCAGACATTGCTGCGTCCTGCATCAAGTTGTCTCCTCTGCCCGTCTTCCCTCGCCTCCCCCTGGGCGTCCTGGCCTCCTGCGTCCTGGGTCGCTCCGTACCCTCCGTCTCGCTAGCGCGCTAGCGTCCTTCTCGTGCGCTCTCTTACACGACACATAATACACGTAACCCACAACCCTCAAAGGGTTTCCCTCGCTGACCCTCTCTGCGCCCTTAGGTCGTAGTGCGCTCTCCGAACCCCTTGCGTCTCTTGCGCGCGGCGTCGGCACCTCGCCCTCTGGCCGTCCGCCTGGACCGGGCTGCTGAGCCTTACTGCCTTTAAAGATTGTCCACCGGCCCGCCCCCTGTCGCCCAGCATCTTAATATTTCCTCAGCCTTTTCTCCTTTGGAACACGTTTCACCTTTCTCTAACCATCCATCCTTCCATCCAACTCCTAGCTCTGGGCCGCTAGGCTGCTTCCTCCAACAAGGTCGCATCCCCTCTGCCCCGAGCCCTCCTCCTCTCCATCCTCCTCCCTCCAACAACACCTTCCACAACCTCCTCACACGTCTCATCCTCCGAACTCTCCTCTCTCCAACATCTTACATCTCTCAGACTCCAATCCTTAATTCATCCTGTTTCCCCCCCACTTTTCCCCTCTCATCATCCATCACTCGTTCTCATCGACATCATCGACTAGTCGTCATACCACCACACCCACAGTCACAACCACAACCACAACCCTGCGACTTCCATCAGCAGCACCCCGACGTCAACAACATCGCCGCCGCTCATCTAATCGCGAACCCCTGACTCCACCTGTGATCTCGAACGCGCTACCTGTCGATACACACCAGTCTCCGGATCGTCTCACCACACCTCCTGTCCCTACGGCTTAGACTCTCCTTCGAAACTTCCATCATCGACAAGGCAAAGTCTCAGCCAAACGCTCCCCTCCATCACCCCTCGCACTCCTCAGTCGACCGTCTGCCCTCTGACTGAGCCCTGACTCCCGCTTCTTCAACCTCCCGGCAGCCCTCTCAACCCCGACGCCGAGTTCGAGCTACTACCGAGTAGCCGCCGCCATCATAGCCACTACTTTCGCAACCCTGCCCACCACCCACCTGCCTGGTACAGGCACAACTATGCTGGGCGGTCCCACCGAGGTAGAGGTTTATCACGCCCCATACAAGGAGTGGGTACTTCCGCGTTGTTGGCGAGCAGGGTGTCGTGATGGGCGTGACACCCATGGCGCCCTGTGCTGAGATTCACCAGTCACTGACGATCCTCAGAGGCCCCGGTATGGAAGAGGCCATTCTCTACCCCCTTCCGCCCCCCGCGGACGTCGTTCCACGGCGTCTGACTGACTCCGAGACGGCTCGCGTTGAGCTGCTCTGCAGACTGCTTTTCGTAAGCAACGCGCATCATCAAGGTTGCTGACATCACAGTTCCTTGCTACCGCTCCCACGAAGTGGTCTACGCTTCCTCAGAGCGTAAGTTCATGTCCTGGGTAACAGCGAAACTAACACGCAGCATCTTCCTGATCTCTCCAAGTTCCGACTTCCGAACGGCGAGGACGTTGCATGTGTGCTTTGGAACGGTCTTTATCATATCACGGGCACTGACATCGGTGAGTTTTGAGTTTGTCTGGGGAATGTTTGCTAATCAAATCCAGTTCGTGCTCTTCTTTTCCGTTTCGAGGCATTCGGTCGCCCCGTGAAGCACACCAAGAAGTGGGAGGAGGGTGTCTTCTCCGACCTTCGTAACCTTAAGCCTGGTGTTGATGCTTGTCTCGAGGAGCCTAAGTGAGTTTCAGATGTTGATTACGAGACACACACGGGAACACACCAGCTGACGCTACAGGTCTGCCTTCCTCGACTTCCTGTTCCGCAATGGATGCATCCGTACCCAGAAGAAGCAGAAGGTCTTCTACTGGTTCTCCGTCCCGCACGACCGTCTCTTCCTCGATGCTCTTGAGCGTGACTTAAAGCGCGAGAAGGCCGGTCAGGAGCCGACATCGGTGGTCGTCGGCGAGCCCGCTCGCAGCTTCAAATATGACCCCCGCCGCGGTCTCTACGAGCAGTTCATGGGTACCAACCGCGGAATGGAGGCGGCTATCCTGGTTAGTGCCTTGCGCTACTGATAACGTGTTTGCACAGACGCTGACGCTATCTCAGGACCAGGTCTACCCTCTGCAGGCACGCATTGCTCCCAATGCTGCTCACATGATGCCCGGAGGTATGGGTCCGGAGGGATCGAGGCAATCGAGCATGGACCCCAACATGGCCTACGACGGACGTCCCATGGACGGCTCGGTCGAGCAGAGCATGTGGGCTGGCCGTGTCGGCAACATTGATCCCAACACTGGCAGACCGGTTCCTGATTTTTTTCAGCCGACCGCCGACCAGTACCAGACGGGGCCAGGGGGATTACCCCAGTTCACCGTGACGATGTTTGAGGGAAGTTCGGCGTACAAGCGCAAGCGCACGCGTTCGAAGCGCTCCTCCCCTTCAAAGTCGGTGGCTCCCGAAGATGATGAGGAGAGGGCCAAGCGCGACGGAACGGCAGTCTCCACGGTCGGCGGTGACGAGAAGAAGCGCAAGACAGATTCAGTTCGTGACTCACCGGCACCGGGAGTCGATGCTGCCAACAGCAGCACCGCCTCGACAGCTGCCCCCCAAGCCGCGCATGCGGGCGCCACCGAGGAGAAGTCGTTCGTTTGCGTCTTCGAGTTTTGCCGCAGACCGTTCAAGCGCTTAGAGCACCTGAAGCGCCACATCCGGACGCACACGCAGGAGCGTCCGTTCGCTTGCAAGCTTTGTTCGCGCGCGTTCAGCCGGCAAGACAACCTCCTGCAGCACTTGCGCCTGCACCGCAAGGACGAGCCGCCCCGCTCGAGCAGCGAGACGGTCGAGGACTCGCGACTCAGCGCACCGCCTTATCTTGGCCGCCGCTGGCCGACGCAGTCACCAGCGCCGACTGATGGCATGATGTCACATGTCCCCGTTGAGTGAGTTGAGCATTTCCACAGGGGCGGTGAAAATTGCCCGTGTTGAAACATGAAACACCTTGTGGCAATGCGCTGACATTACAGCCCCAACGCACAGTATAACATGTACTACGGCGGCATGCAGGCGCCGCAGCGCTCGACGACGGTGCCGCCCGACTGGCTCTCGATGCCCCCGCCCAATGCTTGGAACGCGCCGAGTGTCTCTTCCGCTGGACCTTCGTTCACCCCGCCTCAACAGCCCATGCGCTACCGCTCTCTGACACCACACGGTGGCGGCGGTTCGTACAACTACGGCTCGATGGGTCCTCCCCCTGCCCCCGCCGCGAGCGGGATGGTCAACTCGATGCCGAACGTTTCGGGCACGCAGGGATACGTCTACTCTGAGCCTGCCCCGGTCGAGAGCCAGCAGACCGGCGAGTACTACCCGCCACAGCAGGGACAGTGGAACGGCGGAGTCGACGTCAACGGCGCGCCGATGGTCACGAAGCCCGAGGACGAGTACCACGGTGACCAGGCCGTCGACCCGAACAACAGCTGGCAGCAGCAGCCTCCTCCCATGTAAGCTAGCTACTAGGCTAGTCCACATCTTCAAACTCTGAGGCCATCTCGTCTTTTCTTCACGAAACCATGAGTCGGCCCAAACCACGGTCTTACATCTTGACGCCGCTCCCTACCGGCGACAAATCTTGGGTTGTTCAAACGAACCTTGACTTGCTTATCTTCTTTTCTCCTTCTTCTGTGTAAACCAGATTCCCCAGTTTAATGATTCGATACCAACAACCCTCACCCAACCCACTCGCCCTGGTCGTTCCACCGATCATCGCGAGCTTCGTCGCAAGACCAACACCCCGATACCGCGATTGAAACGGCGCAAGCCCCGGCGTCTCTGGCGCCCCGGTAACCGCTCTCTCTTCGTTCATCCCTTTTGCAGATAGAATACCGGCCTCTGTCCTCTCCTGCTCCCCCCATCTTGTCTCCTTCTCCTCCCTATCGAGAAGAAGAAAGACAAGGGAGGACAGAGGACAAGAAGCCCGAGGCCCGAGGCAACAGCAACACATGCCAAGTGCCGAGTACTAGTAACATCGACTTTGTATACCCACCCCTCCCCCCTTCTCTCACCACAACCATTGCTCCCACCACCACCTTGTTTCCACCACAACGCGAAATGCAGCAGTATAGCGACGAAAAAGAACGTGAATGGACTATTTTGTACACTGCACCTAAATTACCTCTGTTTGCGCTCTGGATCACTGACTGTTGCACGCGAAGCGTCCTGACTGAGCAGAGGAAGGATCGGAAGGAGGGAAGGAGGAAGTGCGATGACTGACTGAGCGCAGGACGCACTGACCTGAAACGCCAGTGTCGGAGCTGCCCACGTCAACAAGCAGCACCTGACCCGCACCGCAGCGTCGCTGGAAGCTACGTCGCTGGAGCAGGGCGGGATATCGCAGACGGGCTCCACCGCGCTCCAGCGTCGCACGTCACAAGCCTCCGGGTCCGATCGTCGATCGAGCGGAGGCTGGCAGGAGCCGCGCGGGGCCAACGCGAGCGGGGCCAGCGCGCGGATCAACGTAAGCCGCTCCCTCGCGTGCATAGCAACAGCCAACATAGCAAGACACGCTTTGCATAACTGCGAGATATTGAGATAACTTTTGTATTACGTACGGGCACTGTTGCAGCCGTGCTGCTGTGCTGCAGAACAGCAGCTACGCTGCGGCCAGAAGAGACATATGGGACGCACCTGCGCACCTTGCGTGCGGGGAGGAAGGCCGCTTAGTCGTCGCGGCGCTCGTTCTCGCCCTGGTCGCGGTCGCGCTCGTCGTCGTGGCGATCGTCGCGGTCGTCGCGGCGGTCATCGTCGCGGTCGTCGCGGCGGTCATCGTCGCGCTCATCGCGCTCGCCCTTGCGGGGCGGGGTCGTGGAGCGGCGGCGGTCGTCGCGGGGCTCGTCGCCGCGCGGCTCGTCACGCTCGTCGCGGCTGTCACGCCCGCTGTCGCGCTCGCGCTCGTACTCCCGGTCAGCGCGCTCGTCACGGCGCGGGCTGGGGGAACGGCGGCGAGGGCTAGGCGAGCGGCGACGAGGAGGAGAGCGCGCGCGGTCAGCGTGGCCACGGTCGCGGCGGTAGCTGATGTCAGCTGGGGGCTCACAAGCGCTTAGCTGATCGTCCCGGACACCGTCATCGGTGTCAGAAAAGACAGCAAGTACTCACTCCTCGTGGCGCCAAGCAGCCGAAGGCGGGCGCTTGGCCCACTGAACAGTAATGCGGCGGCCGTCGATGGTGCGACCGTGCATGTCGGCGACCGTGCATGTCGTAGTAGGCGTCCTCGGCGTCGTCCTCGCGGCGGAATTCGACGAAGGCGAAGGCTGCGTGGGGTGAGCTGCGGAATTCTTACTGTTTCCAGTCGGGCCGTCGTCGTCCTCGCTAGCTCGCTCGAAATGGGTCCTCGCTCGCTCGAACTTGTGTAGTGTTTGTGATGGATGCTAGCGGACTCTCCTCGAGGAGAAGCAAACGATTCGCTGTCGCTTTCGCACGCTTGTCGCCGCTTTCGCTCGATGCTCGGTGCACGCGCGGGGAGGGAAGGTCTTAAGGAGGATCATTCTCGTAGGGTGCGCTCGTTCTCGCTCGCCGCCACGCCGTTGCCGCGGACTGCCGGCGCTCGCGCGGACCCGACGGCTGACTTGCCACTGGGCTCGAGACTCTTGGGACGGAGGCCGGATGACGTTTGCGCCAGTGTGCCTGTCTTGAGACCTTGTGTCCGTTCCTGCCCGAGGCAAACTCGCTCCACGCTTTTGATCGCTGGACCGTTTCGTTTGAAGGTAGAATGACAGACCTAGCTCACGCTGAGCAAGACGGGCATGAGGGGTCTTCTCAAGGGGCTTTAGGAAAGAAAGGAGGATGAGGAAGACAACCACCAAAGGAGTTTGTCTGCGATGCTGAAGGGAACACGGCTACTTACGAGAGGAGGAAGCGCTCTTGAGCGCGGGGATGTCACAGCGGACGAGACGGCCAAAGCGCTCGAACTCCCACGCCAAGTCACGGGCGCGGAGGTTGGGGCTAAAGCCAGTCACGTAGAGAACACTGCGGTTGGTTAGTCGTCGACCCTTCCTTCATTGCCCGACGCAATGTTCGCCTGCTAAAACAAGAAAACGCATCGCATGCGCAACTCCGACTCACGTGCGGTTTTGCTGTTAAAAGTCAACATCGAAACCATGACAAAGAGAAAGTTCACGCACCATTCTAAGACAGAGAGTTGTACACAACAGCAAACAGGTAAACGAGATGAAGTGAGGAGTCGCGAGTGAGAAGAAGCAACAATAACGCAGAAGAGGCTGAGAGTTGCGGGGCTAGCCCTTAGCTCCATGGGTGGCGTTAAGGTGGGGATCGCATAACGCAACCACGTGTTAGGTGATCATCTCCCAGGGCAGCAGGGATGCAGCTGATGCAGGACATCGTTCCTCGCCACTGCGGTGTCGGCTCTCGCGTTCTCGGTCTAGGGTGTACGCAGTCGCCCAGCCACGGTGGGAACCAGGGATTACAACCCATCAAAGGGCCACGATTACAATATCGCAAATCAGTCAACGCTGTCCGTCAATTGGCCAGGGTTTGTCGATTTCACTGCGATGCTGCAATGCGCTGCTCTGGTACACAAGTTGAAACCTCGAGATCCTTACAAGCGGCCGTTCCTAGCGCCCGCGTCGTGACAAGCGAAAGCAAAGCCACCTTTTGTTTTCATCCGTGCAATGCCTTCCCTCCTTCAGTTAATCAGTTCAGTGTTCTCCTGGTGCATGCATGCATGCAATTCTCTTCTCCTTGCACCATGCATTGCATCCTATGTTTACGCCGATCCAGGTGTGGCGGACGAGCATGAATGGTGCATAGTGTGGTTGCTAAGCCGTTGGTTCGTTGGCTCTGTCGCATGGCGCAGCACAGCCCTTGGGGTGCGAATTATCGATGGGTATGGGTTCATGTCACTCTTGTTCCTCTTCCAACTCATCACTGCTTATTTGCTCATTCTCCTCCTCTCCTTTAGTCCTTCTTTCTTTCTCCTCTCTCCTTCTTTCTTTGCGTCTTCGGGTCTGACTGGCCAACGCCGACCTCTGAAGGCCAGACGCTCGCAGAGCAGGCTCGACTCTCGAACCGTTAATTCACCCGACCAAACAAACCCTGTTACGCAAAGTCGGGCGATTCACGAACAGCAAAACAACAAGGAACTATCACCTTCAACATGTCGTCCTTACGGCCTACGGGCGGAGGCCAGAACAAGCGCTTCTCGACTCGCTTCGAGGGCATCAGCGATCTCTGGTGAGCCCATTCCGTCGCCGAGTATTCAGTCGCGACACGTCCACGGCGGTATGCCCCGATCACTGCTAACTCTGCTTAGTGCACTCCCCTCTATCGCCGAGGACACGATCATCGCCTCACTTCGCGAACGCTATGTGACCTCTCAACCCTACACCGCCGTGTCCGACTCGGCGCTCGTCTCAATGAATCCTCTCACTGCGCTGCCCGTTAACAGCGACGCATCGCTTCATGACTATGTCAAGGAATATTTCCAGTCAGCAGGTGACGATATCGTCGGCCAGCCCGGCGGCAAAGAGTCCCTCGGACCACACATCTTCCGAACAACGCTCAATGCATACTACAACATGCGCAGGACGGGTCAAGACCAGATCATCCTCATGAGGTGAGTTGCAGAATATCTGGTGTGAACGCCGCCGTCGAGGCCTGAGAGCCGCCTCCCCCGGTTGTCGTTACGCTGGTCGCGAACAGGGTCTGGACCTGGCTGACCCCCCTTAGCGGTGCCACTGGCTCAGGCAAGTCGGAAATGCGTCGATTGGCTATCAAGGCCGTTTCCGAGGTTTCTGTAGCGCCCCATGGGAAGAAGGGCTACAAGGTCGGCAACCAGATCGCGAATGCAGAGGTAAGTGCATCGGTCTAGGAGCTCAATTGACGAGAACAGTTCATCCTCGAGTCTTTTGGTAACGCCCACACGGTGCACAACGACAATGCCTCGCGGTACGGAAACTACACAGAACTCCAGTTCACCGATCGCGGACGTCTCGAGGGACTGAAGACGATCGAGTACTACCTTGAGCGATCTCGAGTGAGCCAGGTCCCGGCGAGCGGCGAGCGCAACTTCCATGTCTTTTACTACCTCTGCGCGGGTATCGATGGCGAGGAACGCCAGCACTTGAGGCTAGGAAACGAGGGCGACTACCACTACCTCCAGTCTCGCGCCCGCAGGACAGGTGCCAGCGACCGCGAGCGCTTCCGCCAGCTGAAGCAGGCCTTCCGCGCTGTCGGAATGTCGAACCGACTTGTCGCTCAGGTCTGCCAGCTTCTCGCGTGTATCCTCCACATTGGAAACCTGCAGTTCTCTGGAGACGACGCTCTGCATGAAGGTGCTCTCGTTCTGAACGAGGACGTTCTCTCCACGGTCGCCGAATTCCTCGGTGTCCACGAGAATGCTCTCGCTGAGATCTTCTCGTTCAAGACGCTCCTCGTGCGCAAGGAGGTGTGCACCACGTTCCTCGATGTGGAGGGTGCTGAGTCCGTCCGAGATGAGCTTGCGCGTACTCTGTATTCGCTTCTCTTCTCATGGCTCAATGAGCACCTCAACCAAAAGCTCTGTAAGGATTCTTTCGGATCCTTCATCGCGATTCTCGACCTTCCCGGACAGCAAAACAACGCCGGCCCGACTCTTGGTATCAACTCGATCGACCAGTTCTGCTTCAACTTTGCGGCTGAGAAGCAGCACAACTGGATTCTTCACCGCATCCACGAGGCACCGCTGGCCGAGGCGGCCGCGGACAAGATGCCTCTCGAACGTATTCCCTACTTTGACAACACAGAGTGTCTCAAGATGCTTTCAGACCCCAAGACCGGTCTCATTGCCATTGCGGACGACCAGAGCAAGAAGAAGAGGACGGATAACCAGATGCTCGACGCCATGGCGAAGCGCTACACTGGGCACTCGTCATTTGCGGTTGGTAACATGGACCGCACGGGCTCAGCCTCTTTCACGGTCAACCACTACGGCGGTCCCGTCACCTACAGCGTTGAGGGATTCACTGACCGCAACGCCAATGAGACCAGTGCCGACATCCTCCGTCTCCTCCGCGGGTCCGCGACCGGTCCTACTCATGTCCCGGACGCTCAAGGATCTAACAACCCCTTCATCCGAACTCTCTTCTCGTCCCGTTCCATTGCTACGCAGATGCACCCTCGGAACGAGGACACCATCGTGGCAGCTCAGCAACCCGTCAAGCCCATGCGTGCTCCTTCAACTCGTCGAAAGCGCGCTGGATCGCGACTGCGTGCTGTTCAGGAAACCGAAGGAGAAGATGCTGAAGTTGGAGGAGGAAACGACGAGGGCAATGCCGGTACTCAGCTGCACTGCGTGGCTGGGCAACTGTGGCAGGCACTCTCCGGACTCTTTGCTACGTTTGATCAGATCCAGCCCTGGTTCGTGTTCTGTCTGCGACCGAACGACTCCCAACTTCCAGCTCAAGTCGAGACCCGCTCGGTCAAGGCGCAGATTCGCAGCCTGGGTCTGACGGAGATCAGCCAGCGTTTACGGTCGGCGGACTTTGAGGTTCGCATGACGCACCAGGAGTTCGCGGACAGATACTACGACGAGTTTGCTGAGCGTGCTATTGGCAACCAGGGAACCACTGCTGATCGTATCCGCGACCTGAAGCGTGTTCTTCAGCTTGACGACCACCACATGCTGGTTAGTTCGAGCCGTGTGTTCCTGTCCCACGCCACGTTCCACCGTTTCGAGGACCGGTTACGTGAGTCCGACGGTCTCGAGATGCCCGAGCACTTGGCAGCTGGCCCGGCCGACAAGGACGACCACTTCGCCCCTGGTCATCGCACGCACTCGCCTGAGCCTGAGCCCATGTTCGACTTCCACCAAGAGCGGAACTTCGCTCGCAACGACTCCACCGCTGCACTTCCTCTGGTGGCTAACGCGGCACCTGCACCTCAATATCCGTCTTCCGAGCCCGATGACGAATCGCGTGGTTTCGCTCCAAGCCAGGCCACGAGCGCTTTCGGTGACTCGCAATCTGTCGCAGGAACCGACGCGTACGCACCTTCGCGCAACATGTTCCACGACATGGAGAAGACGCGCGGTGAGAAGGATGTTCTCGACGAGCTTCCTGAGGATAACGAGGTGCAAGAGGAGTACAAGGAGTCGCCGGCGCGTCGTCGCTGGGTCCTTCTCTGTCGCCTGCTCACTTGGTGGATCCCGGACTTTGCCCTCAGTCGCTTGGGTCGTATGAAGCGTCAGGACATCCGACAAGCCTGGCGCGAGAAGCTCGCGATCAACCTCATTATCTGGTTCATCTGTGGCTGCACGATTTTCGTCATCGCCGGTCTTGCTCCTGTTATCTGCCCTACCCAGCACGTCTTCACTCAAGCCGAACTGAACAGTCATAACTACAAGGAGAACCCGAAGAGTGCCTACACGGCCATCCGCGGAGAGGTCTTCGACTTCACATCCTTCCTTGGAACGCACCAACGCATCGTTCCGATTGTCGACTCCAAGACCATGCAGCCTTACTCGGGCGTCGACGCAAGCAGTCTCTTCCCTGTCCAGGTGTCTGCCGTGTGCAGTGGCACCAATCCTAACGGTATCTCGCCCTACATCACTCTGGACGCCACGAACCAAACAAACCCGTTCTCCCAGTACCACGACTTCCGCGCCTCGCACACTTCGACCGACTTCCGCCCCGACTGGTACCGCGAGCAGATGATGACTCTCGGAGGAGGTTACCGCAAGGGCTGGATGGGTTTCACGAAAAAGGACCTGAAGCACAAGGCCGACAACAAGGAAGTTGTTGGTATCATCGACGGTTACATTTATGACCTGACGACCTACTACAACCAGGGTGGTGGTGGTATCCAGTTCCCGAAGGATCTGGACGAGACCAGCGAGGCTGCTACGTCGGCCTACGCCCAGCGCGCTTTCATGGCCGACCAGGTCACGCAGATGTTCCTGCAGAACTCTGGAAAGGATGTCTCGAAGCTTTGGCACGACAACGTTCGCAAGGCCCTTGGTGACGAGGTCTGGAACATGCAATCAGACTGTCTTCGCTGGCTCTTCATCGTGGGCAAGCTTGACACTCGTGACTCGCCTCAGTGTCTGTTCTCGACCTACATCCTTCTTGCCCTCTCCTGTGTGATGGTCGCTATCATTGCCTTCAAGTTCTTGGCTGCCATCCACTTCGGCCCCTCCCGTGCGCCCGAGAACCACGACAAGTTCGTTATCTGCCAGGTTCCCTGTTACACTGAGGGAGAGGAGTCACTCCGCAGGACCATCGACTCGCTCGTCAAGCTCCGTTACGACGACAAGCGCAAACTCATCTTCGTGATCTGCGACGGTAACATTAAGGGTTTCGGAAACGAGAAGCCTACCCCGGCTATCGTGTGCGATATTCTCGGCGTTGACCCGAACCTCGACCCGGAGCCGCTCTCCTTCCTTTCGCTTGGCGAGGGAAGCAAGCAGCACAACATGGGCAAGGTGTACTCTGGTCTTTACGAGTGCGCTGGTCACGTCTGTCCCTACCTCATCGTTGTGAAGGTTGGCAAGCCCTCGGAGCGTCCCAAGCCTGGTAACCGTGGTAAGCGTGACTCGCAGATGCTCCTCATGCACTTCCTGAACAAGGTGAGTTAACCTGACATCTGTGTCGGTCAAACTAACGTTCAGGTTCACTTCAACTCGCCCATGAACCCCCTCGAGCTGGAGATCTACCACCAGATCAAGAACGTTATCGGTGTCAACCCGAGTTTCTACGAATACCTGTTCATGGTCGATGCCGATACAACTGTCGATGAGTTATCTCTCAACCGCCTCGTCTCGGCCTGCATGCACGACAAGAAGATTGTCGGTATTTGTGGTGAAACGTCCATCTCGAACGCCAAGCAGTCTATCGTCACCATGTCCCAGGTGTACGAGTACTTCATCTCTCACCACTTGGCGAAGGCTTTCGAGAACCTCTTTGGCTCCATTACCTGTCTGCCCGGTTGTTTCACCATGTACCGCCTTCGCACCCCAGACACCCGCAAGCCTCTCTTCATCTCGAACCAGATCATTCACGACTACTCCGAGAACCGCGTCGACACTCTTCATCTGAAGAACCTTCTCCACCTTGGTGAAGACCGTTATCTGACGACTCTGGTCCTCAAGCACTTCCCCACCTACAAGACGAAGTTCGTCCGTGACGCTCGTGCCCAGACTGTCGTCCCCGATGACGGCAAGGTTCTCATGTCCCAGCGTCGTCGTTGGATCAACTCGACCGTGCACAACATGGCTGAGCTTATCTTCCAGGACAACATGTGCGGTTTCTGTTGTTTCTCGATGCGCTTCGTCGTCCTCATCGATCTGATCTCGACGATTATCGCCCCGGTCACTGTCGGTTACATTGTCTACCTTATCTACATTATCGTGAAGAGCGGTAGCAACATCCCGATTCTGTCCATTGCGATGTTGGCGGCGGTTTACGGTCTTCAAGCACTCGTCTTCATTTTCCGTATGCGCTGGGACATGGTCGCCTGGATGGTCTTCTACATCCTTGCCATCCCCTTCTTCTCGCTCTACCTGCCCCTCTACTCCTTCTGGCGCATGGACGACTTCTCTTGGGGTTCCACGCGTCTCGTGGTCGGCGAGAAGGGCAAGAAGGTCGTCATTCACGACGAGGGCAAGTTCGACCCGAAGCGGATCCCGCTCAAGTCTTGGAACGACTACGAGAACGAGCTGTGGGACCAGGAGTCGAACCACTCGCTCGACACCTGGGCCGCTCCGCAGAAGAGCGACTACATGGGTGACGGCGGATCCATTTACGGCGCCCCCAGCATGTACAACCAGTCCCAGTATGGTGGACAATCGCAATACGGTGGACAGTCCCAGTACGGACAGTCGCAGACTGGTCGTGGAAGCGTCTACCCACCGTCTTCGTTCTACAGCCACGGTCCTACTGCCTCGCAGGAGAACCTGCGTGCCGGATCCCGCAACGAGTCCTACTACGAGCGTGCTCCCCGCGGAACGTTCTACGACCGTGAGGGCGACACCGGCAGCTTCCACCCCGGTGACAATAACAGCATGTACGCCAGCTCCTTCTACGGACAACCGCCTCTGCAGCCCGTCAACTCGAACTACGGTCTGCCCCAAGACGATGGCCCCACGGACATGCAGCTCGAGGCCAGCATTCGCCGCATCTGCCAGGGTGCCGATCTCGATACGCTCACCAAGAAGGGCGTGCGCAAGCAGCTCGAGTCCGAGTACGGCCGCAACCTGGCGTCTCGCAAGGACACCATTAATAAGATTATTGAGGACGTTCTTGCCGAGTAAGCCAGTTTCACGAACCTACGATTCTAGTCTTCCATACCACCTCACCTGAACTCTCTACCCTCATACCAACCTAACAACCCCCACACGAAACAAACGGACTTTGTTATGACCCAATGTGCACTTGATATATAGATAGCAATTTTCACATGCAAAACCCCATCTGTCAGCTCTAGCGAAGTGTTGCATTGGCAGGATGAATGTAGTAGCTGACTTACTGATTGTGTTGCCACTAGCAGCAATCTGAATCCGAAACGCTCAGCCAGGTACGCTAGCGCGCTACTGGTGGAGGCACGCAAGTGGAGGTGAAACATGCTTTCAGCTTCTTCCTCATCGTCAACCACCCACCATGAGCGACGACGCCGTGCTCGACGCAATCCGGAAACGTCTTCTGGAGACGGGGGACTGGGAGAGGTGAGTGCCAAGCGTCCCTCAAGCTCGTGGGCACTGCGAGGTGTGCTTGCCTGGCATGGTTGTGAAGGCAGGCTTTCCCGCCCCATGACAATACCCGTACCCGCGGAGATGATTTGTCTGTCGAGCATCACCTCCTTGCAAGTCACAGAAGATATGCGCGATGTTCTGCTTGGAGGACTCTACAATAATATCGCGGATGTTTGGCGAGAAAGAGAGCTTTCACCTGAACGTGCAGCCCGTTCGGCTGTTGTTTTCGCGCGACCTTCCTCGCCGATCAGCACTTCTCGACACGTCTCTCGCCCTCGCACACTGAAAGCTTGATGGAGTAAAGGACGCAGCTAACGGTCAGAATATCCAAGCTGCTCCGAGCACAACTCGAGGAGTCCGGCTTTGACGACGACATCAAGGACCTCGCAAAGGGTGAGTAGCGTGCGGCGGCGGTCGCCCATGGAGGGCGCCTGTCGCGTCCTCTAGGCCGCTCGCTTTCATCCTCTTATGTTATGGGTTTGTGCACGAGAGGGACGAACCTGGAGAGAAATTACAGTGTCAACGTCTCCCTCTTATTCGCCTTCCACCTGTGTGCCCCTTCTCATAAGCGTCACACTCCTCGCCCGCCAACGAGAGTAGTTCATCACTCACAACTCCCCCCTCACACACACGATTCCCGTCAAGCTGCATTCCCACTGCCGGTAAGCTGACATGCAGAAAAGGCCCGCGCGCAAGGCGCGCCCTCGCTGGCCAAGCTCGTTGCCGAGGTTTCGCCCAGTGCGAACTGTGAGTTTGTTGAAACGATTGCAGAGAACTGACAAACAGCCCTTGTCTCTGCGCAGGTGCGCGAGGCTGTCATCCGCAAGATTGAGGCAGTGCTCGAGCGTGAGGTCGAGAAGGTCTGATTGTTGTATTCATGCATTACGTGTATTCTGACTTCTGCTTGTTGCACACTAAAGGGAAGATGTTCGGTTGGGGAATAGAGGCTGCAGTGTAACTTCACAAAGAGTGAGAGGCTCAAACCCCCTCTGACCAGCTTGTTTGTCAATGTTTGTGCAGCTCATGCGGCCCAGCTCCTGCTCTGATAGAATACATCAGCCTGATGCCGGAGACACCGGGACGTGCAGTCCCGGGACATGGATCTGTTTATCGTTTGTACTACATGCTCTTGCGAGAGACCACTCTCATATACCTGATACTACCAAATTACCTCGATCGCCTGACGCAGTGCGTTTAGTGGCTGCGGGATGTCAGCTAACGGTACACCCTGAGTGAGCTGGGGAAGAAGACTTACTCGGACCACTTGACGCTGTTGAGGTCGATACCCTCCTGGACCATCTCCCAGAGGGGGCTCATGTCCCTGAGCTTGGTGACGACCTGGACGATACGGTTGACGACCATGTCGATCTCGGCCTCGGTGGTGAACCGTCCGATACCGAAGCGGAGGGAGGAGTGGGCCATGTCGTCACTGGCACCGAGGGCACGGAGGACATACGAGGGCTCGAGGGAGGCGGAGGTGCACGCGGATCCGGACGAGAGGGCGACGTCCTTGAGCGCCATGAGGAGCGACTCACCCTCGACGTAAGCGAAAGAGAGGTTGACACAGCCAGGGTAGCCGTGCTTCGGGTCACCGTTGCGGACGACGTGCTCGACGTCCTTGGTGATGCCGTCGATGAGGCGCTGCGAGAGCTTGGAGATGTGCGCATGGTCGGCGCTCATCTCCTGCGAGCAAAGGCGCGCCGCCTCGCCGAGACCGACGACGATCGGCGCCGGCACGGTTCCGGAACGGAGACCACGCTCCTGGCCACCACCGTGGATGAGCGGCTCAAGACGGACACGCGGGCGACGACGGACGTAAGCGGCACCGACACCCTTGGGGCCGTAGATCTTGTGGCCCGAGATCGACATGGCGTCGATGCCCATGGCCTCGACATCGATGGGGATCTTACCGACAGCCTGCGCAGCGTCGGTGTGGAAGAGCGCCTTGGTCACCTTGTTCTCCTTGGCGTAGTCCTTGAGCACCTGCGAGATCTCAGCGAGCGGCTGGATGACACCGATCTCGTTGTTGACGGCCATGATGGAGACAAGCGACGTGTCGGGGCGGAGGGCGGCCTTCAGGTCCTCAAGAGAGATGAGACCCGTTGGTCCGACGGGGAGGTAGGTGACCTCGAAGCCCTGAGTCTGGAGGAAACGACACGAGTCGAGGACACACTTGTGCTCGGTCTGCGTCGTAATGATGTGCTTCTTCTTGCCCTTGTGGAAGTTGGCGATACCCTTGACGATCATGTTGTTGCTCTCGGTCGCACCGGAGGTGAACACGACGTCCTTGGGACCGGCACCGATCAGGTTCGCGACGTGCTCGCGCGCCTCCTCAACGAGACCCTCGGCCTCCCATCCGTAGGCATGCGTGCGCGAATGCGGGTTGCCGTACATCTCAGTAAAGAGCGGCATCATCTTGTCAAGCACGCGCGGGTCCATGGGCGTCGTAGCCTGCATGTCGAGGTAGATAGGGCGGCCGGTCATGGCCGTGCTCTTGGCGGGGGCGAGCTTGAAGCCCGGAAGCTCGGCTGTGCGGTAGTCAGTTCGGGTTCAATAATGATGCAATCTTTGCGTGTCGGTGACGACGGTTGAGGTGACTACCTCCAGTCCCTCCAGTGGGCGCCCGATGCGCCACCAAGCAGAAGTCGATCGCAAATCTCTGTAAGCCTGCTCGGAAGTGTTTTTGCACGTCCGAGGATCATCTCCGGACCACTGGCCATGATCCGAGAAGCATGCCCGACCTGAGGAATCGGAGATCCGCGACACTATTTTCCATCGCCACCGGCGAAAAGTCACACTTACCCTGCTCAGCTTCGGCGACCGGAGCGTCGGAGACATTGGCGCCGACCTTGGATGTGGGGGTGGCGAGACCACGGACGGCGGGAACCGAGGCGGCACGAGCGACGCTCGCGCGGAGGGGGGTGGCGAGAGCCGAACGGAGAGGCTGGCGCGCGGCACGGACGGCGTGCATGTTGGGTTTTCTGGGCTTTGCGGGTCGGAAAAGAAATGAACACAAGAAGAAAGGAGGTCGGAGAGGGTTGCGGTGATCCTACAGTCGTCTACAGTCGAAGAAGGCGCTTCTTGTGGACGAGTTGGGGGTTTTGGAGGAAGGGGTTAAGAGGGAAAGGTTGACAGGACCTAAGACGGAGGGAGGAGAGAAAGTTATGCTTGAGGCCGAGCGAGTTCGCCGAGGCCATCTGCAGCATCTGCAGCTCCGGTAGGTGATTACTCGACCCTCTGCAAGTCACGTGTTTCGCAGGCTCGCTTGGGCCGGCTATATCCCTCCAATTGGCAACGTCTGGTCCCCGACGTTTTTCTAATCCTCCCAATAAACCAGTCCTAATTGGCATAAATGCCGCATCTCATCCAACTCCAGCAGAGGAGCTTATGTAACCAGAGAACGGCCGACCGGCCGACCCGACGAGTCAGTAGTTGTCGTGTCTGTTGGTCCGTCTATCAGCTGGACTGACTCGACGCAACCAGCTCAGCTAACACCAAGGGTCTAGATATGGTCCCCCTGCATGCATTAAAACCGGTCTATAGATGAAGCAAGAGTCTATTACTTCTTCTCCTTCTTCTCCTTCTTGGCGTCCTTCTTCGGGAGCTCCTGGGTGAAGGGGAGGAATTCACGGCCCTGCATGTAAGGCTGGAGGGCCTTCGGGATGCGGATACCGTCAGGGGTCTGGTAGTTCTCAACGAGACAGCAGAGGGCACGCTCGGTGGCACACAGAGTACCGTTCAGCATGTGGACGAAACCGGCCTTCTCGTTGGCGGCGCGCTTGTAGCCGAGACGGACGTTGAGGGAGCGCGACTGGTAGTCCGTGCAGTTGGAGCACGAGACGAGCTCCTTGTACTCTCCCTGGAAGGGGAACCAGGCCTCGAGGTCGTACTTGATCGAAGCAGCGTTGTTGAGACCGCCAGAGACGATGTTGACAACACGGTAGGGGATCTCAAGCGACTCGTAGAACTCGCGGGCGGTCTCGACCATCGAGTCGAGCATGGCGGGGGACTCCTCAGGGTCGCAAATAATAAACTGCTCGACCTTCTCGAACTGGTGGACACGGAAGATACCCCAGGTGTCGCGGCCGTGGCTACCGGCCTCCTTACGGAAACAGGTCGAGTAACCAGCGTACTTGATGGGGAGGGACTTGGGCTCGATGTTCTCGTCAGAGTGCATGCCGGACAGGGGCTGCTCCGAGGTGGCAATGAGGTATCGGTCATTCTCCTCGACGCCGTCACCGCCAGTAACCTTGTAGAGAGCCTCGTCGAACTCCTCAAGCTGGGCAGTCTTGGCCATGATCTCCTTGCGCATCATGAAGGGAGCCTGGATCTTCTTGTACTGCTTCTTGCGGAGGAAGTCGAGACCGTAGTTGATGAGAGCCTGGTTAAGGTCGACACCGTCGTTGGTCAGGAAGTAGCCACGGTGACCGTTGATCTTGGAGCCGCGCTCGCCGTCGAAGGCCTCGAGGCGGTACATAACCTCGTGGTGGGGAAGGATGTCAGTCTGCTTGTCCTCAACAGTGAGAGGAGCAGAGTTGCCCTTGTGGTTGGGCTCGGGGTGCCAGAAAGCCTTGACGGGGTTGTCGTCCTGGGCGTCAGCTCGGACAAGATCTCTCACGACTCACCTCAGTCAGAGAGACGTGGCAGGCAGGGTCGACAATGTTTCCTATCCTGGCAGCGGTGCGGTCACGGGCGTTGTTGAGCTCGTTGGCCTTAGCCTGGAGCTCAGCAATCTTCTTGTCGTGCTCGGCCTTCTTGGCCAGGAGCTCCGAGGCATCGCCCTTGGCCTTCTTGATGGCACCGATCTCCTTCTGGACGGCGTTGACCGCGCGGCGCTCGGTCTCAACCTCATACTGGGCTGAATTGCGAAGAACCGGTGTTGGATTGAATGAAAACACGCATCGATGATGCCACCGGGTGCAGGTATTTTGACATTCAACAGACGAAGTTGTTCATGCAAGGCCAGAAGCACATTGTTGACGCGAAGAAGAGGATGTGGCAAATTAATCGCGCGATGGCATGGGATCGATGTGTCAGATTACGAGGGATCCATGTCAGCTGTTGCGCATCTAAACCAAGAAATGTCCACTCACCAGCCCTAGCCTGGTTGTAGAGCTCAAGAACCTCGTCGACGAGCTCAACCTTGGCTCCACGCTTGCGCTGCGACTCGCGCACGATCTCGGGGTTGCCGCCCTTGTCCGTCTGGACTGTGACCCGTCAGCTCTGAGAACACGCATTGAACGGAATCGGATTGCTACACAGCGTTCCACTACGTGCATACTCACAGTAGGCAAGATCGATCATGGTTTTTAAGAGATGAGAGGGGTATCAAGCTCTGCACCGTCGCTTTGACATCTTTGGCAGCTCGAAGATGTCTTGTCAACGAGTCTGAAATCCAGCCTTAACCGAGCCCCTCCTTTTGTGCCTGGAGGGATGAACCCTGACTTTTGCGTTTGTGCTGAGTCGCGCACCCGCGACCTTGACGCGCAGCTGAAACGAGTCAGGTCCGAGGCTCATCACTGCCGACTCGAGCTGCAATGCCTAATGCATGGTACAATGGTATGCTATGATAAGAGGTCCTACGACTGCGCCTCCTGCTGCTCCGCCTCCTCCCGCAACCGCTCCGCCTCTGCCTCAGCCTCGCGAATACTCCTGTTCCTCGCCTGTCGCGCTCGGCTCTCGCTCCGCTGGCTGGCCATGGCCTGCGCTCGCTCCAGCAGGCCCTTCAGTGTCCGTGTGTCGCTGGCAATCGTTTTGAGCTCCTCCGGAATGATGCAGACCTCGAGGTTGCGCTTGATACGACGGATTCGAGGGTCCTTAGCCCAGGGAGGGTACTCAAGGAGGGACTCGAGGTCGTCGCAGCCCCGGATTTCCTTCTCCTTGTTGAAAATAACTCCAAGCTCCTCTGTGTTCCAGTCCAGAACCCGTTGGATCAGAAGAGCGGTCTGTCCCGATCCCTTGCCGAGTTCGAGGTCATCCCTCTCGAGAGCTTGTTTGAACCACTCTGGTGACAGGCGGACGGACTTGCGCAGACGGGGTCGTCGGCTGTCAGGACATCCGAGGTAGACGGCGAGCCACCGAGCGCGAGCGTCCTGGGCATCGGCTATAGCAGAACGGAGAACGTGTCGGAAGAGCGCGCGGTCGACGCCGCGCTCGAGGAAGTCGGTCAGCAAGACGGTGATCGTCTCGTGACTGAAGATCGGCTTGCACACCGAGAGGCGAGCAGCCTCCTTAGCGGGAAGAGCCGACACTGCAGCTGGTTTCGTTGAGGGAGGGAAGAACTGGTCCATGGTGCGGAAGCCCTGGTACGAGCTGCTAGCCTCAGAGGCCAGCGAAGCCTCCGCCTCCGTGATAGGCTCCTCTGCCGGAACGTCCGGCGTGACGTAGTAATCGTCATCCTCTTCCTCCTGCTCGTAGATCTCCTCCTGCGTGTAAGCTGCACGGGGCATCTTCGTAAGCAGCTCGTACGTGGCGATCATGCGGTACGGGTCCGTCTTGACAGCAGCAAGCTGGGTCATGACAGCAGTGAGACCCTTCGCAGACAGCTTGGCGAGCCCTGTCCGAGTGGCATCGCCGGCATCGCGGGCTTGAACCGAGACGGCCAGGTTGTCCAAGTCGAGGCCGTAGGCCTGCGCCAGGATGTATCGGAAAAGCCCGTCCAGGCGCTCCAGGCCCTCCTCCTGCTGACCCGACGTCGCCACCAGTTTGGATACGCTCGAGATGGACGTAAGAAGTAAACGAAGGGTGAAGCCGTTGAGGTCCTGATTGTGGCTGGATATTCTCTGGAAGACGTCCCAGAAAGTGTCGTGGGCGATCTGGATGGACTCAAGTCGCGGTTTTCGGAAAGCAGACGACAGGCTGCGAGACCAGTTTGTGATGGCACCAAGCCGAGCCTCCAGTACACGTCGGTTGTCGCGAATTTCCTCCGGCGCCTTGGACAAGATGGCCTCGATCGTCGAAACCCGACCTAAACGACCGAGAGCATTGAGGACAAAGAGCCAGTCGTTCAGGTTGTTCTCGTTGCGGACCATGAGCTCCTCCATGACAGCCTGCAGGGAGTTTTCAATCTTGTGGCCCTGTCGCATCCTTGCGGTATGTTGCTTGATGCGCTGCTTCGGAATATCGCTCTCCCTCGTGGCCATACCCCACGCCTCATCATAACGAGGTGCCATGACTCGGAGGATCGCGCGGAGCTCGTTGGAGGACAGGCGAGAGCGGTCCACCGGAGCAAGGTTGGAATAGATCCTCCATGCTTCGAATCGATCTTGACGAGACTGCGTACCCGCAGGCCGAGAAGCAATGTCGATCAGCCGTTGAAGAGTCGCCTGAGGCACCCCAGTGTGGTCCGGAGAGGGCGTTGAGGACACGGTCGAAGCGGGTTGAGCGGTCGACTCAGCTCCTTGCGTAGCTGTTGACAGTTGCCTCGCCAGCAGCGCTCGCGACGGGCCGGCGACGACGAACCGACGAAGCATCGAGAAGCGTTGGTGGTGGTGAGTCGGTGTAGCAACTGGTTTCTCGGCCAACAGCCGAACTTTTGGGTGACGGATGGACCTTGAGACGGCCGAAACAATGAGGTGGAGTCTCGAGTGATAAGGGATGACCACGCCGTTCCTGGCAATCGCCACTGACTTCACTGTTGATTTCACTGAGCGCGAGCTACAACCAGCATCATCCCGTGCCATAACATCGCCCGCCATGGAAGTCGACCTTGACGATCTCAGTTAGTTCAGCGGAATACATATAAGCTAACAACAGCCGTCGACAACCAATACAAGCTCGGAGGTTCAGATGACGAGCGCGAGCGTGCCCAAAATGCGGCTCTCCATGAGCAACTGGAGCGCAAGAAGCGCATGCGCCGGATGGCGGTCCCGACAGACGATCGCAAGGTGCGGGAGCGTCTGCGTGCATTCGGAGAACCTATTACACTTTTTGGTGAAGGTCCCGGAGACAGACGAGACCGTCTGAAGATCATCCAGGAGAGCTATGAGAGGGAGAAGGGCGCGCCTCTTGAGGTTGACTCAAGCGATAGCTCGGATGACGACGACGACGAATTCTACACGGAGGGATCCGAAGATCTTCTGAAAGCTAGGCGAGCCATCGCCCGCTATTCACTATCACGAGCCCGCCGGAGATTAGCGAAACAGCGCATCGAAGTTAACATGCCCCTCAGCAAGATCGTGAACGTCCGGAAGGAGGTTTACTCCGATCTGCGAACGTTCAACGTCCTCGGCTCGCAATTTGGTGATGACCGACCACTCTCCACCATTCGTTTCTCTCCGAATTCGAAGCTCATCCTGACCACGAGCTGGACCGGAGCGACCAAGATTTGGGATCTTCCCAACCTGAACCAGGTTTCAGTGCACAAGGGTCACGAGGAGAAGATTAGTGGGGGAGATTGGCACCCAGATGCGACCATTGGGCTTTCTCCCGAGGCCGTCAACTTCGCTACCGGAGGAGGAGAGGGAACGGTGAAACTGTGGTCTCTAAACAGCGAAAAACCTCTGGCTTCTCTTGAGGGCCACTTGGCGCGTGTTGGTCGTGTGGCCTTCCACCCTTCGGGAGCCTTCGTGGGATCAGCCGGCTTTGACGGAACATGGAGGCTCTGGGACGTCGCGACGCAGAAGGAGCTTCTCATCCAAGAGGGACACAGCAAGGAGGTGATCGCTCTTGCCTTCCAGGATGACGGTGCTCTCGTGTCGTCGGCTGGTTTCGATGGCATTGGCCGTGTCTGGGACCTGCGGACGGGCAGAACGGCCATGGTTCTCGACGGTCACGCAAAGGAGATTCTCTCTATGGACTTTGCGCCGAACGGCTTCCAACTCGCGACGGGATCAGGCGACAACACGATTCGTATCTGGGATCTGCGCGCCCTCAAAACGCAAGACACTATCCCGGCCCACAATAGCAGTGTTGCTGACCTGCGCTTCTACCGTGCGGCGAACGAGAACCCCTTCATCCCCCTCGATGCCCCTATCGACACGACATCCTTGCCCGATGCTAGTGTCAAGACGAACGGAGCCTCGGCCGATGATGTCAGCGGCGATAAACCCGAGCAGGACGACAGCAAGATGGATGTGGACAACGCAGCGAACGGCTCGTCAGCGGCAACATCAGCTTCGTCGACTGAGCTGTCCAGGTCTGGGCTGTTTTTGGTATCCGCTGGCTTCGATGGACACGTCCGAGCGTGGAGCGCGGATGAATGGCGTCTCGTCCGAGACTTGGCCACGGACGCTGGCAAGGTCATGTCGGCGGATGTTAGCCGGGACGGCAAGTTCATCGCGAGCGCCAGCTACAGCCGATCATTCCATCTCTTTGGAGGAGAGCATTCGCTGGAGTAGGTTGCTGCACAAGCCAGACCATCGAGGTACTGCAGGAGACTGGACATCACTTTAAATCACCACTGCAGGGGTCAGGGTTCAAGGTGTAAGCCGCAGGGCGCAGGCAGATGTTGGACACTGTCCTCGACACCCGCGGCATCGAGCACGTCACAGCGCACGCAGCCGCTGCATGGTGCACACGCATTTTGCCTTGATGTATTGTATCACTAGATTCGATAGATTCTCTTAGTGCGCACGGTGTGTTTCGCCGATCGATCAAAGGACTGATTGACTGGACTGACACTCGCTCCTGACACCTGACGCCCACAGTCCACTCACTCGATTTTGTCACCAGCCATCTTGCCACTCGCTTGTCATTGCACCGTCTCTGTTGCGCTTCATATGCTCGAACGCCCTCCGACCCGTCGAGGCTTCCATCGCACCATGGTACGCGAAAGCATCTCGCGGAGTTCTCTCGATCTCGACACGGACCGGTTTCGCCGCTGCGCGACACCTCCACCCGACGTCATCATGAAGGACGAGGAAGACGAAAACAACGCCGTCACAGCACTCCGGAAGTACATGTACCGGCCTCCAGCCTCGACGCCGTCGCCCACTCCGTCCGACTCTGAGGAAGACCTCGCGACCTCCCCCGTGCCCCGCCTGCTCCCCTCCTTGGTGGACGATAGTGGTGATGAGCCGATGGACGTCGACGAAGCACCGACACCCGCCGCTTCTGAACCAACTTTCGAATTATGGAATGTGTCTGACCGCAAGGCGGCGGCAATGCCTCCACCTCCCGTCCCGCGAGCCAAGTCATTGCCCGAGCCCGCACCAACGTTGACAACTGCCAGCAGTGACAAGGTCCCTCTGGCTCGCGCGCCCAATGCTCCTAGTCCACCCTCCCCAAAGCGGCGCCTCACGCTCCCCGCCTCGCCCCCGCGCCATGGGCTGCGGCGCCCGCTGGGGCCTAGAACCTTATCAGTGAACACGATCGAGGTGAACGCCGATCCGAACACCGCGGCCAAGGATGCAGACAAACCGAGGAAGACGAAGACTGTGAAGCCCAAGCCGCATCGGTTGCGTTCGCGGTCATTCTCAACACCGACAGCGAAAGAGGCCCCACCAGGGACGTCATTCAGCAAGCGCTTCAGTCTGAATCTACGCTTCGAGGGACGGCGGACGCAGACGCTACTGCACCTCGTGGGCCAGTACCTCGCGCGCACCGAACAGTTCGCGCAGCTTGCCACGCTCATGCTCATGTCCCGGACGACGGTCCCGCAGCTACGACCGCTGCTGCATCGCACCGTGCACCTGACACGCACGAACCTGGGCCCGTTTCTGCGTACCTTCGTCGAGGTCAAGATGGTTGACTCTCGGGAACGCGATCCGCGTAAGCGGTTCAAGAAGAAGTCGCCCCGCCGGGTGACAGGCATCAAGTGCATCATCCTGCACAGCGTTCCAGAGTATGCGCCGTGGCCGGCCGCTTTGCTCGAGGACGTGCTGACTGGTGCGCAGCGCCTTGTCATTCGCTGCCCCCTCCCCGGCCCGCTCATGCAACGCACCATCGCGCTCCTGGCCAGTCCAGAGCAGGTGTGCCTCGACGCACGCGCCGTCGACGGCCCGTCTGCGCTTAGCTTTGCGCTCTCCGTCCTCCCCCTCTGGAACGAGCTTAAGGAACTCACGATCCACAACGCAGGCGCGCTCCAGGGCTCGCGCCTCCTGACCGCGCTCAGCAACCGCAACATCACCACCCCGGGCGAGTACAGGTCCCAACTGGCCAACATGTTCGAGCAGAGGCGGGTCGTGTACACGCTAGACTTTGGCGAGGACGAGCTCGAGCCCGATGGCAAGTCGGGTCTGGTGGTGGACCACTGGGACAGGCTCTTCGGCGCCCTCAACCTCGTCGACGCCTTCAGCGTCAACGTCGTCGTTCCCCACATCGGCCGCCGCACGCTCCCTGGCCCCAATGGATCAAACCCAGTCAAGCACGCGATGCGTGCCAAGCGCCGCGGATGGGTCTTCGGCCGCATCGAGGACACAAAGGTGCGCTGCGCGTGCGGGCAGAACGTCGCGAAGCGCGTGGAGCTGCCCTAGCGCACGGGTTATCGTGCCCCCTCGCCCGCTCTGTGCATCACATCCCCTTCAACCACTTATAATTTTCGGACAGTGCACCGATCCCGATCCGACCTCAAGCAAGTCACCTATCATGGTTCTCCACGAATTCACTCACGTCTGCGTCCAAGCCATCTCCCCACTCATGAACCCCACGCAAAGTCAATTGTTGTAACATGTACCTACAGCCGGCACACGTAGACGCCACGCCGCCCATAATTTCGCTCGAGACCGAGTCAGCACCAATGGTCATGTGTACATGCACATAAAGATGTAATTAATATACAAGTCTGGGTGATGGTGCTGTGTTGCCTGTGATTTGCTGCGATTGCTGCCGTCTGTCTGTCTGCTGTCTACGATCTGCCATCGGGTGGCAGGGGAGAGTGCAAGTCGTGAAAGGGGAGTGTTCGATGGAAGAAGAGGGAAGAAAGGGGGAAAAAAGTTGATAAGATGGGGAGATGATGATAAGGAGGAGGAGGAGGAGGGAGAAGAGTGTCGCCGCAGTCGTATGGGCGCGGTGCAGCTGAAGAAGTCGAGATGGAAGCGTCGCCCTCGAGCCCGCTCGCCTCTCACTTCTTCGACTTCTTCTGCCTGCCGAGGCCGCCAAACTCCTCGCGCGCCACGAGCCACATGGCCGTAACGCTCACGACGTCCTTGAGGTTTTCCTCCGTGAGGCACACCTCCTCTCCGACGCGCTGTGCGAGTTCGTGCCCGTTCTGTCCCCTCTGGGCACTTGCGCTAGCCAGCGTGCCCACATTCGCGAGCGAGACGGAGCGCAGGCCCTGCGGGATCTTGAGCACGCCAATGACCTTGGGGTGGTGCTGCCGGGCCTGGAGGCTCATCGAGGGCAGCCCTAAGCACAGAGGGCGCAGAATTACAGAAGCCCATCAGGGGCAGCATGAGATCGGAGGTCATCACGCTCGTCTAGCCCACTCCTGCACGCCTGCCTCCACTATGCACACTTTGCCGTCTGCAAGCCTCGCGCGCCTCATGCCTGCTCTTCCGACCTGCACACGCCTGATGTCACCACGTCAAAGGCACGGCCGTCTGCTCTTCTCTTAATTGTTTGGCGTGCCCACATTCGCGAGCGAGACGGAGCGCAGGCCCTGCGGGATCTTGAGCACGCCAATGACCTTGGGGTGGTGCGGGGCCGGCGTCAGCGTGGCGAGCAGCTGCCGCTGTCCCGTGTGCTTGACATAGACACTGCACGTCCATGGCGTCTCGCTGTCCTCCGGGTCCGAGTCGTACTCGTCATCGTCGTCTTCGACGTGCACGAGCGGCGTGCTCGGACGGCTGTCGCGCGTGAGCCGCGGGCCCAGCTCGCTCTCGGCATCGGAGGCGCTGGCACTGTTCGTGCCGCTCGGGCGGCGCGGGGTTGTGTCCGGCGGCGGAAGCGTTGACGAACGCCTACTAAGCGTTGGTTTCAGCGGGGACGAGACAGAGCCCTCCTTCGCGTCCACGAGCGAGGTGCGCGAGCCGTGTCGCGAGCCGGCGGGTGAGGGGAGGCCGAGCGTCGTCGTGCGTCGTGGGCGGCGGAGACGGGAGGGGTCGAGCGCGTCGGCGGCCGGATGGCGCCGGAGGGCCGCCGCGCCCGAAGCGTCGATGGGCGAGACACGCATCTTGACCCATTCGAAGACGACCTCGTCCTCGCCGTCGGCGGGAAGGGCACCCGCGACCAGCTCGAGACCGGCGGCAGCTGCAGCGACGAGGTGCGCAGCCCATCCTTCCGTGTTCTTCTTGGCCCACTTGCGCACCGTCCACGAGTATCCGATCGGGCGGCGGGAGCGCGAGAGGGCAATCGTGTCCTGGCCGGGAAGAATCTCGTCCTTGGTCAGACCGACGATGGCGCCAGACTCGTCGAGCGAGATCTCCGACGTCGTGCGACTCAGAACCGAGGGAGCGAGCGAGAAGGTCGCACTGCTCGATTGCCCGACGGGCACCGCCTCGGTCGTAACGGCTGTGAGTGATGGAGATCCGGGCATCGTGGGCGACTTGACTGCAGGCGCATCGACCGCGAGGAAAGTCGCAGACGCAGACGTGATTTTCGTCAAGCGATCGGCGATCAGAGGCTCAGCAGAGTTGCGCTTTCGGAAAATCTTGCCGAAGAACTTCTTCGCGCCGTCCTCGCGTGCGGGCGCCTCGCGCGCGCTGCTCTTCGTCTCGGTGCTCGCACGCTGCGAGTCGACGTCCACGCGGCTGCTGGCCGGCGTCAAGTTGGACATGTTGGACATCATGGAGGCAGGGCGGTTCGGGCGGTGCTGCAGGTTGAACGAGGGACGTGGTGATGAGCCGGGAGGACCGGTGCCGAGCGGCGAGAACCAGACCTCCGTCGGCTCCAGTATTCCGACACCGGTGATGTCCAGGTACTTCTTCATGTACTTGGCGACCTTGCTGTCGGTTCCAGCGTCCGTGACGAGTGTCGGCTGCATGACGTTGTGCACTGCCAGATTGTACAGCGGAATGATTCGCTTGCCGCTGCTACTGGGACCGCTGCCCGTCGAGCTTGACCCCGTACTCTTGGTCGAGCTCATTGATCCTGACCGCTTCAGGCCACCACCGCTCGCCGACTTTTGAGCGAGGGGGGTCTCGGCGTCAGACTCGGGAGAGGCTGACGGGGAGCTCTCCTCCAGCGAACCCCGAGCAGGCGTGGACGCCGCTGATGATGTTTCTCCCGTGGCGGCAACGGCCGCAGCAGTCGCGGACGTCGAGACACTTGAGCCGGAAGGGATGCGAGTGGAGTCTGCATTGGAGCCTTTCCTAGGGCGTCCCGGAGGGTTGCGAGCTGGAACGACGAGCTGCACTTGTAGGTTCAGCGGGTTCTTGCCTGACGTAGGAGGAGGCTTGACGAGCACGAAGGTCTCCACACGTCGTCGCCGACGGTCGGCCCCCGCCACCCCCGATACGCCCGTCATACCGGAAGTTTTGGATGACACGCTGAGCCCACGTCTCCTTCCGGTGTCAGAGCGCTGCAATGTCCGAGGTCCGCCAGTGTCAGACTCTCCGCCAGCGTCAGTGGCGATAGTGACGGCCGAACCTCTCGGGTCGGCGATCTGCAAACGTTTCTGCGTCGGCGAACCGGGCGTCGGCGTCGAGGGGTCCGGAGGCGCAAGGCGATTGGGATCGCGGCCTGGAGTGTCGGGGTCCTCTTCCGCACCTGCTTTCGGTGTGCCGTTGGGTGTGTTGTTTGGCCGGAGGATTGAGCTCAACGGCCTTGCGTCATCGGTGAACAGGTTGATCGGATTTGGGATACTGGGCAGAGCCGAGAGCCCCGGGATATTGCTGAGAATGTTGGGCATATTGAAAAAGAAGTCGGGAGGAGGTAGCAGCGAGACGGGGGCGTTGGTCGCTGATGGACGGCGAGTGGGACGATGCTTCGTTCAACGTCGAGACGGAAGCCGTCGGCTAGCAGCTACACCCAGCGTGGTCTGGAACAGCATGCGACCGTGCTCCACGAATGCACGTATGATATGTCTTGTCAGGTCGGGTTGAGGGCTCGTGTCTCAGATAAGGAGAGCAGCGTGATCTGTGATGAAGTTGACGGCACGGCGAACGGCAGGCAGCCAGGAGCTGGGATGACGGGTGGGGACCGACGTCGCTACCGCGTAGTCACCTCAACGCCGGACGGAGGGTAAATTCCAGGCGCGCAGGGCTCGGGGAGCAGCGAATGCGACGGACTGCTGAGACAGTGGCCGGAATGCTGAACACGAGGAAGGCGGACGCAGTCAAACGTCGGTACGTCTGGCAGCCGGTCGCGGTCGGGCGAGCTGCGTTCGGTGGTGGTCTTAAAGGGGAGCTGAAACCGTGTGCCAAGAGTCGCTCAGACCTTTGATAACGGGGTGGACTTCGACTTTGGCTGTTGTTTATAGAAGAGTGTCGACGATGCAGCGGGACGCTGTCTCTTGTTGCTCCGCACCACCTTGCACTGACGCGTCGTGAGTGCGGCTAGCTAATTTAAGCACGGTAAGGCGGTGTCGAACTAAATAATACAGAGTCAGCTTTTCGTTCCCGACGCAGTGGCTATGGCTGGGCTGGGCGTGGGCGGTTGTGGGATGATGCACAACACATGCCGCAGGTCGTGCCAGGGCGCCGGCCCTGGATGTGGGAGTGCTTACAAGAAACGGCCACACGAACCGGGCGAGGCTGCAAGTGGTGGTGATGGAAGTGTGTGCGCAATGGTTATCGAGGAGAGCAAAGAAGAAAAGAAGGAGGAGGTGGGACGAGCTATGTTGTCGAGCGGGAAGGAGGTGGTGCTGATGAGCAGAGAGATCTGTAGCATGAGGCGGCGGGCAGCGGGTCAATGGTCAGGAGGACGCAGGTACGCAGGACGAGAGAGGATGACCCGTACGACCCGTACGACGCAGGATGGCCGGCGGGTCTGACGATGCGACGATGATGGGAGAGCCGGGTGTACGGTGACGGCTGAGACCGTCCTCGGCGGGCGGGGGCGGGGCCAGAGGGTAGACCCAGAGCGCCCTCAGGGCTCAGGACCCAGGGCAGGTGCCGGGCCTGGAGGCTCATCGAGGGCAGCCCTAAGCACAGAGGGCGCAGAATTACAGAAGCCCATCAGGGGCAGCATGAGATCGGAGGTCATCACGCTCGTCTAGCCCACTCCTGCACGCCTGCCTCCACTATGCACACTTTGCCGTCTGCAAGCCTCGCGCGCCTCATGCCTGCTCTTCCGACCTGCACACGCCTGATGTCACCACGTCAAAGGCACGGCCGTCTGCTCTTCTCTTAATTGTTTGTTTTCGTCCGACACAACCATTCTCGGCCACAGCGATATCCGTTCCACACCCCCCTACGGATCCAACTTACCACTAGACTTCCATGTAGCGCGTGCTGATGCATGTGGGACCATGCACAGTGAGTCGTCTGGGCAAACCTCGCTTCTCAGCCCGGCATCTGGCTCATGGCTCCCTCGTCGTTCAACCTTAGACTGTTCGTGCCATTCAGGGACGGGTCTTCTTTCTTTTCGCGACTTAGACACGACCCAAACGGTCCCATATCATATGGCATGTCGTGGGACGACTCGTGGCTGTTGGCCGCTGGCCGCTGGGCACTCGTTATTCCAGCCCTCGGTCTTCCCGAGTGCACCCCGCACGACTGACTCTGTGCGCATGCTTTGAATAACTTTTGATTGCCAGTTCTCACAGCGGCTGTTGTGAGATAGCCTTGCACACGGACCGAGCACCCGCGGTGCCAGCTGACATGCTGCCTAGGGTCCAGCATAATTGGGGAACGGGGCGGGGAGATCGTTGATCCGTTGAGGCTTGCATGAACGGCCAAGTATTTTGTCATCACGGATCCGGATGTCGGTGTCGGTTCGATTCGCGACAATCGACCTTCTGAGCCTATGAGGCTGGCGCGTCGCGCGTCAGGCGCGTCAGGAGCGGTCCGTCCCTCCGCCATCCTTGGAGGCCAGCAATGCCCGGTGGCCTCGGATTGATAACGGTGCTGACCAACGCCCTAGCGGAGCCGGCCGCAGAGCCTGGACCGCAATGCCGAAGCTGAGGCCGAGGGGAGTGTCCGTTCCGCTGCCCTGGCCCCCTCGTCCGCAGATTAAGCCACTTCCGCCAGCAGTGGCAGGCCAGATGAATACACTGGACTAGAATAGGAGAACATGGTGGTCGCTTAGTCGAAACGGAAAGTGGATCAGGGATACTAGTCGAGAATAAGTTCATCGATCATTGCTCGTCTGAGACTAACCCATTACGTCGTATTAACATGCATCAAGACTGTCAGATAAGGACGTTGTTGAATTACCTTCATTTCGTTCCGATGTGACGACCGCTCGAGTTCACTTCAGGTCCCAGGGTCCGCCGCCGCCCCAGCCTTGGCGTCTGCAGGATGCGTCCTGAACTGAGGGCGGCCAACGCCCCTCCGCCAACGATGCCCACAGTTCGCGGGAATCCCGACATGCGACAGGTCAGTTCGCATCGGCAAGACCTTCGGCAGAGGGCGCAGGGCACCGCTCGCCCGCAACGGCAAGCCCGGCGCCCGCTGCCCTGTCCGCGCGCCGCGCCCCGTGACAGCATCGCGAACCCCGGCGGCCTCGAGAAAACCTCAGATTCGGATTCGGTATTCCAGCGAGCCAGCAACGAGCCAGCAGGCGTAACAGCATGCAGATATGCAGAGGCCGTTTCAGCTTGCATTCCCCGTCCCATTAGTAACAGCTGGATCCACTCCCCGTAGTGCATTACTCATTGCCCGCCCCATTGGCCGGAGGTTTAGGCTCGCCAGCGTCCAGATCCCAGAATGGGTGCACTTTGCTTCGGAAAGCAGGCGTTTGCGCAAGTCTGTTCGGATTATCGTGAAGGGGTAATACTCGAAACCCGGTGATTATCTAACAGCCATTGAAAATAGAAGAGTTCAAAGACCGATGCTCGAAAGCCCTATTTGACCTACATCCTCGATAACGTATCGTCTTCGGTCTTTGGAAACGCAAGTGTGCTGCACTGCTGTTGGGAAGCTTGGGTCGGTACGCAGAGATCCCGACGCTAGTGCTACACCGAGTGCAACGAACCGTCCGACGCCTCCTGATCTGCTGCCACGCAGGGTGCTGGGCCGCGCCGTGACTGACTTTCATGTCACGGTGCCCACCAACGGGCACACATCAGGTGCAGAAGGTGCGCACGGCGTTCCCTCTACTCTGTGCGCGACGCGAGTGGCGGCGCCTTCTATTTGCCATTGAGCCCATCCGAACGACCTGACTTTCTGGTCAGTTGGAACTGCTGAATCGGGCCAAAACGCAGCGAGTGTCACTATGACAAGATGTCGTACGCCAGTTCGTCGCGCCCACTCCCCGCTCATGGAAGACTGATCCCATGCACACCTGACGATCGACGTTCAGCTCTATGACGCATTGCTGCTATGTTGTTGTCGGGTGGGCATGCCCAGACGTCATGACGGGAGATATCGCCGCAACGGCCTCTTCTCGATGTGACGAGGTGGTGAACACCATCGAGCTTGAGTGGACATCCGTGGGAGAACTAGACGGCCAAGTCCTAGGGTGGAGTGCAAGGGGCGGCAGAATCAAGGTTAAATGTCCTCGCTCTCTCCATCGTCCCAGACCCAGGACAGGGTTTCTGCGCGTGACGTACGAGGGTTAACTTCGATTAAACCGGTGGTCGTGTGCGTCTGGTGCTTGACAGGCCGTGAGCAACGACAGTTGTGTGACTTTGGTTACTTGTCTATTCATGAAGTTACACTGCTGATATGCTGATCATGACCATCTGTGTGCCACAGTGACATCGTTACATCAGTCACTGACGTTCTCCCTTCGCTTGGCTGTGTGGTGCGCTGGCGAAGAGGGCTACACATTATGCATTGCAGGCAACAACAAATCCGTATGAGTTACAGCGACGCCACTGCCGGGTGGCACGTGACACCACGTGACACTGTGCGGAGCAACCAACCACAATGTCCAACCGCTACGACCGGGTGCCTGCCGTTGTCCGAAGATGCGCAGGCCAGGTCTCACTAGTCGTTTCGGTTGAACAACCAGGTTACGCCTACGCCATAATACCGGACCTTCTCTTTTCTCCATCGACACACGCACCAAGCAGATGGAGTAACAATGCCTCGAGATAGCGGCGAGGCTTCCGCCTTACTCCCCTCATCGCGGCATCGCCATCCCTCCCACGACTACGAGTCAGGGGCATCGACACCCCGCCCCGGCAGCCCGACCGATGTTGCCACCAACCTCGCCGCAGCAGCCGAGCAGGCGGCTCCCGTGACGCCGTCGCGAAGCCAGAATGCTCGCTTCGGCACCTGGCCCCGCCGCGACGTCCCCTCCGGAGGACCGATCCCAGATCGCACGCCCGGGAACAGCTCGCCGAGTCGATCATTCCTTGCCCCGCCTCAGGGAAAGCGGCCCCGGAGGCTGAGCTCGGCGAGCGTGCTGAGGAGTAGAGCGCTGGACCTCGAAGCCGCCCACGGCGACATGACGAAGGGCCGCTTTTGGGCGCTCCTCGCGGTCTGCACGCTGTCTATCGGCTCGCATTAGTGAGTGCGCACACACCGATCGGCCAACATTTCCCAGCAACTCCACCCCATCTTATCGCATCGCTATTTTTGGACTTTGGCTGACATCACAGCACCCAATATTCGCTCGGACCGCTCAAGTCGCGACTCCACCGCGAGCTCGGCAGCACGAACAGCCAGTTCTCGCTCATGATCTCTGCACTGAAGTGAGTCTTGTCCGGAATGGCACGCTTGTCTTACGTGACTGCTTATCTTCCTGATCTATCCCCAATTGTTTCACTGGCTTGTCACGCGAAGGTTGTTTACTGACGCTCTCAGTCTGAACGCGACCTGGACGCCACTCGTCGGTGGCATTCTCGTGGCACGATTCGGTACCCGGCTGTCGTCGGTGGTGTGCACGACCTTCGTCCTCATCGGGCAGATCATCCTCTACCTGGGAACGTTAAAGCATCAGATCTGGGCCATGACTCTGGGTCTCTGGGTGTTCGGACTCGGCATGACGCCTCTCATGGTCGTTCAGGAGACTTTGCTGGCGAGGCTGTCACCGGGCGGTCACCTGGGTCTGTCTCTTGCGCTCGGTCTCGTCAGTGGCAAGTCGTCGAGCTTTATCGCAGCTCTGACGTCGCTGCCGCTCGCCAGCTGGGGAGGCGACGGAGCGCCGTTCGCAGTCGGTCTGATTCTCTGCACGCTGTCTTGGTTCTTCAACATCTTACGATTGATGTTCCACTGGGGTGAGAACCCGAACATGCCAGAGCGAGCAGCGAGAATCGTGAAATGGGACGGTCTCAGCCGTCTCGGAGACGTATTCTGGGCCTTTATTCTCTTCAACGTTACGTGTGGCATGATTTGGCAGCCCTTCCTCCACCTGAGTGCCAATGTGAGTTGCCTGCGTTACCTTCCACGACTAACTGGCCAGATCATCAAGATTCGCTACCACCTGACAGACGGCAAGGCTGCCCTCAACGCGTCGATCTTGCTGGCTGGCGCTATCGTGCTGTACCCAGTCATCGGCTGGGTCACGGACCACTTCAGTCCCGAGACGCCTCGCACGACGTTCAAGCTGCTTCTCATCTCTTGCGTCTTGACATTAGTGTGCTACTTCGCCCTCTCGCTGCCCGTTTCGTGGGTCTCGTCTCCAACGCCTGCTCTGATCTCTTGGGCGTTTGGACACGGTGCATCTCCGCTCTTGCTGGTCATTCTCGTTCCTCGAATCCTGCCGTCTTCCTTGGTGCCTCTCGGACTCGGTATCCACAAGGCTGTCGAGGTTGCTGCTTCCACAGCAACTCAGACCACAGCAGGTCTCTGGCTGGACTACGAGCAGGAGAGCCGCGGCAAGAAGTGGGCTGTGCACAGTCTACTCGTCATTTTCGCCGCTTTGAACGTGCTGCAGATCGGTCAGCTTCTCGGTCTCTGGAAGTTTGAGGCTATCCGAAGAGGCCAGATCAACCGCAAGCGGGCAAGGATGTTCGAGGCCAGGAGGTATGAACGGCTCCCTCTGTCTCCCAGCGAGGAGGAGCCGGAGGACTCCAGCGAAGAGTACGACAGCGACGACACGACAACCATCCAAGACGTCTTCCTCGAGGACGAACCCCTCACACTCGCTCGCCGTACGAACTCTCCTGACCCGTTGCCCATCACAATTGATGACCCACAGAGCGGACTGGCAAGGACGGACGCCGAAAGGCATCGAGGAAAGGTGGCTTTCAGCACCAGCTTGGGATTCATCGCCTTTGTCTGGATCGAGTTCATCATCACCGCCTGGCGAAAGTTGTAAACAAACCCACGACAATCACCCACACACGACCGAACCCGCTCGCAAACCATCCCCTGTTACTTGAGACGCATTTTTCCAATGATACCTCGTCTCAAGCATATACCTTTCTCGACAATTACTGCATAGCACCTAGCATCTGTAATGTATGCATGAAACGTTGTTTTATCGCCGTCAACGCTACCTGATTATGTGATCCAGACTGCTTGCCGCCCATAACGGAAGCAGATATCGTCATGCAACGACGCGTCATAGAAGCAAAGATTCGGCGTACCTAAGCTCGGAATGACACTGTCCTTCCCTTCACCACATGCCTCCTACTCGCACCCCCGACACGATGAACGGTGAGTACGAAACGGTCGGCACTGGGCGGTTGACGCGCATTGTCTGGACTGCTTCGGCTGTGCGCAAATGGTGCTAACGTACAGTGACAATCAAGCACGGCGGCAAAACATACCCCGTTGATGTGGACGTGACGGCCCCGGTGCCGGCGTTCAAGGACTCGATCTACAAGGTGACCGGCGTGCCAGCTGGTGAGTTAAGCGAATAGCGCCGGTGACTAACAGCAGATCGCATGAAGGTCATGCTGAAGGGTATCCTCAAGGTGCGACAACGTGCGGCGGCGGCGAGCTGACAAACAAGGACGATGCCGATCTCTCGAAAATGGGACTGAAGCCTGTGAGTTATACCCGTACATTGCAGCGCTGACAACAGGGACAAGTCATTACTGTGAGCTAGCCAGTCGCTAATCGCTCGAGTAGCTCCTCTGACGCCAGGTTATCGGTAATGCTGGACCCCTGCCGGAAGCTCCCAAGGAGCAGATTGTTTTCGTGGAGGATATGGACGACTCGGAACTTGCCATGGCGACCCGCAGCCCGCCTGGTCTTATCAACCTCGGCAACACGTGTTATCTTAACTCGACCCTCCAGGCCCTCAGGACCATCCCTCAGCTCCAGACGACGCTCGAGAGCGCTACTCCTCCCGCCGGCCCCGAGGGACGGCTGACGACCTCGATGAAGAACCTCTTCAACGGCATGAACAGCACGACCGACGCTGTCCCTCCTGCCGGTCTTATCACCGCTCTCCGAACCCTCGCGCCGCAGTTCGCTGAGCAGGACCACGGACATTACGCCCAGCAAGGTGAGTTTAACGTAGTGTGTGTGCCCATTACTGACATGTCTCAGATGCGGACGAGGCGTGGACTGCGCTTATCTCTGCTCTGCGCGCTTGTCTCCCTGGCTCCACACCCAACGGCTCGTTCATCGATGAGTGGATGGCGATCCAGCTCACGAAGAAGATGTCGTGCCCCGAGGCCCCGGAGGAGCCCGCGTCGTTCTCGACCGAGAAGGTGCTCAAGCTGGAATGCAACATCACGATCAATACCAACTTCCTTATGTCGGGAATCCGCGACAGTCTGGATCAGCAGGTGGAGAAGAACAGCCCGACGCTGAACCGAACTGTGCCGTACAATGTTGAGTCGCGTATGTCCCGTTTACCGCAGTACCTGGCCATCCACATGGTGCGGTTCTACTGGCGCCGCGACATCCAGAAGAAGGCCAAGATTATGCGCAAGGTCAAGTACCCTCTGCAGCTTGACGTGACGGACATTATGACAGAGGAGCTGCGCGAGAAGGTGCTCCCGATCAACACGGCAGTGAAGAACATCCTGAAGGTGCGGGACGATCGCGCCAAGATTGCCAAGCGCGGTCTCGGCAAGAAGAAGGCTGCGGACGAGGACGAGAAGACCGAGGACCAGATTCGCGCTGAGGAGCACGCCGAGGTCGAGAAGCTCGTGAAGGAGAGCGGCGTCGAGGCTGACGTCGGCTCAAATCCGACCGCTATGTACGAGCTTTGCGGTGAGTTTACGCCCAGCTTAGAGGAACTGACATCCAGCGCTTGTTACGCACAAGGGCGCCTCGGCCGACTCGGGTCACTACATCGGCTGGACGCGGAAGGACGACGGCGAGCCGGCCGCCTCGGGCGAGGAGGACTGGTACAAGTTTGATGGTGAGCTAAGCGCTTGACGGTGACAGCTGACAACCAGACGACAAGGTTTCGATTGTGCCTGCCTCCAAGATCCAGTCCATGGACGGCGGTGGCGAGGACTCGGTTGCTTACATCCTCCTCTACCGGTGAGTTCACTCGTTTGCTTCTTGAACTGAACCCCAGTGCCGTGAACATCTAAGCCGAGCGATGGCCGAGGACACAGCTGTTGGGCAAAATGTGGAATTCAGTGACACGAGCATGCAGATTCGAGAGCGGAGAAGGTTAGAGCAGAGTCGACAGTAAACAATAGAATGCATCATTGCTGTGCACCATCGCAACGTCGCATGACTTGCTGCGGGGGCATCGTGGAATCTGCATACCACACAGCTTCACTTCTGGTCGAGCATTGGGACGCCGACGGCAATGGCATGGATGGAACGACGAGGGCAGGGAAGAAGCACGGAAAGCGGAGGCGGAGTGTAGATCCGGTTTCAGCCCCGCACTAGTGTGCTCTTTGTCACTCATTGTTTGAGCTGTCTCGCCTTGTTTCAGTACTTGTCGCAGGTGACAACGAAGGAGTCAAGGGCGAGGGCCAGAGCGCACGCCCAGGTGAGCCATGCGCTCTTCTGTGCGGGGCTGGTGGAGATGGTCGGGTCCGGTTCGGTCGCTTGGGCCGCTCTGCAAGTTCAGCCAAATGATCATGTAACTCTCCGCGGTTCTCCTCGAGGCATGGAAGTTGATGCGAGATGTGAAGCAGGCCACCTGGCCACCTAAAGTTCAGCCTCGTCTTAGCCTACGGAAGCGGCCTGACTTGTGCCAGATCGCTGTGGAAGGCGGCGGCGACGCCATGCTGCGAGGAAGAGCCTTCGTCGTGCGAGACATGCGTCACTGCTGGTGGCTGAGACTGCCTCCTTGGCCGACGGCATGGATCTGGGCTTGTCGTTGGAGGGAACGGAGTGATCCTATTGTCCATCTCTGCGGCTGTCAGCTTGCCCGACGATGTCGGGCTACTGACATCGACCTTTGTGGCAGGTGCCACTTCGGGCAGCACGGGAGGAGTGCAGTTGCACAGATGCACTGTCCGCAGCGCATAGACCAACTTCTTACTGGTGTCAGCGGACTTGTTTCCAGAATAGCACGAGGACAGGCCGTCGTGCCTCGGGTGTCCGGGCTGGGGTCTGTGCAATGGGCACCTGGTCTTCGGAGGGTGTGGCGCCGGGTGTCACCAATGCCATCGCATCGTAATTCTGTTCGGCAATCCCCGCGAACAACATCCTTTTGCAAGTTACAGTAGTCCCAGTCTTTGATCTCTGCAGACGCTAGATTGAACACAATGCAAGCAGGCCGTGTCCGAAACCAGCACGGCGATCAGAGCACATGCACAATAAACTCTCACATGTACCCCCACAGCCCCGGCACGACGGTCCGCCGCGGTCCGCACATCGGGCAACGACGAGGGTCTGCATGATCTCCATTCCCCGTCGAAAGAATAGAGAGGATCTCGCTCGCAAGCGATCCCCGACTTTGCCGGCGGCACGTCCCTGCTCCGATGTCTCACCCGCATCTGGGGCCGTTGGCGACCACGGTGAGCGACCATTGTTTGTGGCGGTCTCCGCTTCCGGCCGGTAGCATTCCACTTTCCGTCTCCATCCCCACTCTCTCCACGGACAAAGAACCCAGAGTGATGCCAAGTCGGCCTCCGAAATGGCGGGTGATGGCCAGTGATCGGCACAATGAACACTGCACACTCGCTGACTCAGCGTTCTTGATGGACAATGGGCACCTACTCGTCTCGTCGCACGGCCGGCCTGCGATAGGCAGCACACGGCGTATGTAGCGGTAAGGGAGACGACAGACCTCAGACGCGATGCCTGGAGCTGAAACGTGGTCTCTAGATGGCAAGCCCGCGATGAATGAGCAAGTCTGGCCGCTGAGTAGCCCGGGAAAAGATATATAAGACGGGGGTCTGGCGCTCTCTTTTCGACATCAACAACAACAACTCCTCTTTTCTCTCCACTCCTCTCTCCAACCACCAACCAAACCAACAGCAACAATGGCCTACACCAACGAGCCCGTCAACCAGGAGGAGCCCGGAACTGGATCTGGTGGCTACCAGCACGGTTGCATCATCGTTTAAGCAGGTAAGCTATCGGACCTATATCAGTCTGACGAGTCCACAGCGCTTAGTCCAGCATCATGATGTCTATGCATATATATAGTGATTGATTTGGCAGGCCATTTCTTGGATTTGGCAGACCATCTGTTGCATTCCCAATGACACGACTGGGGTTAGTAGGTACAGTAAGTCGTTTCTCGTCAGCATCGGGCAGGACTGCGAGGAGAATGGTGGCGCGGACCTCACAAGGCGTAGACAAATTAAGTGCCCGCAATCTCTACGATAGGAATTTCCGCTCGCCGTTGTCGCCGCAGATCGTCGTTTCATGTCCAATGAGACGGTCAACTCAATGGAGCACGATGCCGAAGGATATTGCGACAGGTGCAATTGGGGAATAGTACACACAAAAAGGCGCAGTCGACACGCATTGAGCACACGTCATGGCACCATCACTGCTGACCCCTTACCACGCCCTAATAGAATGACTCAAGCGGCACGAACAAGGTGTAGCTTCAGAGCGGAAGTCTTTCAGACATGCATCTGGATGACGAGCGGCCCAGAGGTCCTTTTCCATAGATGCAAAAGCCCGACTACTTCCGCCTTTTCGGTGGCCTCGCGTTCTTCAGCTGACGCTGCTGTTAGTGGGGGTGTTTGACAAGGGACGAACCTTCTCTTTGATTCGCCGCTCCTTTACAATAGAGTGAGCAGTGGCAAGGCCGCCAGACTGCGCCTCGCTTCCAAGGGCGTGGTCCGCGCGGCTACGTCGACTCTTCTTCCAATCGGCAAACTTTCCGCTCTTGAAGGTTGCGGGTAGCAAAGCTCCACTCTCACTCCGGATCATCTTCTTGTTGTCGCCACCCGGCGCATCCTTGACAAATCTCTTCCTCTTCCGATCCCACTTGAGTTGGCTTGCCTTCTGGGCGCGCGCCGCATCGCCCTCATCGGCGTTCAAGTCAAGGGTCGCCGACCGCGCTTGCTCCGCGAATGTGGTTCCTTCCTTCAGGGAATAGCTGGCTGTTATTATTGGTCACGGAGGTTGACTCACCCTCTCTCTCTGTTCGTTTCCACCCGCTCCTGAGGTAGATAGAAATTAGGATCGCGATAGCTCTTGGAAGCTGTCGGCTTCACCTGTGATGTAAGCACGGCACCAGTGTTCTGCGTCAGCTGGCTTACCGGCTTTTCGTTGTCAACATCGGAGTCATCCAGATCCATCGCGTTGTCGTCAGGCGCGCTCGCACGTTGGCTCCTTCTACGAGCTATGGTGTCGCGGCGCTGCTTCATCAGCTGGGCTGCTGCCTGCTTCCCGCGAGCGCCGATTTCGAAGATAGTCTCGTGCGGTTGATAAGCCTCAATCGAAGCGAGCAGTTTGTCGCGCCCCGCAGCTTGCAAGTCTGAAGGAGCCTCATTCGAGCTAAACACTGGGTGCACAAGCGAAGGACCACCTGAGGCAGAAATTTCCTTCACGTACTTGTAGGCGTCTTTATTAGCCTTAGCTCGTGATCTCTCAAACATGGTTTGGCCTCTTCTCATGACCCCGCGAAGGGAGGGGAGTTGCGACTCTTCGATATCCAACGTCTGCTGGACGTATTCAAGCATGGTCTCAAGTGAGTCGCGAGGAAGGTTGCCATACGATTCCTTGTCCTTGAGAAAATCGCGCTCCAAGAAGATCTCCAAGTCACGCATGTACGGCAAATCATCTCGCGTCACGAGTGTCCAGGCATGACCATGTTGTCCAGCTCGCGCAGTACGTCCCACTCTGTGGACGAAAACTCTCACACCGGTAGGGAGGTCATAGTTGATGACGTGCGGAATCGAGGGAATGTCGATACCTCGAGCTGCAACGTCCGTTACCACCAAGAGGTCCGTCTCCGCAGCACGGAAGCGCTTCAACTGCTGTTGACGAGCAACTTGATCGAGTGAGCCGTATATATACGACACGCGGTACCCAGCAGCTTGTAGCAGCACAGACAGGTACTCCACGTGATGTTTGGTCGAGGCGAAAATGATCGCCTTTGCTCGATCGGCGTCGATCGATGCCGCTCTGGATGGAATCTTCAAAACGTCTCTCAAGAGCAAGAGAAGACCGGCGTCTTTCTCATCAGGCTTAACATGGAAAAACCCGAGATCTAAGTCTGGGTTGATTCGCATGTCTGAGTCCAGGCGAACGAACTCCGGGTTGTTCAGCCCAGCCTTGGCAAATTCGGCCAGAGAAGACGGAAGGGTTGCAGAGAAGAGTAGACTGTGCCTGTTAACAGGCAGTCGGTGGAGGATTTCGTGTAACTGCTGCTCGAAACCCATTTCAAACAATCTGCAATCAGCGTTGTGAAGACGTGAACACCCACCGATCAGCCTCATCATAGATCACGACCTCCACACTACGCAGGTCAAGATCCATCTCCACAGCGAGATGAAGAAAGCGTCCTGGAGTTGCAATAACGCTGATGTCAGAACAGTACAGGCGCCTAAACCCACATGTCTGGCCGGCTGACAATCGATTCGAATTGAGCATCGAGAGATTCGCCACCCATCACCAAGCTCCAACGCAGAGGCTGGGCGTCAGATACTCCAGTTGCCAAGTTTCTAGACAAATCCTTTCCGGCTTTCAGAATCTGAACAGCTAGTTCTCTGCTCGGACACATAATGAGTGCTCTGATGCCAGCACCCTCGCGGCGAAATCCGAGACGGTGCAGAAGGGGGATGAGGTAGGCTAAGGTTTTGCCGGACCCAGTACGCGCCATGCCAAGAACATCTCTCGGCGGGTTTGAGATAGTTAAAGGGATAGAAGCACGTTGGACCGGAGTCGGAGTCTTGAAGCCCCTCAACTGTAGTGCACGAACGAGAGACGGCGCCACGCCTGGGAACCGGTCAGCAAGACCATGTTCAAGCCAACTCACCAAGAGCTTGCCATGATGACTGCGACGACTTCGACTTCGCTTTAGCCTTTGATGGCGTCGTAGAGGACGCTTCGCCCTTCGCTATCCAGTCGGCATGGAAAGTCTCAGCAGACATGCTACACTGCTGCTACTCGACAGAGTGTATGTTGATGTGCGCACGAAGATTCCAAATTTCGTTTAACAAAGGTAAGGTGAGTGCGGTATCACGTGATGCTGTCATGACGTCCTGAAAACTTCGTCGCAGTCTGTAGTACCCGTCCACGAACTCCTTGGTCTATGGAACCATTATCAATCACAACTCTCATAACACTAGACCAACAGCCACGCCACCATGTTCACCTGCATCTCCTGTCGGATTGCCTTCGACTCTGCAGAGGAGCAGCGCTCCCACTTTGGCACCGACTGGCATCGCTACAACATGAAGCGTCGAGTGGCAAATCTCCCTCCCGTATCGGCGGCAGCCTTCAATGAGAAGGTGATCGAGCGTCGAGAGCAGAATGCTGTTCGTCCGGACCCGAGAGACATGGCCTGTTCTGCTTGCAGGTGATTGCTAAGATTATTCCGGAGAGCTAACAGCCAGCAAATCCTTCTCGACGGAGAACTCTTACAGGTCGCACATTCAGTCTAAGAAGCACCGGGAAAGAGAGGCAGCCGTCGCACGAGGCGCGAATGCTCCCACTACCAAGGGCCCCGGTTCAGTGGCCCTACAAGACCAGGACGCAGCCATGAAGAGCGAAGATGGCATGGACCAACCCTCCGATGACGATGACGACGACGACGAGGAAGGCATCGAGAGCGCTATCGCAGCATCGCGTCGGCGCCTTCCGGCAGGCGTTTGTCTGTTTTGCAACCACCGGTCGAGCAGTCTCGAGAGCAATCTTGTCCACATGTCCAAGCAGCACAGCTTCTTCATTCCTGACCAAGATCTTCTGATAGATCTTCCCGGGCTGATCGGATACTTGGGCGAGAAGGTCGCTGGCGGAAATCTCTGTCTTTACTGCCCTAATGGCGGCAAGGAATTCGGCAGCACTGAAGCAGTCCGGAAGCACATGATCGACAAGTCACACTGCAAGATTGCATATGATACAGATGAAGACCGCGCCGAGCTCGCGGACTTTTACGCTTTTGAGGGTCCGATGGATGACGAAGAGGCGTCAGAGTGGGAGGACGTCGAGGACGATGAGACTTGGATTGAAGTGAGTTGCCGGAGTCGCTATGACTGACCTGCCTGCAGGGATTGCCGACGCTTTCAAGTGACGGACTCTCGCTTGTTCTCCCATCCGGGAGAGTTCTCGGCCATCGAGCTCTAAAGGTTTACTATGACCAGCGAACTCGTCCATCCCACGGAACCGATGATCCAGTGAAGTCGAAGGTGGCTATGATTAGACAACGCCTCGCGGACCCAAGCTCAGCGCTTGTTCCAGTGGCTGGAGGCCATGGCGCGTTCGGACGAGGCTTGGAAGTTGTGAAAGCACGCAATGCTGGCGAAGCTGCCTGGGCGAAAAAGCAGGGGCGATCGTTTAGGGACCAGCGAGCTCGGGAAGCATTCAAGACTAAGGTCGGCTTCCGCAACAATAACCAAAAGCGTAAGCTCCGCCCTTGTGAGATCAGTACTGACGCCCATAGACTTCCGCGACCCATTGCGTGAGTTCTGCCCACTGATTCACACTAACTCGCAGTGCAATAGACCTCTGTCATCATGTCAAACCGACGCAACTCCTTCCGAGGTAACTTTCTCCTTCGGGTCAAGGTCACTCAGGATCGCCATGCATTATCTGCTCTTATTGTTATTCACTTTCCTCACCCACCATGCACGTGGCCACTGATTTGTCACGTCTGAGAGGGAACCTCTTTTGTTCTCCGGTCGGGACCATAGCGTCTCATTCTTTTCACGCCTGTATAAAGCACCTCCTTGTCAAAAGGGTAGACCGCTGCAGCTCCCTATTCACATTCGGCCACATAGATCGCATCGACATTATGCGACACCCCGACTATCCCATCTGGAGCCTCATTTGCCTCGTTCTAGTGCTCCTGCCATCGCCATGGCACTGGCGTGCGCGGAATATATCGACAATTGGGCTCATATTCTGGCTGGCTGTATACAACTGCATCGTCTTCATCAACACGTTGGTATGGGCAGACAACTACGCAGATGTTGCCCCTGTCTGGAGCGAGATCAGTCAGTACAAAACATACACCACTTGCTGATACCGCAGGTTGCAGACTCATCGCGGTCGTCCCTTACGCGGTCCCTCTTTGTTCTTTATCGCAAATGCGTCGGCTTGCCAGCGTTGCCTCACCTAAGCGGCCCCTCTTCTCCCCTAAGGCTCGACGCCGTCGATTGATCGAAGAGGGGATCATGTGTTTCTTTCTGCCTCTCCTTATGTTGCCTTTGCTATACATCGTTCAGGGTCATCGGTACGATATTCTGGAAGGGCTTGGCCCCCTGATGGCGGACATGAACACCTGGCCATCCAGCGTCCTTCGGTACCTGACTACTGTCCTTATCGCTTTGGGGTCGTTTGTCTATGCAGGTGAGCACCCAGAGAATCACCTCAGTCCATGTCCGGCCTACAGGTTCGGGAGCGCTGACAGGCAAGGGCTGGCGGTGTATTGGTTTTTCAAGTCGAGGTCTCAATTTCGCTCAATCCTCTCGGGCTCGGGGTTGACCACAGGTCGCTACTTCAGATTGGCAGCTTTAGCCATGAGCGACAGTGTCATAAGTCTTTTTTTAACCCTATTCAACTTTCTTGTTAGAATCGTGGTCTATCACACTGGGTGGACTCCGTACGTCAGCTGGGCGTGGGTCCACGATAACTTCGATCTCATCTCGCAATATCCTGAAGAAGCTCGACCGAAGGATAACTTCGCCATACTTCAGATCGCCGTTCCCTTTTACACAGTCTGCATTTACGCCATCGTATTCTTCGCTTTCTTCGGATTCGGTGAAGAGGCGATAGCTGAGTATCTCAAACTCTGGGCATCTTTGCGCAACTGGGGCGACCCATCGGGTGCCACGAGAATTGAGTGAGCGTCCGCGATGATAACAGTCACTGATTTCCTCACAGGTCCTTCAGAAAACCCTCCCTCAACCTCGGATCAACCGTCATGACACTCTCAGGTTCGCAGGTTCCAGACATTGAACGGAGTGGGCCGATGTCGACAACACGCCTTGCCCCCGCAGACTCCTCTCCGCAGCATATCGCGATGCGCATTGAGCAATCCGTCGCTTGACACCTCACCATGCCTTTCAGTGCTATTGCTATCACATAGTCTATAATGCAGAATACGGTCATCCTTTCCCTGGAGCATTTACGGCACGAGCGGCTCCTCTTCATACACAATGGGCCACTTTCCTTCCACTACATCCCTCATGGTCGTAGCGTTTCTCACGGCCCGACGAGATGCGAGCATCAGGGAAGCAGGGCCACAAGCTGGCGTCAGAGAACAAGCAGCATGAAAACTCACTAGACATCAGAAGCGGTCCCCGTGTCAACTCCCGGTTTCGATGGATCACCTCCGAGAGATCAGCTCGGCCACGATGGAGGCGAACGGTAATTCGACAGTCTTGACGTGGGAATCTGCTCTCCATTGGGAAGTGCGAGCGCAGTCTGGGTGGACTGGTTATTTCCACATACTCCTCAGCGACGGTCTCCGGTATAGATATGAGTCCTGTCTCTTCTGATCCCCCGGTGATGTGGACGTCAATGACAACCACGGGGTTCATGTCGGACCCATAAGCCATTGTAATGTCCTTCGCAACGCCTTCCAGCAGAGAAGTGATCCATTTGAGGTTGCTCGCGCTTCGAGTATGCCAGACTAAGTGAACCCGTCGAATTTCGCGTGAAAACTGAGATTGGCCGTATAGAGCGCCGAGCAAGACCGACATTGAGTACGCTATCCCTGTTCCTCCTGTGGTCAGAGTACGCCCTTGCAAAGTTACCCAACAGCCACCAAGATTGCAGCTCCGTAGTGGTCGAGGTTAACACTACGACCATAAGGGCCTTCGAGGCCTACGTGGACTCGAGCGATATCTTCACTGTGCAGCGCTTCGCGCAATAGCCTGGTGGCGTCGGAATGCACGCGCATTAGAAAGACAGCCTGAGTGCTTCCTTGCGTCGGGATGGTGGCGAAGGTGAAAGGGTGGGCCTCAATGGGGAATCTTGTGATACGCGGCATCCATAGATACCTGATATACATGAGCGTTTTGGCTTGGACTACTCACGCATATTGCCCGGCATTCCATGCTGAACCGTAGTTAGGTACGGTCACCCTTAGCATGTCGGGATCAACGAGCTCTACGATGGCGTCGCATCCCCCAGCCATGCGGTCGAGACGGTACAAACGGACAAGCCTGTCGACGATCCATACAGCAGCTGCCGGCTGCTAGTTAGCCCGTGTCACTCTTTATCGGTCCTACCCATATCCAGTAAGCCAGCTTTCGCCAATGTAAGACAGCTGCAACAAGGAACATGCTTCTCATCAGCAAAGTATCTCCTGTCCACCTACAAGGTGAATAGCATGTGAGCTGCCAAGAAGAGCTCCCAAGCCACTCTACGCAAGCGCCTCAGGCTGGTAACCCAAAGCAAGGTGTAGCTCATTAAAGCTACAGCCCCCTGGCGTCAGCTCTGTAGACGGTCAGGCGACTACCCATTGAATGTAGGCATCGAACAGCTGGCCACGGTTCCACATGACAGGTGTCCAAGCAATCGCATGTATCCAGGCGCATAGAATACACGCTCTTGACGCCGCTCGATGGAGGTAGTTCAGGCGACGATGTGATATCCCTGTGAGAAGCGTGATTGGGTTGTTTTTTGACACTAGAATGAAAACGAGGGGCATTTGACTGAAAGCCTGTAGAGTGTCAGCAAACTCAAGGCGATTGTCCTTACTATCACACCCATCTGGTTAGCTCCGTTTTGCGTGCCTCCAACCCCTGTGACCGAGTCAGTGTCTGTTGCCTGTCAAGCTGACTCACAACGGGAACGGTTAAGCGCGAAATAGAAAAGCACCAGACAATATGTGAGTGAGAACAACGCATCCAGCAGTGTGTCGGGGCCGTAAAGCCATCGGGGAAGCGTGAGAAGTACTATCCACTTTTGAAGACTTTGCTGGACGATTGTTCCCAGGGAAGTGGGGCATCGATCGGGGTGAGGTAGGGTTCGTCTTTGGTGGCGAATACGAGCCTGGTGGATCGCGTGTCTAATACTGAAGCACAGCAACACTAGGATCGTTATCATGCAGAGGTACCGGCTCGCATACCAGTGATATTTGGGGGGTTTTGACAATGGTCGGTCTTGTGATCCCAGGAACGGCACCTGGGCGGCCGTGGAGTCGATTGTCTCATCAAGCATGGGGTCGGCGGGTGGGTAGCAAGCACGTTGATGTCGCCTTTATCAGATAAGGAGTCTCGTATCGGGTGTTTATATAATCCCGGCTGTGGCATTACCAGTATTATACTAGGCTCTATCTTCCCAACTTTCGGCCGATCGCACACACACACACACACCGCACACACACAATGCCCGACTACTCTTCCCGGCAGTATTGGAGGGATAGGCTGCTTGGCGAAGACCTCAAAGGATTCGAATGGCTGCTCTCTTCCGAAGAAATCCTTCCACATGTCGCTACGCTTTTGGATCATCGACCCGGTCGCGTTTGGCGTGTCCTACACCTTGGCTGCGGTTCCTCGACACTGGGGCTGGACATGCAGCAGCATTTTGGTGAGCGCGTGACCGTCCAAGATGCCGATTATGCCATCAGTGGAACAGAACGGAAGTTCCTCGCCCTACAAGCGGACCCAGACGCGCTTGCCATCCCAGTCCTTCACTTCGATGCGTTAAATCTGCGGGATATGCTCGCTTCCGCGCCTCAGGGCGGTTGGGATATCCTGGTCGACAAATCAACGGCGGATGCGATCGCTTGCGGAGAGCCGCTGGTGACCGTTTCAAGCGGCGGTTCAACCCCTTTGGCCCGCGAGCCCATCGAAGTGCTCTGCGAAAATCTTTACCAGGCCACAAGCTCGGACGCCGTTTGGCTGTGTATATCGTATTCTTCGGGGAGATTCGACTTTCTTAATGGGGCTGAGACGAGGTATGGGTGGCAAGTGCAGAGTAAGACGCCCGTCCAGCTTGTTAAGTCCGGAGAGGGAGAAATCGTACATAGACCAGAAACAGGTACTTGGGCTTGGGTTCTCCGGAAAACGTGAGACATAGTTGTATATACACCACAAAGCAGTTTCGTTCGATCAGGATGCAGCGCCCGGATGTCGGAGGATACGGAATTCAGAGCAAGTCTCCAACATACAGAGTAAGAAGAGCTTTGTTATGCAAACCGAGGGCTAACTGCTGACCGTCATTCCGCCATGCCATGGCCATCTATGCCGTCAGCCCAGGCCCAGCTTTCTCCCCGGTATTGATTACGTACCATCATGGGCTTATCCCTTGCGCTCTGCCGATCAAGTTCTTCGTGAACCTCGAAATCTTGCAGAGCCTTACCAGTCTTTGGGTGAGCTGAGCAGTGCAACTGAACTTACAGAAACGTCCCAAAGAACCAGCTTACCATTCCAACCGCCTCCAGCAAGGATGCCCAGTGGACGCGAGGGCGTTAATGGCGAGAAGGCAATGGAACCGGTTCCTGCTTCCAGACCGCCGAGAACATGCAAGCACTCGCCACTGATAGCATCGAAGAGCTTGACCGTAGAATCTTGTCCGCCCCTGCTTGGTTAGCGACTATCTCCAGAGTGGAGGGCTCACGCGGCGACGATCATACGTCCTTCGCGACTCGTCGGACTCCATTCCAAAGTGTTCATTCGCTTGTTATCGATTGCGTTCTCCACAACCTGCAGACGATTCACGCAGTACTCCGATCCCGGAGCGACTGTGAGCTGGAAGATGTCGTCCGCATGTTCTCGCTCCTTGGATTGCTTGTTTGGGGATTGGGATCGGCTGATTGTACCTCTGTCCACGGGATACTGAGGCAGCTTCCAGACCATGATGCAACCATCGTCCGCGACCGAAGCGAGAAGCCGGCTGCCACCCCTTTTGTCCTCTGCGAGCGGTGGGGACCACTTGACTCGCGTGACGTCGTCCGTGTGCCCCTTCAAGGTGAAACGCGGCCGGCGATCGTTTGCGCGATAAATGAAAATGGTATGATCATTACCGCCCGACGCAAAGACATCATCGTCGAGCCAGTCAACATCATTAACTTCCTTGGTGTGGGCTTCGAAGCTCAGCTGCTTTGGCGATTTCAAATCGAAGTCCAAAACGAAAAGACAGACCGTGAAATCGTCCTTGGCCGCAAGGAGTGATGTACCGGACGGGTTGAATTTCAGGGAATTGATTGCACCTCGACCGTAGGTCAATATTCCTTGCAATTGCCCAGAAGGTGTGAACAAGCGGCCGACACCGTCAGACGCTAGTAGTCAGCATCTAGATCACGATTAGACCTGCTTACCAGTAGCAAACACTGTCCCATCTGGGTGCCACACAAGTGCCGTGATGGCCTTCTTTCCGCTGTCAATGGATTTATGTGCAATGGAAGCGGGCTTCCTCCCCAACCGCAAAGCTTGGTCGCTAGAACCTGGAGTCGGCTCGTCAAAATCCCATAGCTTGGCAGTTCCGTCACTACTTCCGGTGACCAGCACATCACGGTCCTTGGGGTTCCATGCGAGACAAGTGACCTGGCGGTGTCAGGAATGCGGGTTTCGATTACTCACAGCATCACGATGCTCACTCCAGCTGCCGGATGAGAATCGAGTTGAGTTTTCCTTCAAGGACCGAAGCTTGACTCCAGATGCCGAGGCAAGTGTACGGGCTCCCTTCCTCCCGTCTCTAGCCTTTTCCTCTTTGAACCGCTTTGCGACTGTCCCACCAAGCTGAGGACTCTCGTCTTCACCTACGACGGACCCGCCAGACCGTTCAAGAGTCTCCGATACAGGTCCCTCACTGAGGTTCGCCTCGCTTGCTGCGGTGGTGGCACTCGTGAGCTGTTCGACGGAGACACCCGATCCCGTGTCTCGCGTTTTCCGCTTCCCCTTGCCAGAAAAGGAGAGTTCTTCGGCGGACTTTGGTGGTGGAGGGAAAGTCTCCGGTCGCTTGGGCGGAGGAGACACGGTAATGCGCTCTGAAGAGTCTCCACCGTCCGACGAGCAGACATGGGGTAGAATGAGATGGAATGGAGATCTACAAGACGTGGGGAGTTGCTCCTACGGTTGTCAATGCCAGATGCGCTCAAGGACACTCACCCCATCACTGGTAGCGTGCCGCTCAATCTCCTCCCATCTCAGAGCCTTCCAGAGCTTTCTTATCAGCTCCCCGCGCGCGATCTTACCTTCGGAAGATCCAAAAGTAGTAGATTGATTGCTGCCATTCTTCGGTAGCCCATTTGCGCGGAGCGAAGGGCCAGCTGAACGGGCCTCTGCAGTGGACGGCGTGGGAAAGGACGGATTGAATGACTGAAAGATAGGGCTGGAGGGGAGCGACGACTCTGAGAGCAGCGTGAAAGCAGTGTGATTGAAATTTGATTCCAACAAGTACTTGGGCGTCAGGAACGCGCAGATGGTTTGGCTTACGAGGTAGATAAGGATGTTGATCTCTTCGCTCGAAAGGCGAACCTGCGACGCCTCATTCCCTTCGCCCTGAGGCGGAACGTCTCCTTGCATTGCGAGCGGAGTACAAGGCGCGTGCTGCGGGTTTGACGAAGCCGGAGCTGCCGATCTGCGATGGATGCCAGTGTTGTCGTGGACTGAGGTGTGGAGACAACATGATGCGTCGTGAGCGGGTCAACAAGGTGGAGGCCGATCGCTGAATGCCACATGCGGCGAATCGCCGAGGGGTGGCAGCGTAGCGCGTGAGTCATAGCTCTGCGCGTCGCTCAGTAAGATGCTAACAACACTACACCATCACGATACGCGAGTATCGAGCTGACTGGAAACAATGCCGTCGGTGTCGTTTTTGCCTTTCCTGCAAACGGTACCATGGGGAACTCGAGCCCTGACGGCTCTGGTCATCGTCAGCAGTCTATCGTATTACGCCGCCGCACACTACGTGGCGAGGGGGGCCGCCACCCCTCCAAGTCCTAGTGACATTCTGCCGTGGGTAGTCCTAACCCCCGCCGTGAGCTGGAAGTATCCCTGGACACTCCTGACTGCTGGTTTTGTTGAGCTCACATGGATCGAGGTAAGAACGCGTCTGTCCGGTTTGTTATTGACCATATCAGTTGATTCTCTCTCTCGCAACGGTACCACTCGCATGTCGATATTTGGAGCGTCTCTGGGGTCTGTCCGAACTTCTTCGCTTTACCTTGATAGTTATCGTTGGCTCCAACGTGATTGCGTTCGGATTCTCTTGGATCGTGTATATCCTGACCCGATCAGAGGCGGCTATGTGCGTCCCGGTATGTTGCTGTGACTGACGTGCAGATATGGTGTTCCGTACCACGGCCTTACAGGGCTGCAGTCTGGACTCCTGGTCGCCTTTACTCAGATAATCCCAGAGCACCAGATCCAGCTGTTCGGTATCATCAAAGCGCGCGTCAAGGTAGGACGATCCAAGGCTTTCGTTGCCGCTGACGACACACAGACGATCCCAGGCATATTTCTTCTGATCTCCAACGTCCTTGTCCTTGTTCTGGGACCTTCACCCTATATCCTAATCCAGTTCGGATTCTTCGTAGCGTGGGTCTACTTAAGGTTCTACAAGTTGTCCGAGAATGGAGAGTATCGGGGGGATCGGAGCGAGACTTTCGCTTTCCAGTACTGGTTGCCACCTCCTGTGCGGTACGTCCTGTTCCGGTACGTGAACTAATCATACAGGCCATACGCCTCTGTTGCCTTCAATTATATCTTCTCCCTGGCAGTTCGATTCAGACTTGTGCAGGCATGGGACGAAGCCCAGATCAACGCATATGCCGCTTTGCCCGGACCGGGAGGAGCCCGGGCCGAAGCTGAACGTCGACGGTAAGAGGCTATTCGAGAGTGTAAGTCTGACGTGATTTAGAGCTGTAGCCCTTCGGGCACTGGATGCGAGACTGGCTTCGTCTTCTCCTGGCCCCTCAACACCAGCTGAGGCCATTGCGAAGGCTGTCCCCCAATCGAGCGCAACCGACCAAGCATCTCCCTCTTTATAGACCCCTCGCGCCCGCATAACTTCCTGTCTATAGGTGTGTAATGTATACTCAAGAGATCCTTGCATATACACTGCATGCACAGAGGGCGACTCGTGGCTCAATACTAATGTCCTTGCATACATGAAACAATCATCTTACACAATTAACACTTATCAATCAACCGATTCTTCTGAGACGAGTCAGCACTACCGAGTACCTCAACCACTCACCACCGGCTTGTAGCCCGCTTGCTTCCAGGTTGTAATGTTGGCATTGTTGTAAATGTCCGGGTGGTCTGCGATGTATTTGGCCGTGGGGTGGTCCGCCGGATCGCAACCGATCTTCCCCTCCTTGCGTTGCCATACACGGACATAATCGACAAGCATGTAGTTCGGGAAGTGCATGTGAGCCACGTCCACCGCCTGGAAGCCGTCGGACATGCCCAAGTTGAAGATCTAGGTGAGCACGTCTTCCACTCTCATGCGCTTACCATGGTCATAGGCTCTTCGGGGATGAGGCGCTGGCCGATCTGCGTCTTGTCGTTTGCGCGAACAGCCGACGGCCTGACGGTCCACGACTTCTTGCCATTGGCCATCCACGTAATGTGGCCGCCGTTCTCTCGGTCATTAGGGTCGGCGTAGACTTCAACACCTGTTTTATTAGCAGACGCGAAGGGATAGCGAACCAAGTACACACCGTAGGTATTGAAGCGTGGCTCATCATGCTCGTAGTAGACATCGCTAGGCACAGACGTCAGGCCAGAAACGGCTTGCTGCAAGGGACCGCCAAGGTACGGGTTCCAGGCCGTTTCGCTAGGGCGATCAGGTCGGAAGTTGGCCTCGTCGTTGTTGCGAAGCAGGTTCTCGACGTAGACATCGTTTGAGGCGACATCCTGGTCAGAGGTGTGGTTCTTGAATTGGTAGTAGTCATCAAATGGGGCAACCTGGAACGATTGCGACATCGTACCGGTACCGGAATCCGTCCAGATTTGGGCCTGACGAGCTTAGCGTTGATTATCTTGTGACGACTTACCTCGATGAGATCAACCTCAGGAGCACCGCGGCCAACGTCGTGAGAAGGGCCGGGATGATCTTCGCCTTTGCAAGTGCAGCTGGACAAGCGCTGGCCAGGAAGCCTATGACCGTCAGACGTCTGCAAGGGTCACTACTTACGAGGAGAGTTGGCCGTTCTCACCGCCACCCGTGTACGTAGCGGCCTGAGGGTCGGTACCGTTAGGCCACACCTGGGCCCACAGGGTACCGACGTCGCAGCTGTCGTAGGTGTATGGCCAGAGACCATCCGTCGTTCCTCCATAGCCCGGGCGGCCGAGATTGCCCATTGTCCACACACCGGGCCAGAAACCTCCAACCTTGGAAGTCCCAGGCAGAACAACCGCTACCTCCATGTAGTAACTCCACTGGAAGCACAGCTTGTTCCAAGACTGCAGCATGCCCGAGCGGAAGTTCAGATCATGCGTTCGCTCCTGCAGCAGGGTAATCTTCAAATGCCCGTTCTCGGTCGTGATCATCTCGGGGTCATACCATTCAAGGTCGCTTAACGGTCAGCCTTGCTGAAAAGACGTCGACGTCGCGAAGTACTTACCCGGTGGGCCAATAGTGGAAGTCGCTACATGGTGAGCAGGGCAGAAGAAAGTGAAAATACTACTTACACAGCCTCCCAAAAGGGGTCGTCACCGTGGTAGAACGTTCTGCCGGGCTTTTCAAACTCGTCCGAGAAGACGAGCGTGTACTCATGGCCATCGTATCCGATCCTGACGTCGTTTTTGACGTCGTCCGGAGTGTCGTCGTCGATCATTTTAGGGAAATTCTCGATGAGAGGAACTTGGCCGGACGCATTCACTCCTCCCAGGTTGAACGCCCCATTCTTGGCCTGCTGCTTGTCTGTGAATGCAGTGATGATCGGGTACCCAGCAAACAGTGTGATGAGGCAGAGCAGCAAGACGAACAAGCATCCGATATTGGTGACACCACGAACAGTGAAGATCGACCCGGCCTAAGTGTCAGTCGAGCCGCTTAATGGACCTTGAGACATACCTTGCGATCGCGCTTTGGGTCTGGGTTGTGCAGATAGTCGTCTGCCTCTGGGTCATTCCAACCCCATCCTGCCCCAGAAATAGCAGACATGGGTCGGCTGTCATAGCTCGCGGCCGAATACGGCACGGACAGACGAGTGCCGGCTGTCATCGAAGAGAGGCGTGTGCCAGCAGTCATTCCGGACATTCGAGATCCCGACGACTGCGCGGAGAGTCTGTACAGCGATCGCGGTTCGTGCAAATCGTCACCGAGTAGAGAGGCTGTGGACGGCACTTGATTTGCAGACGCGGTCGGACCGTAGCGTTGTTGAAGGGATGGCTGAAGAGTTAGAACCAAGACGTGGGCTGGCGTGGAGAGTGATGAAGACATACCTGCGAGTAGTCCATCGGCTGCCGCGGAGACTGCGGGGGTGTCGGGACCGACATGCTGATGCCTGGGAAAGGTGGTGAGGTAGAAGTCGGGAGTATGCAAACTTAGACAGGTGGTGAAAGGATTATGAAAGGGAGCTCGACGCCTGTTTATGTCGTAGGCTGCCTACGACAAGGAGGTGTGCGTGACCTTGGTGTGGGGCGGTAACTCGGCGAGATACAAACGCGGCGGTGCGTTGCCAACTGTTGAGCCAGACGGATGTGCGACAAACAAGCTGGCAGTCGTGAGGACAGACAGACGAAATGTGGGCGATGAGACTATGTGACGACGATGGGAAGGAGAGTAATACTACAGCGGGATTGGGACGGCTGGGTACAGGCCACAAACAGCTGTGAAGCCGAGGGTGCCCAAGTAGTGTTGTGTGTGGTTGACCAAGACGGGTTTAGTGGTGAAGTTGGGTGGGAGGCGAAAAGCGGGCGTGTTGGCGGCGGCAGCTGGGGGCAGGGGGAGCGAGATGGAGAGAGAGACTGAGCCAGGGTTGGTGAGTGAATTGCGCAACCACAACAATGTTCAGGAGACACGGACAACATGGGATGCTAGGGAACAAGCCATGCAAGCCAGCTAACTGCTGAGGTGTTCACGAGCTGGTCCTGGTCTCTGCATCTCTGTTTGACGGACGATAGACCCGGAGAGGACGGCAAGTGAACCAGCGCACGCAGGAGCCGCGAGGCTTCTCATCTGCATACGCGCATCACGCAGTTGACGGTCAAGCCACACTCCAGTCCAAGTGGGGCAACGCGCTACGCAAACTGAAGGGACGGGGGCATGAGCAGAGGCGCAGAGGAGCAAAAACACCAGGGCACGGTCCTGCTCTGCCCCTCGCATCCTCCGGCGTGCGACCTCATCCTTCATATCCTGGTATCCTTGTACTGCTTTGTGTTTTCCTGTGCTTTGGCGCCCTTGAGTCACAGCGCACACAGCTTCCAGCCAATGCGACCTGGGCCAGTGGCCAGTGGCCAGCAAGCGGGCGTACACCAACACGCATAGATCAAAACACGGTCCGACCACTGGGCTCCTATGCCGTGCCTGAACACTGGCAGAGGCTTCGAGGCAGAAAAGCCTGAAGGGTATGCAGGAGCGCAGACCCTTCCTTTCTCCCTCTCGGAACCCTGATCTCCACGACCGTCAGGGTTTTAGGAACGAAACTCTCAGGACCAAAGCGTACAGCTTTTCGCGGGGCTATTTGTAACTTCGCCTCTCCTCGGCGTCTCGGCGCCCTCCCTCCTCTGCTTTTCCAACCACCCACAGACATCGTCTTTCAACGCCCTGGGCGAATTCGATGAACCACTGGCCACTGGCCACTCGACGTAGCATTTCCCGGCCATTCCGGCGCGCCGGCGGCATACCACGTACCTGCATGTGAAGCGCGTCGCGTCGACACCATTCTGACACTCTGACAAGCGACGTTGCATGTTTTGCTCGTGCCCTGCCCTCATCGTCATGCATCCGGCGCCAGGCGCATCTGGCTGTGTGAACCACCAAAGAGTGGTACATTTCATCTGTCCTTGGATCCTTGGAGCGCTGCGAGTCGACGCACAGCACCTGCTTCGCAGCCTCACTAACTGCACGGCCCACGGTCGCCATCGCTGCGGGCGTGACTTCAAACTTCGTGACTGCGAGGCGGCTGGCCCCCGAGTATTGCACTACCCATGCAACTTGAAAGTGATGTTCGCGAGGACTCTTTACCTATCTAAAGCTTGAACGGTGCACACCATCTGTCCAGCGATTATTATTGGGTCCTACGACTCCAACATTATGTACAACAGGCACCTGGTAACTGACCCAATGAAACACGTCAGTTTGATGCGCGTATCATAGTAAAAGCGGCCGTCCGAGGCTGGGAGTGTCCGAAGGCGGCGGGCGATCGGTTGAGCCTTCTTTGCATAATCAGCGAGCTGACTACCATCAAGCTGTGGATGACAACGCTTCCAGTGTACCAGTACAACTGTAGGGATCCGGCTGCCAAGCTCTGATCCTACCTCCGCAGAACGCCAGCATCCGATTTTAGTAAGGTTAAGGTCTGGGCCTTGGGTTCAATCGAACCGAAAGACTCCTATCTATGTTATGTTTACTCGAAATATCCGGTCTTTGGAGGACGAGTGGGTGTTATCGACACGTGGGATCCATGCAGATTCAAATACATCTGTCAATAATCGCCAGGCGGTGATAAGAGCTTGCTTGGTCCCCTTCACGTGGAGATGCACCCGCCGAGTGCACGTGACTACGCCGCGCGTCCATCTGCGTCATGAACCATCATTGTCAACTGCTTGCGTCAGCTCGCATACAGTTCATCATTGGCGCAACATCAAAATGACCACAGCACTTCGAAGCTCCGACAGTTCATTAGAGGCTGATCTGGAGCGTGCTGATCTGCTTCAGAAGAAGGATGCTGCTAAAGCGGAAGAAGGCTACCGCGCCGTTCTGGGTCGCAAGGCTGGTGGGTTCCATGATGGTCTGCACATTCAGCTGACCCCTCAGACAATGAGGCGGAGCTCAAATGCCAGGAGACCGCTCTTCTGAAGCTGGGAGCTTTGTACCGAGACAAGGGGTAAGCTCTTGATCACATGAATGCTGCTCAGAATTAACGAACAACAGCAAAACAGAAGAGCTGGCTAAGCTGGTGAAGGAGTCGCGCGCTTTCATGTCACAGATCGCCAAGGCCAAGACGGCCAAGCTGAGTGAGTCATCTCCTGGAGACCCGGAATGAGATGTACTCGGCTGAACATTGTGCAGTCAGGTCCTTGATCGATCTCTTCCCCTCTTCCGCGCGCGACCTGCAAATGAAGGTGACAAAGGAGAATATCGACTGGGCTCGGAGTGAGAAGCGGGTCTTCCTTCGTCAAAGCTTGGAGATCAAGCTCATTGCCCTGTGAGCTGCGCAGTTCTGTTAGTGGCATGCTTACAATCTAGGCACATCGATGCGCAGAATTATCGAGAGGCTCTGAGCATGTCGGAGGAGTTGCTCAGGGAATTGAAGCAACTGGACGACAAGATCATTCTGACGGAGGTCTTCTTATTGGAATCTCGTGCTGCCCACGCCATTCAGAATCTCCCTCGCGCTAAGGTTTGTGATCATTTTGACGTTCACTGACGCTCAGGCGGCGCTCACCTCGGCCCGCACTACGGCAAACTCGATCTATTGCCCGCCCATCTTGCAGGCGCAGCTTGATCTCCAGGCTGGTGCATTGAATGCAGATGACAAAGACTATAAGACTGCTTACTCTTATTTCTTTGAAGCGTTCGAAGGTTTCACTCAGGTTGATGAGAACGACCCCAGGGCCTTGAGTTCTCTGAAGTACATGCTTCTCTGCAAGATTATGATGGGTTCTGTAAGTGCTACCGCTGTTGCCTCACTCACAGCTCAACAGCCCGATGACGTGAACGCTCTTCTGTCGATGAAGTCAGCGTCCCGCTTCTCTGGCAAGGACTTGGAAGCTATGAAGGCTACTGCCGAAGCCCAGAAGGAACGCAGCCTCGAGTTGTTCAAGAGCACTCTGAAGGAGTATCAGGATCGTGAGTGCATACGCTGTTGCGATGCTGACACGACAGAGCTGCAGAAGGACCCCCTCATCCGTACTCATCTCTCAGCACTGTATGACACCCTCCTTGAGCAGAACCTACTTCGTGTGATTGAGCCGTACTCGGCCGTCGAGCTGTCGTGGATCTCTCATGAGGTGGGACAGGGCCGCGACGTTGTGGAGGAGAAGTATGTGTTGTATTGTGAAGTAATGCTGACGTTCAGACTCAGCCAAATGATTTTGGATCAGGTTTTCTTCGGTGTGCTGAACGAAAAGGAGGGTACACTGGAGGTGTTCGATGGTCTTCCTGAAGAGGTGAGAGCTACGCCAGAAAATAGCTAATTCCCGCCAGGGTCTGCTCTCTGGAGCTCTGGACACGATGAAACAGATGGGAGGAGTCATTCAGGCTCTGTACGACAAGGTCAGTGCTATCAGTTCCTCTTCAAGTGCTGACTGTCAGGCTACGAGTCTGTCGTAAAGAAATGATTAGACCATAGCAGTATGCAGTTGTTACTAGACACCAAGTACAAATGTTACACAGTGACAGCATGGTAAGGTCCGCCCTACAATGATCCTCTGCGAGTTCTCGATTCGAGCCGCATAGTTGCGGGTCGCCAAAACCGAAGGCCAGCATTGACTGGGAAGACGGATTTCCCCTCATTGCGTTGTCCTGTTCCGTTGAGGCGTTAGGAGACGGACGAGTCGCGATTTGACTCCGTCGTGATCGATCGACTTGGCGCGCCGTCAGGCACACTGTGCGACGTCACGCGTCCGTCCCAGGCAGTCTGCTCACTACTACGGTTCGCCACCCTGTCCGTTTTCTGAACTCTTGCCTGGTAATCGTTCATTTGTGTACCCATTCTTCGCCGTCGGCAGCTAGCTAGCTGTACCAGTCAAGCACCATGGCTCCCCTCCAATTTCAACCATATATATCTCAACCAACACCCGAATTCTGGTCCGCGGTCACTTCGCTGAAGTTGGATAAGCTCAAGCTGGATGACTCGTCGCTCGCAATCCAGGCTTGGGTAGAGGAGGGGCGGAGCATCCCCAATCTTAACAAGCTCACTGGCGTCAAGGAAGGCAAGAGCGTAGGTGTCGACGGCAGCGTAGTTCTATCTGCCACGGCGTTCGAGCCTCTTAGCGAGCGGTGAGTCTGGTTCAGGATGGCCCGCAAGGACATTATTAACCTCAGCACGGCTTCGCACGGCTATCACCTTCGAGGCACCTTCAAAAACTACAACACCATCGAAGAATTCAGATCTCCAGAAGCCAAGAAGGCAGTTTTTGACAAGGTGGCAGATGACGTGGGTGGAAAAGGCTCGAGCATCGGCCAAGCTGATATAACAGATTCTCGCATCCTTTGACTCCGAAGAGCCCGTGTTCAATGACTTTCTGCTCTTGACCTTCGCGGATTTGAAGAAGTACACATTCCACTACTGGTTCGCTTTCCCAGCTGTGGTTTCGAAGCCAGGCTGGCAGACGGATGGTTCTTTCAGTGGCGTCTCGGACATTGTGAGACTGTTAAGGAGCACTGTCGCTGACACGGCTAGGAGGCGAATGAGATACGCCGCCTGGGAGAGAAACTTGAGAACAAAAGCTCCGAAGTCGCTTTTCTGGTGAAGGGCCCCGTCGGACATCGCGTTGTCGGTCCACTGACAGAAGCGCGCACGTTTTTCGAAGGGGTGCCTCCAACACAGGTACGGTCTAGCGAGGACAACAAGCTCACCATGAAAGAAAGTCGTAGCTTTCCATGACCCTTCATCGCTTCCTGATAACCCCGGCTGGGTAGTGAGGAGCGTTCTATATTACCTGAACAGTCGTCACGGCATCCAGAATTTGAGGCTTGTCGGTTTGAGGCAGGGTTCTGACAGCCGAGCAGTCCAGATTTCAGCGGGGCCCGAGACGGTTCCAAGCGGCCACCGTCCTCAGGTTGTTGGCTGGGAAAGGGACGGAACGGGTAAACTGGCAAGCAGAATAGCAAATCTAGGTCCGATGCTGGACCCCAGTCGGTAAGTGGCTGGATACTCTGTGGTGCTCACAACTAGTCTGGCCGATCAAGCTGTTGATCTGAACTTGAAGTTGATGCGTTGGCGCATCATGCCGGAGCTTGACCTGGAAAAGATTGCTTCCTCCAAGTGCTTGCTGCTTGGTGCGGGAACTCTTGGTTGCTATGTAGCTCGATCGTTGATGGTGAGCTGATCGCCGTCCGTACTTCTGACTGGCAGGGTTGGGGAGTTCGAACAATCACTTTCGTAGATTCCTCTAGGGTATCTTTCTCGAACCCCGTAAGGCAACCGCTCTTTCAGTTCGAGGACTGCTTAGAAGGCGGTAAACCGAAAGCAGAGACTGCCGCGGCGAGACTGAAGGCTATCCTACCGTCAATTGTGGGTTTGTTGTGAGATGTTCGCTGACCAACGTAGGTAGCTACCGGTTACGACTTGTCGATCCCCATGCCTGGCCACCCCATCGGCAGCGGAGCCGAGCAATCAGTTCAGGAGACAGTTGCCCATCTCGAGGGCCTCATAGAGGACCATGATGTTGTTTTCCTACTCATGGATTCGCGGGAATCAAGGTGGCTGCCGACCGTTATCGGAGCGGCGCGGGGAAAAGTGGTCGTCAACGCAGCACTCGGGTTTGATAGTTATCTCGTCATGCGCCATGGGGTACCAGCGACCGCAGGAGCACGTCTAGGTTGCTACTTCTGCAACGACATTGTTGCACCCACGGACGTGAGCTCTTTAGCGTATTCAGCTAACGCTAGTCCTTGACCGACAGAACACTCGACCAAATGTGCACGGTGACTCGACCAGGTGTGGCTCCCATCGCTGCCGCGTGCGCCGTCGAGATGTTCGTGTCCATCTTGCAACATCCCCTAGGGTAGGTTCAACCATTCGATCACTCTAATGGACGCAGCGTCGAGGCCCCCGCAGAGCGCGCTGGCAGTGGTGCCGCTTCAGCATGTGGGGGTTCACCTCTAGGACCCGTCCCGCATCAGGTACGAGGCTCTCTTACCCAATGGAACAATAATTTGGTCGAGGGCGCTGCGTACAACAAGTGCACAGCCTGCAGTGATATTGTGGGTAAGCCCGAAGACGCATGCTGATGTCAGGTCTTGAAGGCCTACACCGATCATGGGATGTCATTCCTACTTCGCGCTTTCAATGAGTCCGGATACTTGGAAAGCGTGACCGGGTTGGACAAGCTTTACGCTGAAGCCGAGGCGGCATTGGATAGTGTAGACTGGGAGGAAGGCAGCGAGGAGGATGATTTCTAGTTGCTGTGTATCGCCATTTGAGACAGGTGTGTCGGTCTATTCATGTATGCACAAGGTCGCCGGCCGCGCCAGCCGTTCTGAGTCAGATGAAGCAAGGAGTAATGCCATATGCCATCACACGTGATGTGTGGTCGTACCTTTGTTTTGAAAACAAAAAGTGCTTCCGTCGCCACCACGGTGCGGCTCATTGGATGTAAACAAACGGTTTGCTGTCGACGACCATTACCACCATAAGAACTACTGAACTACTCATCCCAAACGAGCATGGACCTTCGCCACCGACCGTTGGCAAGTGACGGTCCAGCAGGGAACTCAGCATTCGCAACGTCAACGATGGCGGCGCCCTCTTCAACGATTAAGCGTCCAGCGACCCGGACACTGGCATCGCGATCATCACTAGCCCTCGGCGCACCAAGCGCACAGAGGATGTCGTTGGCGGGAAATGGGACTACGCTGTCCGCATCAGCTGCTGGCTTGGGCTCGGCCACGGACAGAGGCACATCTAAGCGACGAAGCCTTCTTCATGGTCGGCCGACTGCTGAACCGCTGAGTGGGGGTCGAGCGGATGGAGGATTGTATGGGCGAACGCCACAGACGGCGCGAAGTTTGAGGTGGGAGCCGGCCGACGCAACCGCTAACAATAGCTCGAGACGACCTTCTGCCGCTCAATCTTCAGGTCGATCGTCAATTATGCCCGGTTACGGCCACTCCTCCAAAGACTCGCGACCGGTTCGGGATCGCACCTTCCAGAGTGAATGCCAAAGGAACATAGAGGACTTTTTGGCGCAACGGGGGGTCCAGCTAGCTCTGAGCTCCAAGTGGCTTGTGTCTCCTACACAGCGCGATTTCCAAACTCTTTTTCGATATCTGGTGGAGGAGCTCATGGGCACTGGATATCCGTGGAGTAAGAAGGTGGAAGACGATTTCATTGCCATTCTTCGAGACCTAAGGTATCCTGCCATGGACGGCATTTGGAAGACCGCTCTAACCGCACCTGGAGGTTCGAACTGGCCCCACGTTCTGGCTATGCTGAACTGGCTTGTCGAGCTGTGCAAGGTGAGTCGTTACAGGACAGCCACAAAAGGGCCTAACCACCAGGCGGAGGACAGTTGGCGAAACCAAGGCGTGGCCTCAGATCCGCTTCTATGCGCGCCGAGCGCCTTGCCGGTCAACCACCCACAAATTGAGGAGCGGCTGCTCTGGCACTTCACTTCGAACATGTACTACGAGTGGTTCCATAACGGCTCCGGCCACTTTCCCGAGGCCGAGCGCGAACTAGAAGAAGGTTACGGTGCGTGCAGGGATAAGGTCCGCGGCTAATGTCAGAGCGCATATCAGCAGCCACAGTGACAGAATGTGAGCGGTTGGAAGTTGAAGCAAGGCAAAAGGACGAGGAGTTGCGGCAGCTCCAAGCTCAGGAGGTTCGTTGTTATCACGAAGGTTTGCTGACATTTAGCCCCCTTTGAAGCAGGTCGAAGAGGAGTACAATCAGCTTCTTGGTGACCGGGGTAAATTTATAGACTTCATCAACATTCAGCGGGGCAAGGCCGAGAAGATGAAACTTGGCATTTCAGTCATGAGATCAGCCATCTCGGAGCACTGTGAGTTGGGATCTACCGCCTCAGAGGCTGATACTGTAGCTCAAAGCATCGCTATCGCCGAGAATGACCTGAAAGAAGTGGAGGCCGCTGTGGCTGCTCAAAACCTCAGTGCCGACGAGGTCAGTCGCATGAACCATGAGCGGGAAACCTTGTCGCGTAACCTAGAGGAGTTGCGAGGCAAGTTGCAGCAGGCACGGCAGCACTGTCTTCATCAAGAGATGGAGGTCACCGAAGCCATGGACCGCTTGGGCGATCTGCAGCAAAGCTATGCATCTCTCGGTCACCAGATCGGATGCTTGGGGCCATCCTGCAAGAAGCGCTTTGTCCCTGACGAAGGAGGCGTTGACTGTTCCCTCGACGTGGAGCTTGGTTCCGGAGACTTGGCGAGATTGAGTCTCGTCGGTCAGTCCTGGAATAGGATTATCCGCCCAGCCCTTCAGGACTACGGAGACGACTATCAAAAGGAAGCGAGGACACTGCAGCATGAGTCGATTGCCTTGGAAGACATGCAGGATCGAATCGCTCAAGTTGTCGAACAGCAAAGGGCGGATGCCGCGGCTCGCGAGGTCAAACTGAAGCTCATTCAGGACCAAACTGAGGAGGAAAAGAATGTGAGGACACAGCCTTTGGTCGCGTCAAACTAACAGCTCAGGAACTTCAAACTGCTATGGCAGCTGTTTCGCAGACCGTTTCGCGTTTGGAGGGGGAAGTGACAGCTGTATCCTCGAGGACCCAGCAAAACCTCTTGACAACTCAGTCCACACTAGAGAGCACCCGGATCGCGTAAGTAGCTTCTGTCGGAACAAAGTGCTGACCGTGGCAGATATAAAGAGCTCCGGCATAAAACACAGCTTCTGCAGGAGGCAATTCTAACGGAGCTAATGGGTCACATGGGTCACATTGTTAAGGCTCAAGAGCATACCGCTGAGAGCCTCGGTGCCGTGAGGAGCTTTGCGGAAGGACGATAGTGGAAGGAGTTGTATAAGGTTGATCCGTTGTAAGGGATTTATGATATTCACCGCGGCGACTGGAACGGGCAGCAAGCCTGTGCACTGTGCATGTGTCGACGCGCAGCTGTCCTCTGCAGCTTTGCGCGCATCGGAAACATGGTGGTGCATGATATTCTACGTCGATTGATCTGGCTAGCTGGAGAAGACAGTGTGATGGCGGATGGCGAGGACACGACTGAAAGCCTGTCACACAGTGCAGGGGTGCATAGGGAGACGGTTAATGGGCACTCTGCGATGGAACGTCCACCGTCCTCGGATTGCCCGCCCAGTCGTCCACGCAGCTCGTCGGTTGTCAGATGAAGGCACAGGGGCGCCCAGTGAAAGAATGGGCGCAAAATGAAGGACACGACTGATGCGTGCATTGTGCAGTGAGCTCGGGCGACAAGGCTTATCTGGCGCCAGCGATACCATACGGATATGCATTACTCGAAATGTGATAGTAGAAAGGGATATATGGACTTCAGTAGAAACGCGTCTGTACATCTGCCAGTTGTGCATGGCGCGTGGATAGGACAAAGCTGGACATGCGGGGAGGTGGAAGGGCGCGGCGCGCACGCGTTCATTGCACAAACGCGCGGGCGCGTCTGGGAAGCAAATTGCGGTCAGGCGCAATTCGTTTTAGGCCTTTTAGGGGTTCGATGGATGAACGGAGGGGTCTGACCGGGCTGGGCCGACTGGCCGACTGTCGCGCGGACAGGTCAGTTCGGGCGGCCTTACGTGCATGTATACGTGCATTGGCGGGCGTTACTATATTCCGCTACAGACTTTTCCCTAATACTGCAACGCCGA